CTTTTTTACTTGGCTTCGTTTTGGAATTTTGATTTTGATTTTTTGTTTCGCGCTCTGGGTGGATGACGAATTTTCTTTTCTCGATTCAACAACATTATGTTTTGTCGTGATCTACACACATGGAAAATTGAATCGAAAAACTGTCGGCATTTTTTTTTATTTTTGTCTAATTTCGTTACAGTGGTCGATTGTGGCATTGAATTTGTTTTTTGTTCGTTCAATCTTTCTGTGTGTGTGTGTGTGTGTGTGTGTGTTCACACTAAGAATTGTGAATAAAGCAATCTAACACACACACACACAATGAATTGATGATTGTTTGAATGATTGAAAAAGAATCAATCACTTTTTTCGTTTTTCGTTTTTTTTTTTTGAAAATAACATTATCGACACATTTGATGATATATTGATATTGAAAAAAGATTCGATTAATGATGATGATGATGATGATGAACAAAATTTCTTTTGTGTGTTTGTGTAGGTGAATTCAAGTGAATCTGTGTGGCTGTTGTTATGATCACTGATCACTGATCAATTGATCTATTGATCATTATCGATAGTGTGTTTGCCATTTGTATACGAAAATTGGTAAAATCGTTTGTTGTTGTTGAATGACGATGAAGATGATGAATCAATAATCAATGTCGATAAATGCTTCAATAATTATTTATTGATAATGCCAATTCACTAACTCCATCCATATTTATCATCACTTTTGTATCAAAAATATTTTTTTTGCCATTCAAAAAACAAGTTATTGCCTGCATCATCATTCATCATGAGTGTATCGTTTTAACGATTTGAGCAATTTCTTTTATTCAAAATCAAGATGATGATGATGATGAGGGGGTGGAGGGTGAACAAAAAATTTGTATTTGGCCATTTTCATTTTTTGATTAGACTCAAATATTAGACAGTTTTGTCGGCAGTTTGTTGTTTACCACTTAGATATTATTATTAGATTGATAGTTCGATATGGGAGATACAATCGCGTACACCCAATAAAAAACATACCGAACGGAACATCAATGTTGTTGAATTAACAGAAAATTCAGATTTCTGTTCAATTACAATCGTGCAAAGAAAAGAAAAGTTTAAGGTCCTCGAATTAATATAATCAAATGGGGAAAAAGAATAAACAATACACACACACCTGATATGATTTGGCACCCCTGGAGCTATAGGAATTTGCTATTCACATGTTTTTGTGTCCATTAGATTTGATCATTCTTTTGAATCAAGATAGACTGCGTGGCGTGGTTTACAATAGTTCGTTGTTGTTGTTGTTGTTTCCAATTTAAATTGCCGCCTGCCGTGCACACCCACCCAGGCTAAACCAAACTTTGTGTGTTTGACTCAATTAACATTGTTATTGTCGTTGTCTTCTTATAAAAATTCTTTTCATTTTGTTTGCTTGTTTGTAATACACTCTCGTGTTCTGGACTGGATCTAATGAAAAAACCTTGGCTTACTATTAGAACCGAGTGCCAAAGTTATTTAGCTTAAATTTTCTTGAATTTTTTTTGTTTGTTTGTTTGTTGTTTGTTATTTGACTTTTGACACCTTTTTTCGTTGTTGTTGATCGTTTTTCATTATTCTCAGTTTTAAACTTGACTTAACAAACAACAAAAAAACCGCCATCAAAAAAATAAAAGACGAAAAATACTTCAATACAGAAAATAAAACCCAGATTCAAACAAACAAGATTGATTGCACCTTGTGATCAACAATCGGACAATGGTCAGCCGAAGAGAGAGAGAGAGAGAAAGAAATGTATACATTTTTTACCGAGGCCAATTTAATTACAAATTTTTACAATTTTTTTCCTCTAGAAAACTTGAAAATAATAAAAACTTGGTTTTCACACACAGTTTTTCCACATTTTTTTCTACTTTGTGTCAAGTGTGAAAAAAAGGGTTGGCCCTGACTCAAAAGTAAACAACAATTCAAAGAGTGATCAATTGTCAAATGACCCATTGAATTTTGTCTTTTCGTCATTCAATTACCCTATTCATTGAGTAATAATGTCACCAAAAATTTATTTCTAGTTTTTTGAAAAAAACTTTTTCTTTTCAAACAAAACAATAAATGATGACCGATGGACGACGACAAACTGACGCCTCAATTGTTTGATCAAAAAAAAAAAAAAAAAAAAATAAATATATTAGTTTGTTTAATCTTGTTGTCGTTGTGACTTGAATCTGGTGTTTGGAATAATAAAAAAAAAACATTTGAGTTGTTGAACAATTTCTGGGCGTCGTTTCATTGAAATCATTTCGTTTTTTTTTCTTGCAAGAATTTCTTGTATACAAGAGAACATTACATGCATGCAATCAATTCAAATGGATGGATGGATGTTTAAAAAAATTCAAAGATTGATGGCATTTGATATTTTAATAATAGGCTTTTGAACATATCCGAATGCACCACACACAACATCCTTCTCATCATCATCAATGAATGAATTGGATTTGTGTGTATATGATGTGATCACAGCAGAAAAAAAATGATTAGCATATTAATGTAATGTATGTATGTATGTATGTATGCATGTGTATATGTGTATGTGGCGCGGTAGAAGATGGAAAAAAAAGTGAAACACTTTGAGAAAAACAAAACACGAACGAACGAACGAAAAATTTAGATGTGTCGATCAATTCATTTCGATTCATTTATTTGAAAGTTGTTGATGCTAGAATCAATCATCATCACAGAGAAAAAAATCGGTTTCTTTTTCTCTCTCTCGTTGTTGTTGTTGTTGTTGATCATCATCCATAAATTTTGAGCCGCCAAAAAAATGATCAATCCTGATTTTTGACAATCATCGGATGATGATTACGACGTTTTAATTAATTTCCAATTTGCCGCTTGTTTAATTCAAATTTGCTCCTCCTTCTTCTTCAATAGATTTTAAATGATTTTTTTGTTTTCTGAAAAAAACTCTTTAACAAGTTATAATCATCATCAACCATGATAAGTAAATCTTTGAATTTATTTTTCAAGCGGAACCAACGAAAAGTCAATCAAAAAAGATGCGTAGGTTTCTTTCTGTGTTTTTTTCTTGTAATAAATAGCCAAAACAACTCAAGTTAAGATGTTAGCTTCCATTTTGTTGTTGTTGATGTTTTTTTATACTGATTTTCGGTTTTTTTTGCTGCCCGGTTATAAATACGACAAACATGACATGACAAGCGCACCAAATAGAATTGGTGATAAAGTTATACAACAACAACAACAACACGTCAAATTAGGATGTGTCAAGAGTCAATTGCATTGTGTTGACGACGACAACGATTTCGATGATGATGATGTTTTTAAGGTAAATGTTAACCCACACACACACAAGAAGAATTGGTGTTTTATTTTCGTCAAGCAATTTTTTCCGAACCCAAAAAATAATCATGATAAAGTTTGGAGCGACAAGAGAAAGATTCATTGAACAAATTGAAAATCGATATAGAATCAATTACAAAATCGAAAATCAAATCAAATGAAAATGTGTGAATCATCTTGAGTTGTGAATATGTCAAAATCAAAATTGAGTTTTTCTCATCAATTTTTTTTGGAGAATTCTTTTTGTTGTTGTTGTTATTATTCGATTCAATTCGAGCCAAAATCTAAATTTTAGCTGAAAAGACTTTATTTTTATAGGTGGCAACAACAACAATAGATGATCAAATGATCCGTGACAATTTACGTGTGTGTGTGTGTGAATCGTCGATGTATTGTACAAATCAATCGTTTTTTTGTTTGGAAATCAATATTTTTTTACGATTTCTTGTTGAAAATGACTTTTTTGTGGTCGTATCGATGTCGATGATGAATTGAATTGACAAATCGATATCGATGGATTCATCTTCAATTTTTTTTTTGAATTGAAATATTGCAATATTTTATTGTGTACAGGCATCGATCATAAGGATCAATCAGAAAGACAAAAATCCATTTCGATTATTCGTCTTTTTTTATCAATTTCTTTGAAATAAAATTTCTTTAAAAATTTGATTCGCTGTTGTCATCATCATCATCATCAATTAATTGTATGATTTTCACCATGAAATTGAATAGGTTTTGTCAATAGGAAGAATCAATTGATCAATGAATGGAAGAATGGAAAAGATTTTGATCCCGTATAACACACACAGACAAAAGAATAATGTTGTTGTTGTTGATGATGATGACATTAACCATTGAAGAATTGGGTAATGATCATCATCATCATTATTTGTGTGAATATAGAACAATAAAAATAAAATTCATATGAATTGATGTCGTGTATTTGAATGAACACATAGATCATTTGTGTTTGTTGTCCTCTTATTGTAAATCATTGTTATTCATCATCATGATCATCACTATCATTACCATTGTTATTATTCATGATTATCGAAGGTTTTTGTCTAATGGAACTTTATACAACAGCAACAACAAACGAAAGAAAGAAAGGAAATCCAGACTCATTTAAACTAATAAAAAAAAACTTTTTTTTGTCAATTGTCATTATGATAATTCCAGAAAAAAACTCAAATAATGATCATCAATGGTGGATGAAGAAAAAAAAGATTTTTCAACATTTTGTTTTGTTTTTGTTTAAAAGAATTGTGCTTATTTTAAATTTTTTGGATTTTTTGATTCTTATTCCAATCGCTCACTGTCGCAACTCCATCTTGTGGCGAAAATTCTTAATGTTATTGTTTTCAAATTCTATCATCATCTTTTTGATGGATTGATTGTGACCTGAATCTAAATCCATAATGAGTCCATATCTGTCGATTATTGCCGCTGAATTTTGAATGACAATCGATTGGCTGATTAGTGATCTGTGTTATCATTGTTGGTTATGGATTGCGACAAAAATATATAAAGATCATTTATGCAAGGTAATGCGTTAATCCCTCATATATTATGATTATTAAATTGCTATAAAAATATAATTAATTTGTCATTTACTCAAATTCTAGGATTAAATGATTGGAAATGATGATAAAATCATTTGAAATTGAGTCGATTTCAATTTCATTTGTATTTTGGCTATTGGATTGAATTTCAAATAATAACAATAATGGTATCTTTACGAGTCCGCAATCTAAAAGTTCGCCAATTTATGGCCGAATTTTTCGGCACCATGATTCTAGTGGTTTGTTGTTTTTTCATTTGTTCGTTCACTGGTTCATTTTGTATTAAAATTCCATTGTTTTGAATAGTGCCTAGGATGTTCGGCCAATGCAACTATTCGATTTAATGATCAAACCATTATGAATAAAGGCCTATCAATGTTTATCACTCCAATAGCATGGAGTTTGGTAAGTGGCATTTTGTAATAAGTGATGATCGAATAATAACCAATCACTATTTTATATCAAGGCATTAACCGTAGCATTATATGTGTCCGGTGGTGTTAGCGGTGGTCATCTAAATCCAGCCGCTACAGTAGCTTTAGCATCGGTCGGTAAATTTAATTGGTCCAATGTTATTGGATATATGGTTGCACAATATCTCGGTGCATTTTTTGGATCAACAATTACATTTATTGTTTATCGTGAAAGTTTTTTCAATGAAAAATTTGTTAATTCAACAATTGGAGTGTTTGGTACAGAAATGATTGCAGAAATAACAACCGGAACAGCTCTAGTGGATCAGATTGTAGCCACTGCCTTTTTTTCTGCTCATCATTTGTGCCATTATGGATGAAAAAAATATGGCTGTACCTAAACGTTTGTATCGCCATAAATTAGTAAATCAATTAATCACTAATCAATAATTTCTTCATAGCATTCGTACCGATTGCAATTGGTTTTACTAATCTTGGTTCGATACTTTTTTCATTCGGTTATAATTGTGGTGGTCCATTGAATCCGGCTCGTGATCTAGCTCCAAGAATATTTTCAGCCATTGCTTTATATGATGTACACGATGTTTTTCGGTAATTTTTTGAAATTTTCATCATTTTTTTTGAAACTTTTTCACTTTTTCTGTCTTGTCTTGTTGGCTGATTGATTGGATTAGGACAAATTATTTTTGGGTACCATTTGCAGGCTGTCATGTTGGTGCCATTATTGGATGTTGGCTATACCGGTTGATCATTGAAAATCATTGGCCCGATGAACAATATGATTTTCATGATGATGGACCAATTGAAATGTCTGGTAATGGCAATTGTACTGTTCGTGTTACACGTGAAAATTGAATTGAATTTAATGATTCTGTCCATTATTGGCTGAAATTAATTGAAATAAATTTGTTTTGATAAAACATACACTTATATAAAAAACAAAAATCAAATCATTGCTGTGTGATTTTCAATGGACCAAAAAAAGATCCAAATTGATCACCGCCACCAATTTTCGGCATTTTTTATTTACGACAAGGAAGTAGTGGCTGATTTTCATGGTGATGATGGTAATGTCTCGGCTATAGACACGCAAATGCTTTTTTTGTAAAATTCGTATTTCACGCGCATTTCACTATGTGAATACTGTGTTAGGGTATATAATGACATCGTTTGTTTGTCTGTTTGCCTCATATTTTTCCATTTATGTGGTCGAAAGTGAGGAAAATTATCCAATGTGAATTGTGTGCAACTATGGTTCAAATCCTATTTCTTCTAACGGATTCTTCCATCACCATCAACATAGATCAGTTTAAATGTATAAAATCAGTCTTTCACAACATTGTCGATTCTGTGGATGGTTGAATTCGTTTATCACACACACACACAAACACAGAAACAATAAACGCGCGCATTTGACTTGGTTCGTTTGACTGAAAATTCAATGAATGAAGGATGCAAAAAAAATTTCAACACACGAATTGAATTTCTGCTTCTGCTGCTGCTTGTGATGCTGTTGTGTTGGAAAGACTTGAATTGTCTCAGAATTCTAGTTTAGAATCAGTATTGTGTGTGTGTGTATGTGTTCAGTATTTCTCTCATTTCATTTGTTTTGGTTCGTTTGTTCTATTCGATTCGAAAACGACCGAAAAAAGAAACAAAAAACAAATTCACAATCAAAATCTCAATCTCTCAATGTCTACCGCGACTGATGATGACGAAATGAACAGAATAAAAACAATCCGTTCATTCTTCTTTTCACACATTTATCTTAAAAGAATTCTTACATTTTGTAACTTGTAATATTGCATCTTTAGATTGGCAAATGATAAAACTAAACTGCTACATCGACTGTGGTGAGCCGAAGAATTATTCATCACACATAATCTTTCGAAATAGATTTTCATTTGTGTTTTTATTTATTTCATCAACAAAATGATATGTGTGAATATATGTGAATGATTTCATTTTGATTTCAGTTTTCAACGTTGTTTTCAATTCAGAATCTTTGCATCTCGAAAATAATTGTTTTGTGGTTCATTGCAAATTCATTTTTTGAAAGAGATAATATGAACCAACATTGCCAAAATCATTCTCATCATCTTAGTATCAAATTATCATTGCCATTTCTTGTAAAATTATGGTTTTTATTATCATCATTAACATTGGTGGCCATTGATTCTGGTAAGTTTTATGAAAATTGAATTTTTTTTAAAAAACGAATTTTCACCCAAAAAAATCGAATGCTAATGAACTTTACATGAATGAAAATAATGGTACTTGTTCAATTTTAGTAAAATGTCAGCCAAAATAACTTTACCAACAACAACAACATTAAAATTTTTGTCATTTTGCATGCTACAGTTTTCTTTTTGCTAAAAATAGAGTGTAATAGCCAAATACCCTTGCAATGATGCATATGTTATATCAGAAAAACATTGACAAAGACAGACAGTGCTTTCATGAATCATCAATGGAAATACTATCGTTGTCTGCCAAGAAATATGTGTGTGTGTGTGTATGGGTGACATCTCAATTTATATTTGATCTTTCTGATCATCAGAGCTATAATTAACAAACATAAACGTCTATCTACATCTGGTTCTAAGCCATTAATACTCTCGCTCTTTATGATTATTAATTATAATTGAGTGACAACAACAGCAATCAATCAATTATATAGAGTGTGTGTGTCAAATAAATTTTCTCTTTTTGTTTTTTTTCACTTTCACATATATTTTATTAATTTAATGAACAAATGAAATGAATTATCATCATTAATAAATACAGCATCATTCTATGGGCAAAGCTATTTAAAGATACCGTTTCATCAATATAGTCGGTTCAACAGTAGTAGTAATGAAACACGTATTGAGCTAGAATTTCGTACACATCAATCGGATGCATTCATTTTTCTTGCTGCTGGATCATCCGATTATTGCCTTTTATATCTGGAACATGGACAACTAGCTGTAAGTATTGAGTGATATATAAATAGATGAGATTATCTTATTGTTTGCTTGATTCCAATTAGGTGAAAATTAATTTTGGCCTAGGCGAAACTTTTCTCATCTCCAAAGATGATTATTATGATTCAAAACCATTGAATGATCTAGAATGGCATCATGTACATCTGGAACGGATTGATCGAAAATTATTATTGAAAATTGATTCAACACGAACATATTGGACACAGATTAATGGCTTTCATCATAGCAATGGATTGAAAATTCAATATGGAATCTATCTGGGAAGTCAACATGGCCTAAAAAGTCTATATCTGGGTGATATTCGTCCATTGCGGGGTTGTATTGATCAAATTTATTTTAATGGACAAAATTTATTTGATTTAATCGATGATGATGGAAAACATCAAGTCATTAACCATGAAGTCAATTTCGATCAAAAATGTGATGAACAATTTGATCCTTCGAACATTATTATCAACGACGATGACGACAGTGATAATGAAACCATAGTGACCATTTCTTATGTACATCATCATAATAGCTATCTTCTATTACCCGGTCTGTTCAATTATATTTCCGACAACAACAACATAAAAGCACATTATAGCCCACAAATAAATGGCCGAACAAATTTATCCGTCCAATTCGATTTAAAATCAACATCATCGAATGCTATGGTCATATTTGTAGCGGGTAAAAATCCATATCGAAAAGAATTTTTTGCAATAGAAATCATTGGTAAACGTTTAAAAGTTTCTATCAATGATGGTAATGGTGAATTGAATCTGCATTCAAACATTATAATTGCCGATAGCCATTGGCATCATGTGGAAATATTATTGACATCGATGATTGACACGAACCAATTAACGACTATTGTGGATGGTCAACATGAATCAACGTCAACAAAATTGACATGGCAATTATTTCGATCATCATCATCAAAACTTTCGAGTGAATTATATTTAGGTGGTCTAAGTGTTGAACGCCAATCATTGGCTATCAATTATGGTCTAGAATCGACATTAATTACATCAAATGTTTCGTTAAAAGGATGTATACGAAACGTTCGAATCAATTCTGTATTGATAAATATAATTCGTGATGCAATTGTAACTCGAAATATTCTCGTAGGTAACCATTGTCGATGGCAATTTTTATGTCATAATGATGATCCAGAAAAAAGGCCATGTATTGCCAAAGCTAAATGTAACCATGAACAATTGAATCTAATCAAATGTTCATGTCAAAATCATCACCATCATCATAATAATTATCGACATTGGCCCGATAAAACAACTCACCATCATGTGTTCGAAAATATTTCAAGCATAAATCCATAATTATCGAATCAATAAATGATGTATTTAACTCAAGTGAGGCGGTAGCGAACGAATTTCTGCCTGATGCAAGTTCTGTGTCTTGTGATGGAAATTCCGGTGAAATATTGGTCAACGAAGGTACAACCACGGAAATCAATTCAGCATTATCGGACATTTTGATCAATGCAAATATACTGTCATCATCCGATAGAAACAACAACATATTCGATGTTGTTGTAGCTAAAAAACCCGATTATGGATCAATCAATCTAGATCAATTAACAATCGATATAAATTCATTATCAAAACAACCGATACGTTATACACATATTATATCCGGTAAAACACGTGATTCAATGTCCATAGAATTGGTCAAAAGACAATCATCATTCATTCATGTTCAATGTGATCGTTATCTAGTGAAAATTGTATTCAAAATCAATCCGCCATTGCAACAACAGCAACAGAATGATGTAGCGGCAGTCATCGAAAGTAATAAAGAATCGATTCATCGAATTCAATTGAAAATTCTGGCCAACACGAATTTCCCATTAACGCCATCATTGTTCAAACTTTCGGATTTACCAATCTCAGGAAAAGGAAAAAATTCCAAGAAAAAAGATGATCACCATCATCATCGATTTAAAATTATGAGTATCGATCCCGTGAATCATGGATATTTTGCTCGTATTAATCAAAAGAATTATTCTGTAAAAATTGAAAATTTCACTGAAAATGAATTAAGAAATGAAAGTATAGCTTTTGTACATGAAAAAAACTCAATGGAAAAGAATGCTTCAATCCCCTTGGTTAAATGTGTAATCATTTATCGAGATAATAATAAAGAACGGTTCGAATTAACATTTAAACCATATGATTTAGCCGATAATCGCTCGATCATCAATACTGGGCTTTTAATGGCTCATCACAGCTATGCCTTGATAACCGCTTCAAATCTAAGCTTAATCGTTAGCGATAATCTTGAAAAACAAGATAAAAACCTTGGACAAATTATTCGTTTCGAAATGGAAACAGAACCAGTATTTGGTGTTGTACAAAAACTTCGTTTATCACCAAATAATTGGTTGAATGTTACACAATTCACACAACGACAATTGGATCGTGGCAAGATACGATATCTACACCTGAATGATTTTCCCGATTCCGATCGATTCTTCGTTAAGGTTATGTTTCAAAAGCAACTTATTGATCGTGTTGAAGTTATCATCAATTTTGTTCAAAATCTACAACTTCAATCCTATGGATCGAATATTTATAATTTTAGCCGTAATGAAAAAGAATTCATCATTACAAACGCAGAACTTGCCTATCAAACAAGACCGGTTTTAAGTGATACCGAATCGATCAGATATCGATTACGATCAGTGCCTTCATATGGTACCCTTTATTCATTAGCCAATGATGCATGGCAAAGAAAACTTGGTCTAGATTCACAATTTAGCCAAAAAGATGTGGATGAAAGAAGAATTTTTTATGTTCGTAATAATTCTTTTGTTAATATTGATTCACTACGAGATTTAGTCGATTCATTTAGCTATGACGTTATTGTTTCGAATGTAACGGATATTTCAACATTTTAGTAAGTATTCGATATTGATCTATTCAACAATTTCATCGATAAAACTTTTTTCCTTTCACACAAAAAGCATTCATTTCGATAATTCATTGGAAAACTATGTTCTAATCAATCGAAAGCTTACGGTATTGGAAGGCGATCGATCAGTGATTGATGAGAATCATCTCTTTCTACGATCGACCATCGAATCATCATCATCGAATCGAAATAACATTATATGGTTCGAAATAATCAAACAACCAAAATTTGGTAGAATTGAAATTGAAAACGGCGATGCTGATGATGATGGTAGTGTCGAGATTAATCCATTGAGAATTTCGCAACGTCTTATACAGCAACGAAAAGTCTACTATGTTCATGATGATTCGGAGAATAATATCGATTTTTTTGATTTCTTTATTGAAAATTTTACCGATAATGGTCGAATCGATGCAAAATTTTCGATTGAAATCTTAATGAAAAATGATAATCCACCACAACGTAAATGTCATCGTCGTTTGAATATAATACGCAATACTGAACGTTTACTAACCAACCGTGATATATGCTATGTTGATTCGGATCTAAATACATGGCCATCGAATATTTTGTTTACGAAAATCTATTCAACTATTGGATCATTTCATTTTCTAAACAATTCAATGGCACAGGCATTTACACAACAAGATCTAAATGATGGTCTCTTAAAATTTCGTCACAGTGGAAATTTAGATTCGGGCAAGGCGATCTTCTCCATAACTGATGGCCATTTCAATTTGCTTTCCGAATCATTGGAAATACGTGCATCTGATCCATATATCGAAATACGAAACAATACCGGTTCAGTGGTTAAATATGGTGAAACTTGTCTTATAACATCACAAAATCTTTCTGTAGAAACAAATCTACCAGATAAAAATGAAATTTTTATTAAATTACTCAATGAACCACATTATGGGCAAATATTGATTAATGAGAAATCTACAAATCATTTTACACTTCAGGCAAGTTTTTTTATTAATTTTCATGCACTAAGTATAATTGAATGATTTATTTTCAGGAATTAGAAGATGGCTTAGTTGAATATGAAAGTACTATTTTCGAAGATGAAACAGCACCCTTCAGCCGTAATGATTCATTTGAATTTCGAGGTTAGTGAGCCTTCAAGGCGGTCGTCACATTTCATTTTCTTTTATTTTTTTTACACACAATTTTAGTTTTCAATAATGATCGTCATTATAAAGATTTGGTGACAAAATCTCAACAGTTCATCATTCGAATTTTTCCACAAAATTATTTTCATTTAGATGTAATCAATATTAAAAATATAACGATGCTTGAAGATAGTCAGGTTTTAATTGATTCAAAAACTTTGATGGTAAAACATTCAGAATTACAGCTCGATCGTATCGTCTATACAATTGTACAACCACCAAAATCAGGTGTGATAAAAAAATCAATCAAGTCGGATGAATCAATCATCCGTGAGGAAGTGGCAAACACATTTTCACAACAAGATATTTTTGATGGTCGAATTTTTTATCAAAATATTCAATCAAAATGGAACAATGGAAATTATTCCGATAACAATGGGAGAATGTTGGAAGATCGATTTCACGATTCATTCAGTCTAGAAGTTGGTGACGATATATTCCGATTGACTGATCTTACCATTGATGTTGAATTGATACCGAAATTCATTACATTACAAACGGAGAATCTAACAGTTTCAGAAGGCAGTTCTGCCGTACTCACTCGTACAACAATAAACTTGACGCACCCTTATTATATGAGATATGTGGATGAATTTATCGTGATTGAAGAGCCAAAATATGGAACAATATCATCCATCGGTATGGATAATGTTCGAGTATCGATCAAATCATTCACCGGTGAACAATTGGATGATTGCCGTATATATTATCAGCATGATAGTTCAGAATATGAACGTGATTGGTTCACTATTGTTGCACGTGCTAATTCGATTGAGAAAGAAAGTCTACCGGCTACGATTCATATCTTGGTAACATCGATCAATGATGAAGCACCAATGTTGGTGATAATGAAAGAGATTAATGGCCAAATTAATCAAAAAATTCAAATAACGAATGGATCATTATTGGCAATTGATGCCGATTCTAAAGCCAATGAAATTGTCTATCTAATTTCGATGCCAATCAATGGCTATCTTATTCACAGTGAATCCAACACGACAATCGATAAATTTACACAAGCTGATCTGGATTTAGGTAGAATTTTTTTCGTTCATGTTGGCTCATCAAACGGAAGTTTTCGATTTCATCTGACCGATGGTAAAAATTATGGGTCATCAAATGTGTTTCGAATTTTTGTTCGAGCCAGACAGATTATGATTGATACGAATCAAAAAATGCTCATAACACCTGGATCACAGCAATCAATAACAAATCGTCATCTGCTGGTTAGCTCCAGTAATCCTGAAGATGATGAAAATCACGAAAGAGAATTTCTTTATCGAATAATCAAAGCACCAACATATGGTCGAATCATTCTTGAAGGTTTCCGACTGGAAGAGGAAATCAATAATTTTACACAGCAACAGATTAATGAAAATCTTGTTCTTTATGATCAAAATGTTCAAACAAATGAACCAATTGTTCTGGATCGAATCATATTTAATATTGAATCAGTGGATATGCCACCATTAAAAAGTGTACATTTTATTATTGAAATTGCAATGGAAAATATCCGTGATATAATGAAAACCCGCATGGATTCATTGGTTCCAATCGAATCGTTGACAGTTGTGGAAGGTAAATTTCGACCAATAAGCTTTAAAGAATTAGATTTGAAAGAATTTCTCGGTCGTCTGAAGTATGATGAGACAAAAGTTTTATTGAAAATCATTCGGCAACCATTACATGGTATAATATTGCGTAATGGATTAATATTGGATAATTTCGCTCTGTTTCCAATAACGGCCATCCGTAATCAATCAATTGTCTATATGCATGATGATAGTAATACATATACAGATAGTGTTGTGTTTGCCATCTTTACCAATGATAATTTTCTCATGTCATTCATGAATCTAACATTACCGATTAGAATTATTCCGGGTAAGTTTTGTCATATTAATTCTATTATTAGTTTACTTTACATTAATGAATTTTTTTTTGTTTGTTTCTTTAGTGAACGATGAATACCCGATTGTTGTGAATCGAAGTCCACGAATGACCGTTAATATTGGATCGAAAACGGTGATAACACGTTCAATACTCCAGACACGTGATAATGATGGCAATGATACGAATATTATTTACATGTTGGCCAAAGGCCATAATGTTTCCCATGTAAAAGATGGATTTTTTACACGTAGAAACTTTATTCAAGAAATACCGATTCATACGTTTAGTCAACAGGATATTAATGATAAACAAATTGAATTCGTTCATCGTGGTAGTGAACCAATTCGCCTTATTTATTGGTTTCGTGTAAAAGATGAAATTGGAATCGAATGTCCGATGGAAGAACCACCGATGGAAATTAATTATCAATATTTTCAATCATCACAGGCCATTATGAATGAAGAACATTGTACACCATATTATCCATTATCCATAATGGTCATTCAATTCGTAATTGAATTGATCAATAAAACCGATATTCATCTATATCAAAGTTCGAGACGTGCCCCTATTACTCTGGTTAATTTGGCTGTAAAAACCGATAATACGGAATTGGATCTAAAACAAATTGTTTATCAAGTGAAAAAAGGACCGTTTTATGGACATTTATTGGTGGAAGATAAACGTAGTCTACATTTTACACAACAACAAATCAATGACGATAAAGTTTTCTACATACAGGAAAATATGTTTAGTGAAGATTCATTTATGTTTGATATCTTTCAACGAAATAATGAAAAAGTTCTTAATAATGTTAACGCAAGGATTATTGTCGTACCATTGGTTAAAGCTCGGAAACCGTTTGTAACAGCATTTCCAGGACAAAAATCATTGATCAGTATCGATCATATTGATGCAAGGTAAGTGATATGAATTAGTAGGTCACTTTAATCTAATCTGAATTTGCTTTTTGTATTAATTTAGTGAATTGGCCAGCGAAACAAAATCAATGCCAATATTCAAAATTATTGAACAACCTAGATATGGATCAGTGAGTTTGTTAAGTTTTGGTCTACAATCATCATCATCAAAAACAAACGATTCACGTATCCACAACGGCCATTATCAAGATATTGTCACTGAATTTAATCAAGATGACATCCTTCAGAATCGAATTGTATATCAAGCATTTGCTAATGTCGAAATTATTTATCCCTCGAACGATATACTTACCGATCGAATCGTATATGAACTTCATGGATCGAATGTTCAAACAGCTCGTGGTGTTCTTGTCATCAACATATTCAATAATCAATCATCAACAACTAATGATGAACTAATGAATCAGATTTTAATGAAAAATAATTATCTAAGTTATCTAGGAATGACAATGCTTAAAGAACAATTTTTTTTACTATTTTTTGTCATCATTTTCATTTTATTTCTAATACCTGCTCTGTTGATTATTGGCCGTTTGTGTTTTGTACAATCGAAATCTAAATCCAAGACACAAACAAAATGCATGAATGATAATAATTTTACCATGGCGCCGACATTAACGACAACAACGACAGTTCCAACAACACAAACAAATCAATCTAATAGCACGATAACACATTCAACATCATCTGCATCATTTTGTTCACGACCAAACATTGATCATCATTCATCCGTCAGTCATTATTCATCGAGTACAGCAATAACAGCCCCTAATCTGCATGGGTCCAAAAAATCATCACCCTTTAATCTTGAGAATACAATCGATTTACAGCTATTACAGAAGTCTAATGATAAAAAATATAAACATGATGAAATGTCGCCATTACCACCACCATCATTGTATTTTATAAATGATCATCATCATTATGATTATAGTCCACGAAATCGTTGTTACAATCAAAACAACAACAAAATCCATACAGATCAAATCGACGAAATGAATAATGAAGATGTTGTATTAGATAGTGGTGAATCACAAAGTGATGATACAGTAGATATTGCCAATATCGATGATCATCATCATCATCATTTCTCACATTTAGCACGTTCATATTCACCACCATTTCCATTCGGAAGCAATAAAGATGACAATGATCAAAATGATGATGATGATGATGGTACGACAACAGCAACAACAATGGCTAATCGATTTGCATTCAATAATTGTAATAAAAATCAATATTGGATATAATCATTAATAATCAAATACAAATATTCATTGTTTTGTGATAATATAATAATAATAATAATAATTTGTTGTTTTTTTTTTCGATTCTAAATTCATTATTTTAATTCGCTCATGTTAAATTAAACCATATTTATCAATTCTCATTTTTGAAGAAATAAAAAATATTTATCACAATCATCTAGATAGCAGCTGGTTTTAAGACAATTTCAATTTTTGATAACTATCCTTGAATAATTGTTCCATTTCATTTTGAAGCAATTCTTGTATGCTTTTACCATCATGTCGATATATCCATTTACCATCGATATAATCATAACGTTTTGGGCCACTGTTTATTGTTGAAAATCGAAAAGTTTTGAAAAAAATTATTATTCTATGCACATTTGAGAGTCGGATAGTTTGTTTACCTGATCGGTGATGATAGCCAAATTTGTCGATTTGGTGTCTGTGTATTCATTACATAGACTCCATTCGTGCCTAACGATATGGTAAGGACACCATTCTAAATATTTGAATCATCAAAAAAAATCAGCAAAATTTCGAAAACAAAATTCCATTTCTTACATTAAATGTAATATCACAGTTTTTATCATCAATTTGATCCAAAAATTGTTCAAAACGATCATTGAGATCATCCAATGTTTTATTTGCCAATTTTTCATAGGTTTTTTCATCAAATTCTTGTGACGACGACGATAACCATCGATGAAAACTTGAATAATTTGCTGTTATTCTAGAATTGCTATTAGTCAAAGGATGGATGTATATGCCTAATATGAATGATTGAACCGATGAAAATTTTGATCTGATAATCGAAATCATATTATTTACCAAAACGTGTGAAAAAAACCGGATAAAAAAATAAAAATAAATCTGAATCAAAAATTGAAAAAATTGTCAGTCGCAACTTCGGTGTTGATAAATATATACATCACAGTACGTCATTTATTTTCGGTACCAGAAAAAAAAGAAAAATGCAGCATTTTGTGAGCACATTGACATGTGCTTTTTTTGGCTTTCTTTTCCAGTTTTCGCTTTCGATTTTTTTGAAAAAGTTTTCCGGGTCAGAAGTTTTTATCAATCGTCATTAATCTAACCAAGAAAAAATGGTAAGTTTTACATAAATTCATTTGCGGTAGATTTTCAGACCAGTTCAGTTTGATATTAATAATCACTTTCGATTTTTTTCTATCTCTTTTCCAAAAAGACTGAAGATAGTAACGAAGAAATCAATCCAAAAGCCTATCCATTAGCCGATTCAGCATTAACGGCTAAAATATTCAATCTTCTTCAACAGGCTAATAATTATAAACAATTGAAAAAAGGAGCCAATGAAGGTAAGAAATTCAATGTGATTTATAAATTTCAATTGCAATTCAATCATTAACCTGCAAAAAACATTTTCCTAGTGACAAAAACATTGAATCGAAATCTGGCCGAATTAGTTGTCATGTCAGCGGATACGACACCGATTGAAATCCTGTTGCATTTACCTTTACTTTGTGAAGATAAAAATGTACCATACGTATTTGTACGATCAAAAAATGCACTGGGACGTGCATGTGGTGTATCACGAAAAATCATTGCCTGTTCAATTATATCGAATGAAGGTTCAATGTTGAAATCTCAGATTGAAAGTCTAAGAAATGAAATTGAAAAACTTTTGGTTTAATAATTGGAATTTTTTTCTATTAACAAAAATTGATCATTTCACCAATCATCCATTTTATCATTATAATTCCCTACAAACATACAGAAAACGAATAAATAAATTTCATTTGAATTGACAAAACATTATGTGTTATTCTCGTCTATTTTGATAATCCAGCAAGATTATCAAGTATTTGATATATATTTGTTTTTACTGGGTGCCATTTCATTCTTGTATTATTGGCAATGAATTGGCTGGCCAATATGTAAAAGATTTTTCTTATATTTCTCACAATCTTCTTCCAATTTCTTTGGCTTAATATCTATTGAAAAATATAGAATAAGATGGATAATGAGTGAAGATGGAAAAGTTACTAAAAAAATTCTTCCATCTGTATATGATCGTAAAATAATTCTTATTGATCTACATTTTGTGTTCACTCAGTTTTTATCGGGACATGGAAAATTCAATGTTTACCTGCATAAAATTGGCTATCGTTATAAGTCGTCTTGTTTTTGTGGTAATTTGTGTTCAAAGTTCTATTCATTTGATTTGTTTATTTGTTGCTGAACGAACTTTAATTGAAAATCAATGTGGTGTAAATCTAAATGAAGAGAATTTATGTATTTGGCTATAATTCTTTAAATATGATTTTAAAAATTTATAATTTATTTTCCCCCTATCTTTGAGGTATAGGGGCTTTTTGTTGGATAAATAAATAAATAGCTCGACTTGGAATGAAATAACAGTCCATCAATCAATTAATCCTGACAAATTGACACCAATTTATCAAACAGTGGCGAAAATTCTTTGGCCCAAATCACTAATCATCAACATGTGATAAAGAACAATTTTTACGTTCCATTGAAATTACATAATTTTTTTCATCAATTATGCATCTGATATGATAATATCTATCATATCATGAGTTTATTCATTTTTCATGCTAAGGCCCGGCAAAATCAACAAAATTGGTGCAAAAACCAAATCAATAAAGAGTAGATACTTTTAAAGTCTTGTGCAATAGTTTTATGCACTACATGGGCTGTGCATCAACTTATGAAATGGCCGGAAAAATCGAACATTAAAATTCAACGGTCGTCGAAGACGGTTGTCCTCACTCAACTTTGCGCTATTTTTCGTGATCATATTTTTTCATTTTTTTTTTATTTTAATCGTGGATTTTGCACTAAATTTTGGAACAAAAGAATTTAATCGATTCAAGATTATCGTTGTTCAAACTTATTGTGGTCTGAAGGCAGAAGGCCCCGAAAATGAAGGTCGATTTGGACCCGGTCATCATGTAATCATGATACAAGTTGGCGAGAAAATTCCATTTTCGATGACTTTCAAATGTATTTATGACATTTTGTTTTTCATCAAATTGTATTCAATCACATCCTTTTCAAGTTTTCTTTTTCAGAGTCCATTATACTTGATGTATGATAATTGGAATCCAGATTAATATATGAAAACATGGTCAATGAGGTAATTTACATTTTGCCTTAGATTGAAAATGCTAACAATTTTCCTTGTCTTTTGAAGCATAAAATTTTCATTGATGATCAATGATCATCATTAGACATATAATTGGTGCCGTCTTTATAAAACATACCTTTCATTGATGTTGAATCCGGTTGTCAGATTTTTTTTTTAAAAATTAGGAAATGATATGCATCAATCTTGGTTTTTTTCATTCATAAAAAAAATTAACAAAAAATTGAATTTATAAAAACAAATGTCCAAAATTAAATTTACAAAGATCTATGTCTGTCTAGTCTGGTTTTGCTGGTCTTGTCTGTCTGTATTTGTGTGTATGTGTGTAATTAATAAGCAACAACAAACCAGAACGAACACAAAACGGGCAAGCATCACATATCTCATCATTCATCAATTCGATTTATAATTAGAAAATCGTTGATCCACATATCATCAGTTGAGCTTACGGTCACAAACAAGTCAATTCAATTCTTATATTATATAATCGGCTATTATCGATGATGTTATCGATATCATAGTAGTATAGTTGTAGTCATTCTAATTTCAGAGCCATCAAAAAGTGAAAAATGAAAAATATTTTTTTCTGCTAAAATAATCTGTCAGAAACCAGATTTTTGTCGGTATAAACGAAAATGAATTTAGTGAAGCAAAAGAAAGAAAGAAAAAACAAGATCACTGACCAGAGATCTGTATAAACGCTACCGTCACCATCTTCATATAATCGACAGCTTTAAATCCCATATATGATATGAATGAATTATTTGATTTTGTCAAACTTTAGAGTAATGAGTGGTTGTGTTGTGTGTTTATTTTAGTTTATTATGTTATTTACTATATTCATTTATTAATAAAAACACAGTGAATCACAAATTGAAAACTTTTATATTTTGGTGTATCATCTCTCATCCAAAAAAAAAAAAAAAAAAAAAAAATAAATGTCCAATTATAAATAACACACACACACACACACAAATCCTGATATAAAATTGATGTTAATTAAATATTCACTTTGAAAGGATCTGATTATCATCAATTGATGATCATTACTTTTTGTGCACTAAAGTAAATAATAAATAAATAATGAATATGAATATTAAACTTTCAATTTCGTTCAACATCAACATAATCTCATTCATCATTATCAAATTCACGTATAACGTGTTGAATTTTGGTGTGTGTGTATCAAATCAGCTGTGTGAATTTTGATGAAAGAAACAAAAAATGAAGAAACAATCCGATTTTATTAATTATAAATTGCGGATAAATCGTAACGCATCGGAAAGGCAACAAAAATATTATGAAGAACAAATGAAAAAACGTCGTCTAGTTGGACAACCAACCACTATTGAACCATGGTATTCATTAAATCGTAATCGTAACATTTTTATTTTGAGTGTTATGTTGACTAGTTTAATTTTTATGAAACCAATAACCGATGCTATCATGGGTTTAAAGCTAGCATATCGTTTACAGCAAGAAGAAAAGAAATTCTGTAAACAATTGGACGAAGAAGAAGCTGCAGAAGAATTACAAAGACAACAACAACGACAACAAAAATTACAATCATCGAAAAATTGATTGAATTGATTTTGGGTGTAAATAAATTCTTAGAAAATGTAATTATTTTTTAATCAGAAAATAAAATGATTAAAACAGAATTTTTTTAAAAATCACGAATATGGTTATGATATCTAGGTAATATCAAGGAGTTTGTTGTTTGTTTGTTCTGTGTGTTTGGAGTTTTATGAAACGATACATTTATTATGTTTATTACTAGTGCTATTGTGATCGACAATCGATTCATTTGCTCCCGTTTTATATGAACATGATGTTAATCCATGTTTTTCAATAGCCATTATTAATGATGTAAACAGATTTGTTACAGCCGAATTTTCTTTGGCGCTATATTGAAAAAAGAAAAATAATTAAATAAATTTCCATTCAATACAATGATAATGATGGCGAATCATATATTTACCTAACTTCAACAAATTGTGCATGCATATAATTGGCCAAATCTTTACCATCCTGTGCCGATACACATCTTTCGAGATGAAGATCCACTTTATTTCCTACTAAAATGATTGGTACTCTATGTTTGTGGGGTGAGAGAGAAAAAAAAACCAAAAGAGAGAAAATAAATGATGGTTATTTTTAAAAAATTTAGAAACAAACTAACTGAATTTTTCCCGTCAGTTCCAATAATTTATCATAGATTACTTTGACAACTTCAAATGATTTCAGGTTATTGATGCTATTTTTTTCCAACGACAAAAAAAAACAGATTAATTAGTTTTTTTTTGTTCCGGCATGATGATCGTGCCATAAATACATACCTATAGACAAGACAATATCCATGAATATCCATAGCATATTCATGTGGAAATATTGAATATTCATCTTGACCTGCGGTATCGACTAATTTTAATGAATATTCTTGACCTTTAACTTTGATATTTTTATTGAATGCTAAAATTTGGAAAATAGAAAAATTCAAGCAAAGTTTCAATCGAAAACAATTTGTTGTAAACAACTCAACTATTTTCAATGGTTGGATCATATGAATCGACAAATTGTCCTTCAACAAATTGTATCGTTAATGATGATTTTCCTGGTAGAAAAACAAAACATAAAATTGAAATTCGAGCAACACAATTGCAAAAGGATGCCGCCGCCGCTGCTGTTGTTGTTTACTCTTACCGACAGAACGAAATCCCATCAAAGCAATCTTTCTTTGTTTAGTTGCCATTTAATGTGATGATTAACCACCGATAATTTAAAGCCAATAACAACAACAGGTATATACGAAAAAGCCAAGCGAATCAAAAGTTCATTCGTTCGTTTGAATAACCTTTTCTGCTAAATAAAGATAATCACACTTGTGGATTAATGGACAAATGTTGGTTGTTTTTGTTGATATCGCGATATGATAATGATAAAAAATAGTTTTTGAATGAAAGTTGATAAATTAATCTTTCGTATCGTATCACAAAGATAATAAAGAGAGCAACACACGCACAACCAAAACAACAACAAAAACATGATTTGTTAAAAACAATAATAGCGTTCACCAGATGGCGTTGTTTAACTGTTTGTTTTGTTCGAAAAAAGAACATTCGAATTCGAAATCGCGATCAATCATGGATATCATATCCTATTTTAATATATGAATCGATTGAATAGATAAGAGAAAATCAAACAATAGACAATCAAAAAAAAAATCGTATCGAATCATTATCATCATCATCATTGAAAACAAAAATTGGTCATCAATCTAATCGATAATTAGATTTTCATCATCATCATCAGTATCATTGATCAAAAAACGATAAAAAACGTGATCGAATCAAATCAAATGGCTATAAAAAAATCAAGAAAAAAACGATCAATTGATTATTATTGACAATGGTAAGTTTGTCTTGTGATTCTTTCCAAAAACACAATAGGCCCCCTCAAAAACCTTAAAAAAGAGTGTAGAGCATTATTTTCTCATAACTGTCATCATTAGGGGAAAAATTCAAGATTTTTTTCTTTTCTTTTCTTACAACAGGTGAAAGTGATGTGCTATCATCATCATCACACATCTATGCTTATTATGGGATGGTGAGTGTAAAGTTTTTGCTAAAATAATAAATCCTAGCCAATGTCCAAAGCGTACTAGCGATGAATTCAGGTCAAATTTTCTGGTGGCTTCATAAATTTATTACATTACTACATTACAACATGAAATTATAGTAAGTTATATGGCATCTTTTTACTATAGAGAGGGTGCATATGGTGCTAATTGAAATGATGATTATGATGATGGAAAGAAGAAAATAGAAATATTTATTTTTTGACAAGCTTAGGGATTTTAACTTTTGAAGATTTTATTATTTTCATATTTCCAACCAGGTGAATGGTGGTGGTTTCGATTTCGTTTACGTTTATTCATTTCACATAAATCGATATGAAGTGGATATTTTTATTTTCGATTTGAAAAAAATTAATATTTTATTTATCCTGAATGACAGCTAAAATTGTTGTTTTTGTTGCTATTGTGGTGGTGGTTTTCGTTGTTTTTCAACTAGAAATCAGTTAGAATATGATGATGATTGAGAAAAGATTTTATTTTTGCATGAAACACACCCTATTGTCACATTATTATTATTTATTTATATGAATAAAAACATAAACATCACTATGTCATTGACATCATTATGTCATCGATTTCTCTTTTTGTTTTTGTTTTTTTTTTTTTTTTTAAAATCATTTTTTCTCCCTTAGATTTTTCAGACATTTATGGAATTTGTGTGTTTGCGTCAATCAATCGAAAATGTTCACACAAGTTGAAAGTTTTTTTTTTTGCTTCATCTATAATTCTCAGCCATTCTTTAATGAGTAAATCTATGATGATGATGATGTCACCATTATCATTATCATCATCAAATGACCATTTTGAATAAATCGACGACCACACACAATGGCATCATGATGATGCTACCGACAACAGAACAGTTCAGAAAAAAAAAAAAATCTGAAAAGTAAAATTGAAAATTGTCATCTAAACTGGATCGGTTCATATTATTAGGAAAATGGATTTTTTTGTTTGGTAAAATATAAAAATAGACAAATTGTCCACACACACACACACACACACAAAAGGGTCCACACACATAAACCGAATCCTGATGATGATGATGATGATGATGTGATTGTTGATATTGAAACCATTATCATCATCATTTGAAAAATTGCTGGAGAGAATGGATTTTTTTCCTTTTAAATTTTCGATTCATTCATTTTATCATCATGATGATTTTTATTTGATTGAAAATGGATGTTGATACAACAACCACCGCTAGGACAAGCTTCAAAAAAAAAAAAAAAAAAAAAATGGAAAAAGAGAAAGCTAAACAAGTTGATTCAATTTACTTTTGATCATTTTCAATTTTTTTTTTTTTTGATTATTTAGTTTAGCTTCGAAAAAAAACTTTCTCTTTCAATTTCTATACTTGACAGTTTGATGATGTATCAATATCTGTCAGAAAAAAATAAATGAATGAATCAAATGAAAAAAAACGTTCCAAAAATTGTAAATTTGTTAACCCATCACCAGTCATCATCAACTAGGTTACAAACGTCAAATTATTTGATGAATCATAAAAAAAGATTTGTCAAAAAAAACGATTTGATGAACTGTAACAATAACAAATTGAAAATTTGATTAAATTAGCCAGCAAAAGAAAAAAAAACACACACACACAACGATCATCATAATTGAATAAAAAAAATCATCTCCACTCCTTTTTTATTCATTTGGATCATTGATAAACTCAACTGTTTACTATTCGTTGATTGGGTCAATATGTGTGTGGCTACTGAATTGACTGATGATGGGTTAATAAAAAAAAAGTTTTATCATTGTGAATCTATTCAAACTTTTTAGTTCAGATTCACCTTTTGGCCATCTTTTAATCATCTCTCAACATCATCAACAACAACACAAGTAGCCGACGAATGAATTTTCATGTTCTTGGTAGCCAATTATTAACTTTTGAATAATGATAATAAATTCAAAAAAAAAACACACACACACACAACATTACATGGCCAGTGTGTTAAATCCAGAGAAAAAAATTCCCTCACACAACAGCAGCAGCACACTTGGTTTTGGATTTCGTTGTTGTTATTGTCGAAATTGCATAAATAAATAATAATAAAAAATTTTTTTGTTAGCTGTTAAAAATAGATAATTTTGTCCAGAAAGATTTCGATGTGTTAACACACACACACACACATACCAGTTTGGTTGTTGAATGAATTTTTTTTTCTTGTAAATTTGACATGACTTGTTGAATGACAGAAATCGATTTGAAAAATAAAATGAACAGAAACATTTCAACAAATAAAAATTTTTAAGGAATGATGATGATCGATAAGTTATCCAAAGTTATCGATCATTTGAAAAATTTTTTTTTTGTGTGTGCGTGTGTGCGTAAACAAATAAACAAATCCAAAAAAAAAAAAAAAAATACCGGTTGATTTGGAAATCACGAATTTAGCATCATCAATTTTTGCATTTTGAGCCCTTATTACAAAATAAATTTTGAAACAATCGAAAAAGGAAAAAATTCTCAAACATTTCACTGTGTGAATAGTGAGAAAATAAACTTGCTATTTGTACCAGCAACAATAGATAATAAAAAAAAGTGAAACATTTTTCATTTATCGATTGTTTTTTCTCTTTTTGACCGAAAAACGATTATTTGGTTATATTTGATGATAATTCGAATATTATTTTTAGGTCCTAGATTCATTTGTTTTTTCGGGCCAAATCAATATTGATCAATTCATTATTGTGTGATTGGAAAAAATCAATAAATCTATCCATCTATCTTATGATGCTTTTTAACATTTTTTAAGGAAAAAATGATAGGAAAAAAACAGCAATAACATACACGTGTGTGAATAAATATCTTCGGGTAAATATCGGTTTTTGTTTCTACAAATAAAAAAAATGTAAATGACCAGATGATTCGTTCGTTTTTGGTGAGAAAATCAAATGATAACAAATCGATTTTTGTGTTTTTTTTTGTTTGGTCGAAAATAAAACAAATTTAATTATACCACATAAACAGTGCACTGAGATAAATTATCATCACACATAGAAAGAAAGAGAAAACCAAGAAAAAAATTTTACTTTCTGGTAATTTTTCCTTTTCCTCTCTCTCACAGTGGGTTATTTTCAGCAAAAAAAAATTTTCATCGTCATCATCATCTGGCTATTTTTTTCCCACTTCATTCAATAAGTTATTTTTTACTCCGATTTTTTTCCTAAGTGAAATGAATAATGAAATGACAACAACAACAACAGCAGGTAAAAGTGGTGGCGTTGTTGTTAGGGGGAAATAACAAGAGAATGAATTTAAAAGTTAAAATAGTCAAAAGACAGAGAGAGAGAAAAAAACGGGTAACCAATAATAAGAATATATATGAAATCGAAAGGGGAGAAGAAACCCGTAATGATAAAGATTAATGATGAAATAGAAATAGGAAATTTCTTTTTGGATCGAATAAACAAACAAAAAAAAAAAAAAAACTAATGATAAATGGAATTGTGGAAAAAATGATGGAAAATTTTCATAACTCTTTCCCTGAATATCATCATTTTTACCTGAAAATATTTTCCAGATATTTTCTTCGATTAACTAAAAAAAATCGACAGCCTTTTCCCAAATTTTCATTCGACAAACAACAACAACATCATTATCTGGCCGGTTTACTTTCGTATTGAAACAATGAAAACTTGGATTTTTGTTTGTTACCATGTGTTGTTCATTCATCAAATGATGATAATGACAATGGTTTTCCATGTATGTGTGATAAAAGGTGGCCACGATGGAAGAAATTGGCAAATGAAGAGAATGAGAATTTGTATTTGAATTGAAGCAATTTTTTTTACGATAGATAACTTGATTTTCTTCATATCAAAAAAAAAAATAAAACTTTATAACATAACATTACCTTAGTCTGTGTGAACACAAACACACACACACACACACACTCAAATCATTATGTTACTTTAAATAGATATATAGATATAGACAAGCATTAAGCTAGCCGCAAAAAAAAAAAAAAAAGAATTTATATTTTTTCAAGTTTTTTTTTTCTTCAAGAAAATACCAAATTTCTCTCTTAAACACACACTTGAGACAACCTTGCTGACTGGTCCATGCTTCACGACGATGTTTGTGAAATCCAGTTTGCCCAAATGAATTTCACAGAACTAGGCCGAACGAAATGGCCAGGTTTTTTTTGTTTTAATGGTCGACCGTTATTAGAGAAATTCAGGTATCGAAAAAATTTCTCTTTTTATTTCACACACACCAAAAAAGACGGTTTGGGGAGAGAAACCAGCAAGCAAGTAAAAGAGACATTCAAATTATTAAAAATGGTGTTTTCTCTGGATGTCAGACTCTCGCTCTCTTTCTTTTTTTAGGTAGCGAAAATGAAATTTTTTCAAAAAAAGAAGGTTGTTTCCAGTGTTTTCTTGCAGTACCAAGGCATCTCATCTCATTATCATCAAATCGATTCGCGAATGCTTTGGCTGCTGTTTTTTCGATGATCCATCCACATCAACCAATCTCTTAAAAAAAAATAAGAGGATGACGACGACGACGAAGCTATAAATTGATATGATGAACAAATTTAGGTCTCATCATTCGTTAGAATGTAGACCATCGTTAAAGATCATCATCATCATCATCATCATCATCGTCGAAAACATATATTTAAATGGATGGTGAATCAAGCAAACACACGCACACACTAAATCATCATCAGATTGATTGGATTTAATATCCAGCAAAAGAAATTTTTTTTCGGTCGAAAATCGGTGCCATTCATTCAACCAAAACAACAACAGCAAATCGTGTGTTCATTTGTGTGTGTGTGTGTGTGTGTGCATGTTCGTGTATTAATCATTATCATTATCAATTTAATTATAATTAAAATTTGAAAAAAATCATTTTTAAAATCGATAATGATCCAATTAATAATAATAATCGACTGATTCAAGTGCAAATCATCATTATATACAAATACTTTATCACACACAAATGTAGTCGTCGTTGATCATTTCAGTGAATGCTGGGAATCAACAAGTGTTTGTGTAATGTGGATGAAATCTGAATCACGGATTATATGTTTGGAAATTGAACCAATTCAAAAGTTTGTGACTCTGTGTGTGCGTGTGTGTTTGACCAACGAGAAAAAAAATTGAAAATTTTTTTTCATCAAAAAATTCATCACCATCAAAGATGGCACCACCACCACCACCACCATCAATCTCTGCTTCATTACGAGCAGCGGAGATAATATACGATGATGATAATGATGATGGTAACGATCCATATACATTATCGTCATCATCCTATGATGCTGATCATTATGGCCAAACAACGATACAAGCATCGAAACAAACAATTAGCGATTCATCAATGAGTAACCATCACCATAATCATCATCAACAACAACAACACATTATCCACAACAAAAATAATCATCATCACTATCAACATCATCCTCATCAACAAAATGAGGAGAATGATTTATCATTATCAAATAATATGAATGAAAATGATAATCCTAATTATATCGATGATGATGCAAAAGACTCGAAAGAATATCGTAAAAAATTATTAATTTCATTGGGAATGTTATTACCGGCCGTTGCGGCCATTATTGGTATGTTGTAAAACTTTCTTTTCGTTGTCATTTCTTGTTGTTTTCACTTTCGAATTCAATTTAGCATTCATTCATCCTGAATAATTTAATAGAGATCCTATCCTATTATTTAAGACACAATTACCGGATTTGAGCAAAATTTCTTGTTTATTTGTCGTGACCAACCAAACAAAACAACAAAAATTGTTAATAGACTTGTTGTGTTGAAAAAATGAATAAAAGCGAAAACAAAAATTGGTTCATAAAAAAAATTTGCTAAAAAAGGTTGTCATCATCTTTGTTTTTGTATCTTCAAAAAAAATGCCTATCATTATCATCCATTATTATGGTGGTTGAATAAGGCAAAGGGGAATTGTAGCTGTTGTTTTTTTTGTTCGTTATTTGTTCAATCTCTGAAAAAATGAAAGTTTCAAAAGTTTACATTCACCGTGTGTGTTTGTTTGGCATGCTCCATTAAACAAATGGAGCATACCAGATCAATCTTTTCAATTTTTTTTTCATTTGAATGATGCACCTATGGTGTCGTTTTTTTTTCTTTCATTCCCTGATTCAATGTTGATCTGTGGATGACTCTGATGATGACAAACAAATAAACCAAAACAAAGATGAAAATCTTGCTTATGAAAAGAAAGGAAAATCCGGGTGGAGTGATTTCTTCGATTTCAATTTTTCTGTTTGATTTGTTATTCATTGATTCTGAATTGTTTCATTACAGGTGTAATGGCATGGGCAATAAGCGCCGAAGTTGTACTTGGAGCCAAACGTGAAGCACAACGTCGTAGTGGTGGTGAATATCACCATGATCATCATTTTAAAATTCCAAATGTAAAAAGAAAATTTTGAAAGAAAAGAATTGTTAATCTTTTCCCATATCCTTTTTTTATTCAATTGACAGAGATATGATTATACACGATTTACAAATGCACCATCATTATCAATGATGATGATGCCACAGAATGCTGAAAAATTGATTGATGATTTTAGCCATAATCATCGACGTTATGATGATGAACAACAAGATGATAATAATAACGGAGGATTAAATGCATTTCAAAAAAGATTAGAAACATTAAGTAAAGAATTTCTTAGCCAACAAACTGGTATGTTAAGTTTACAAAAATTAATGTTTGAAAATCAATGGATTTTCTTGTTTTTTCTTCTAAAAATAGACACAAATAATGATCAGACAATAAATGAGCTAAAAAATCGTTTGAACCAAGAAAATATTGCCGAATTGTTTGCCAAATTATTTGCTAATCATCATCCAATAATGAATCAGAATCCAAATAGTAGTAATAGTAATAGTAATGGCCCACGTATTGTAGTTGTAGCAGCACCTAGTCAAAAACAAACCTCCACTTCCTCTTCCTCTTCTTCTTCTTCTTCTTCCAAATTGACCTCATCACCATTATCATCAGGAAAACATTTTATAAGTGAAACACGGGTTACATCAACATCGAAACCACAAGCAATGGAATTGAAAATTGCATCACCATCATCATCGGTGAAAGAAACAGGCAAAAATCATCATCATCATCAACAGCAGACAAAATCTACTAAACAACAAGTATCATCATCATCATCATCATCATCATCAAAATCGAAACAAAAACAACAACAAACATCATCAACATCAACAAAATCGGATTTAAAATTCAAAGTTCATATCGACCAATCAACAAAACGAAAACCACAATCATCACAACAAATTACAATGGAAAAAACAAAATCAATGATTAAAAGCGGTGCACATCCAAAAACCGTACCAATGAACAAATCATCAACGACCATCAACAACAAGTCTAAATCGAAAAATTATGAAAAAGAAATTGATTCTTTATTGCAGAAAATTGAGAATCTAGAAAAACAAAAATATAATGCACAAAAACCATCAAAAACACCGACGAAAAAAGAATTATTCAGTAATAAAAATTCAGATATTGCAAAGAAATTACGGAAATTTATGGACACAGCACCGAAAGAAGAACCAGCCCGACCATTTATGTATCAATCGACTCAAAAACAACAACAACCACCGGAAATGGAACAAATGGAAAATCAACAACCACAGCAATGGGATTCAATGCTACCACCACCACCACCACCACTACCACCACCAATGCCATTTATGCCAGCTGCTTCACCATTTATGCATCAACCAATACAGGATATGGATCAACAACAACCACCGCATCATCAAATACAAAATGAAATAAATCCAAATTCAATGATGATGATGAATGGTGATGAATATAATAAACAACAACAGATGGCGCAATCATATCCACCACTACCACCTCCCACACAACCGGAACAAGGATATCCATCATATATACCACCACCATTACCTCCAAATGTTTATCCACCAAGTTATCCACCACCACCACCCCCACCACAACCATCTCAGAATTATCCTGAACAGCCAACATATTATCCATCTCAACAACAACAATCACAAATGCAAGCTTCGAATCAAATTCAAACTTATGTACATCCAGCTCATTATCAACAACAACAATCGCCACAACCAAACGGCCATTATCAATATCCGGTACAACAACAATCTTCTGAACCAATCCATGATGATATGATGATGGAAACAACAACAAAAAAACCAAGTAAATTAAGCCAAATTAGTCGACGATTTCAATTGAGTCGAATATTTACATCGGTTATGCCTAAAAGTAAAAAAGCAAAGAAACGTCCATTGCCACCACCACCGCAAGAATATCAGTATGAAGATTCAAGGCAACATCATATGATGCCACAAGATGATAATGTATCAGAAATGGTCGGTGGACCACCACCACCACCACCACCTGGACCAATGACACAAGATGGTCAACCACCATATGATCAGATGATGACACAAGAATCTCGATATAAAACTGCAGTAGATCGAGGATATAGAGGTGGTGGCTATGCACCAATGGAAGCAGCTGGTATGCAAGTTAGATTTGGTGGTGGACCAATGGGTGGTGGTAGTCAGGTAAAAGTGAATCCGATGACCATATTGAAAACATTAGCATTTCCAATGATGAAAAGGCCAGCATTAAATCTGAATGGTAAAGTTGTCTTGGGTATTGTATTGGAAAATGGTGCCCATGGTCCATATCGAAAACCGAAAACAGTATTTCAACATTATAGTACCGGACGTATTAAAAGATGAATGAATCACAATTAAATTTTCAACAAACAAATGCCATCTGAATACACACACTAAAACAAACAAAAAAAAACCTGACTTGAACGGTACAATTTAACAAATCATTGTTTTTTTCTGGTGAACTTTTTTTAGGCTGGCTTCTAGGGAAAAGTTCATTTGTGTGTGTGTGTGTGTATGTTCTTGATTCTTTTCATCAATCAATTGATTAACTAACAAAACTAGGACTAGGACTAGGCTCCATACACACACAAAACACAATCAATTTTTTATCTCTCACTCACACATTTGAAATCAAAGTTGCCATTTTTTTCTCAAACAAACAAACAAAAATGAACAAAACATACTTATTATAACAAATTAATTCATTTTTTTCTATCAAATCTAGCCGAATCTATTTTTTTTTCTCTTTTTATAAATTTGTGATAGGCATCTCTTACTCGATTTTGCTCTTGCTTTATGAAAATTTTAATTTTTTCTTTTCAAACAAATTTTTCTTCTTCATCAAATAAATCTTGAGGCTTTAGAATTGAGAAAAACCCCCTAATGGATTTATTTCACAAGTATCTCTCTCTCTCTCTCTCTTTCTCTCTGTTTCTATCTTCCTTTCATATATGTAATATTTATTAGTTGGCCATTTTGTTTTTCCAAAATGATGGAAAAACAAAAACGACATTATTTTTTTGAAGAAGAAGAAAAAATTTAAATTTCATCAAATTGAAAGTATTCAATTTTTTTTTGCAACACTTTTGAAGATATATTCTCTCTCTTTCTCTTCATTTCATGATCACGTTTTGTAAAATTTTAAACTTTTTCTCTTTTACCACATACACACACACACTCTACACACAAAATAATTTCAATCAAATCAAACATTTTTTTAATTTTCAAATTTTTTTAGATTAAAATAAATTTTTTTTGTAGATTATTCAAATCAAAAAAAAATTGACCAGTTTTTTTCAAGTTAAATTATGGCCAAAAGATGGCATAATTGTATCTCTCAAACATAATATTTCCGGTACCAACACAATCAATTTATCTTTCAAACAAACAAAAAATCAAAAACTCAGTCACTTTACTGATCATCATCATCATTATATATTGTGAACTAGAATGAATTTTTTTAATCGTTTGTTTTGGTCGAACCAAACGATTCATTCATTTATTCATCATCACCATAATCGAATATTGAACTGAACTGAATATAACGAAATGAAATGAAATGAGAAAAAAAAATTCAAAACATCATCAATAAGCATTATGTGTGCACCACATAAAGACATGCACAAAAGGTTAATTGAAATTTTGTGTATTTTTTTTTCGTTTCTGCCCTATTCCGATCGACGGACCAACCGACCGACACAGAGAGTGAGCCAGTCAAATTTCAACTTCATCTCTCTCTCTCTCTCTCTAGCAATCTTCCTTTCAGAAAGTTTACATATAGAAAACAAAATAGAAAAATGTTTGTTTGCTTGACCAGAAAAGCAAAACACAAAAACAACAGCCATTAAAAACTGAATGGTATTCCAATACGTACACACTCACATATCGGACGTATAGTCAAATGGGACAGGTATATACTCTGTGTGTGTGTGTGTATGTTGTATATTAAGAGTATCTGTACATACCTGTCAAGTTGGGCAATAAATTATTTTCTTTTTTCTTTTTTTTTTTTGGTCGAGAAATTCGTATCTTTTTCTGGCTTGCTTGTTTTTTTTGTTGTTGCTTGCAATCTTCGTTATTGTTGTTGTTGTGATGTGTTTGAATATGGCTGAATAGTTGGATGGTTATTTTTTAAATGAATTTATTTTTTTTTCACGTTCAACCAGAAAAATATTCAAGGGGTCATTTGTGTCCATTGGTTGGTTGGTTGGTTGGTTGGATGGTTGGTGGTCATCACTACCATAAATACAGAATCTGTTTTGATTACATTTTCATTATAATTAATATCAACATCATCATCATCATCAAAAATTTAAATTAAAAATAAAAGAAATGAATATCATCACGGAAATTGGAAAAAAAACAGAAAAAAATGGAAAAAAACAGAAAAAAAAATTTTAACGAACCTTCAACTAGCTATTGGAAAAAAAAAAAAAAAAAAATTCCAAGAAAATAAAATAAAAAAGTTTGATGGTGTGATGATGATGATGATGATGGTGAAGATATGCGTCGGCGATCAATGGATGGCTATGACGACGATGATGTCAGTTTGATTGTAATCATCATCATACAATGTTCGTCATTTGCTTGGCGGGATGCCATCATTTTAAGAAATGGTCAATGAGTCATATTCGTATGAATTTTAGAATTTTTTTTTCATTCTATAAGTACTGGATAGTGGATGATGGATCGCGAATGTGTGTGGATGATCAAAATTCCTAAATTTTTTTTCTTTGATGCAATCAGCGTGAATAGAAATTTTCATCTTGCAATAACCATTTTCTTCAATATGAAAGGGTTATACATGGCTGATGATGTTTTTTTTTCTTTGATTCGAAAAGTAATAAATATTGTCAAAAAATGTAAGTGGAAGGGAAAGTTTTGGCAAAAAGTGGCCACCATTTGAATATCTTAACGTCGATCAATAAATTTGAATCAGAAAAAAAGACGAAAAATCATGACGATGATGATTATCAATGATGGTCACATCACACATATCAATCCGGATTTTTTTTTATTTCTCAGGCGAAAAAAATTAAATTTTTTTTTTTTTTTTGGGTTTTAAAATCGATTGTTTTACCCCCTTTCTTCATTTTATGTCCGAAAAACGACGACGACGACGACGACGGATGTATAGATCGAATGAAAAGAATGATTTTGATCTTCACCACATGATGTCTTTGAATTTTTTTTTTTGTTTATATTTTGCATACAAAAAATGATGATTTGCATTTGCATTTACAAACAAGAAAATGATGGCCAGGTTCAAAATGTATTCTTTGCATATTGATTAGATCGTTTGTGTGTGTGAATGAACGAAAAAGTGTGTGATGAATTCCATCAGAAAATGTAAACGTTTACAATTCACATTGTACCTGGTGTGTTATGATGATTGGCAATTTCAATATCATTTTTTTTCGGGTTGAATTTACATTTAGAAATCTTTCGTTCTCTGTTTGAATGAATGAAATGAATAAATGAATCATAATAAAATTAAATGTTCAAATCATACCATCAGCAAATAATAACAATCGGAATTAGCATCCACAGCAGCAGCAGCAGCAGCAGTAGATATAAATCATATATTATTCACATAAAGATTGTTGTTGATTTGGGTCAAATAATGAATTTCAAAAAATGATGGTTTGCTGATGAGTTTTTTTCTTTGATTTCGAATTTTTGAATATTATTATTATTATTACCCCATCCACTACACCATGATTTATCATCTGATTAATCAGATTTTTTTTGTTCAGTTTTGATTTTGGCCCAAGAAAAAAATGTGGTATTTGAAAACAGACGTATGGGGCATTCTTTGTGAATGATTTGATCCTATGATCATGACGACGACAACGATGATGATGATGGCCATTGACCATTCTGATGATGATGATGGTAATTTTTATTTTTTTCACCATTATCAATCGATAAAATCAATTTTTGTAGAAAAAAAGTATGTACATTCAAAAGCCCATTTACTCTATTCTTTTTCTCATATTATCGTTATATTGAACAACAAGAAGATAAATAAATAGATTTTTCTGCAAATGGAATAACCACCAATAAGAAAGAAAAATGAATCATAAAAAATGAGATAAGAACCAATGATGATGATGATGATCATCATCAGCATTTTTTTTTCTCGTTTAACGAATTTACGAATCGTCACCATCATTATCATAATCATTTCAAATGATCGAAACATCAACAAAAAATCAAACGACAACAAAAAGAGCCCCAAAAAAAAAAACAAAACAGAATCTATATCCACCCGTTCAAGTCAAAACGAGTGTAAACAGCTTGCTCCTAAATGTTTTGAGTTTCCTTTTATTTGTTTTTTTCGTTTGAATTTTTTTTCAAATTCTTACATTATCGTCATTTGTAACAACAACGAAAATTTCTGTGAATAACTTATACCATAACCACCAGAAAAAAAGAATGAATGATGATGACCACCATTCACATTCATCGGAAGTATCATTGAATTCGAAAATGGTATGTCTAAACACTCACACACACACACACACAGACTATTCAAATTCAACCAAGAAACAAAAAATAATTTATGAGTGCCAAAGACCATCATCATCTTCATCTTTTCAAAGATTTCTTCTCTCTCTCACACACACACACACAAACACATCTATAAGATCATCTTGGCAACAACAACAACAACAAAAAGCTAAAACAACAAGATGTTTTTGATTGATCCAAAGCTGGTTCTGAAAAACTTGAATTTTTTTTTGTTTTCTTTTTTATTTTAGGCAAATTGGAGCAACAACAACGAATCGACCACATATCTTATCGTTTTTACCATACCCCAAATATTATCAAGTCATACAATTTACACGCGCAGCAGCTCTTCAAGATATATTTCATGTATCTACACAACAACAACCACTTGTATGAATGAAAAATGTTGTTGTTTTAATTATGAAAAAATAAAAGATTCGACCATGTCTGGACAACAGATAATAATGATGGTGATGACGATAACGATGTAATTTCAAATTCTTCAAACAAAAATTCTCAAAGACTTTACCTGTGGCTGTGTTATTAGTATATATCGATACCCGAATCTAATTTGTCGTGTCGAATACAAACTACACACACCTTCGGGGCCAATCATCAAATTCTCTCCAAAAAAAAAATATTCATAATTTAGCAACTTTGTGTTTTTTGAACCAAAAAATGGCTTTAGTTTAAAAAAAGCTTTACTGCTTGTGTCTGTGCTTTGCCCCCCCCAAAAAAAATAATGAATCTATTTTAGTCATCTTCAAGAACATTTTTCTTTCTTCTTCCTCCTCGAAGACAATTGAACAAGGTTTGATTTTTTTTTCTTCATTTCATTTCATTCTCATTTGTTGCTTGTTAAGTTGAAAAATTTTTCATTCTCTCTCTCTCCCTCTGTGTTGTTCATGAAACACACATATGCACTGAGGGTAGAAAAAATTTTCAATCAAATCAACATACCTATGAACATACATTGTGGCCATGTATACCTTGTTCTATGTTTGAAGTTTTTTCTTTTTTTTCATACAAAAAAAATCACAAGAAGACGCCAACTAACCAGTGTTAGCTTTTGTGTGTTGTAAGATTCACCAGTCTCTTTCTCTTTTCATTTACCTGAATTTACTACTGCAGGTGGCCATTGGCCCTTTATATGTTTACCTAGTGTGTGTGTGTGTGTGATGATATTACCTGAACAAAAAAAACCTGAATATATAAAGGTAACTGTGTGTTTGTGTTTCTCCGGCTTTGGTTAGTGGTGGTGGCCGCCTAGACCATGACAAGTATCAACATGAAATAGAGGTTATGTTAAATGTTAAATTTTTTTTGGTGGTGGTGGTAAAGGTCTCGATTTTTTTTTGTAGCACGACTTCATTCCTCTTCATTTGAGACGTTTGTTGTATATGATGATGATGACCCTCGACAATCAATGAACAAGAAAGAAGAAGAAACAAGCCCCGATTTTTTTCGCGTTCTTCATTTTCAATTCATTCATATTCGGGATCGACGAATTGTTAAGCGTTTTTTTTTTTTGAGAAATTTTGTTTCGTTTTTTGTATTCAAGCTCATCAGCCACATTCACTCATTCAAAAACATTCAGCAGAAAAAAAACTTGTTGCATGCACACACACACATACACACACACAACATGCAAAAAGCGACTAACGACGAAATTTAGCTTTAAGCTATTCGAGTTTGATGATGAAGAATGCATATATGCATGTTCAAAAGTCCATGTCAAATGGTGAATACGTTAAACGAACGAACGAAAAATTGAGGAATTAAGCGCCAAGCATGTGGTCTTATTTTTATTTTTTTTTTTTTTGGTTGGCTATGTTGTATTGCTCTCAAGTGTTGCTCTTGTTTTAAATAAAAAAAAGTTTTCTTTTGAAGAAGAAGCTTTACTTAAATTCAACAATCTCCTTTTTCCTTCGCACAATATTCGGCGATCATAACCAAGAAAAAAAAAAAAATTAATTCATTCAAATTCAGTTTGTGAAAAAAAGAAGAAGCAACAACAGCAACAGTGCTAGTGTTGTTTGACATTTTTTTTTTACATTTTCATAAAATTCCATCAACTATGTTTGTGAACACCTGAATTTCTTTTTCATTTTGTAAATTCTTTTTCAAAATAAGAATTTGTTCAGGTGTGTTTATGATTCATTCATTCAATCTGCTACAATCATCCAATGTGTGTGTATGTGTGCGTGTGTGATTGAAATAATGTTGTTGTGTTTGGTCAAATTGTGATGATTCAATGGCCATTTTTCAATATAAAATCATCATCACTGAAATTCAACGAATAGTTCCAACAAATATAAAAAAATGGGAACGTCATGTTTCATCAACGATCCACGGCCATCACCACCGTATGATGGTGGTGGTGGTGGTGGTGGTGATCGATTCAAAACAATTAAATTGATTGCATTTCTATTAATTATAAATTATGTGATTTCATCATGTCATGCATATAGTGATACTGTTTATTTTGAAGTGAAAGAAAATTCACCACCACAAACATATGTTGGTCGTATACCAACGAAAAATGGTTTCCATTATCATATTAATGATGATCAACCTGTTGAATTTCATCTTGATCCAGAGACCGGTGTTATTGTCACAACCGATGTACCAGTGGATCGTGAATCTATTTCTTTGTATAATTTCGTTATTCTTTCATCATCACCAACATATCCAATACAAGTGAAAATTCGTGTATTAGATGTAAATGATAATGAACCAATATGGCCTGATTATATCAATACCAACTTATCATTCAGTGAATCATCGCCAATCGGCACACGTGTTATCCTGGATAATCCAATTGATCCAGATGAAGGTGATTTACAATTTACTCTCAATCTTATCAATGATAATAATGACGATGGTAGCTCAACAACAAATGATATTAATGATGATGATCAAGAGGACACAGAATTATCACCATTTACACTTAATTATAATTCATCAACAAAATTCTTGTATCTTGAAGTTTCTGCAAAACTTGATCGTGAAATTCGTAACAGTTATTTATTGAATATTACAGCCTATGATGGTGGTGGTAGTGATAGTGTTGATGCGGATGGTAATAGTGATCAACGACAACAACATTATAGTTGGACTATTTTTACCGTGAAAATTCTTGATTCCAATGATAATCCACCAATTTTTGATCATAGTGATTATATTGTATCATTAAATGATAGTATCGGTAAAGATGTATCCATTCTACAGGTACATGCTACCGATGCTGATCAAGAACAAAGTGATAATAGTCGAGTCAGTTATTATCTACATTCACTGGTTCTAAATGATTTTCAAATTGATGAAAAAACGGGTATTATTTCCACTGTACATGATGGACCTATTCATTGTGGACGTAATCGTCATCAAATGACAACATCAAAATTATCTAATGATGCGGACAATGATGATGATGACGATGTTGATGGCCGTATCTGTGTATTCACGGTATTCGCTCATGATCATGGCCAACCAAGACAAGATGGTCGTACATATGTTACGGCCCGTATCGCTCCAACTAATAATCATGCACCAATTATTAAATTTCGTTATTTTTCCAAATCTGATTATGCTCATGTCGATGAAAATGCTCCAAATGGTAGTGTTGTTGCTGCCGTATCGGTAATTGATTTTGATTATGGCCCGAATGGTCGTACATGGCTTACAATAGTCGATGGTAATCAACGTGGTGATTTTCGTCTCGAATCATTGGGTAATTCACATATAATCAAAGTGAATAGCTCCTTAGATCGTGAACGCATTGCTCGATATAATCTAACAATTATGGCTCATGATAATGGACAACCATCCAAATATTCGACAGATAATTTAGTCATCATTGTTCAGGATCATAATGATCATGGTCCTAAATTTGATAAAGATTTGTATGAAGCAACAATCGTCGAAAGTCGTTATCAAATTGGTATGTTTGTCATTGCATTACATGCAACCGATCAAGATGATGGTATCAATGCACAGATTTCATATTCAATTTCTGGTCCTGATTCTCATTATTTTCGTTGTGATCCAATAACCGGTTTGATTACAACCGACAAAATAATCGATCGTGAACATATCGATTCATTCGAATTAAGAGTTGCTGCACGTGATGGTGCTAGTAATCCAAAATGGGCACATGCCATACTCCGTGTTAAAGTTCTCGATATAAATGATTGTCGTCCAGAAATTCGTTTACCGCTTGGTTATTATTTTAATGAAGATCTTAATCAATATGAAATTGATTTAAATGAAAATACCCTGCTAAATCTGGATCTAATCATCAATGATGCAGATCTTGGTCCAAATGGAACAGTAGATGTGCAGTTACTTTATGATTATAATGACCGATTTCGAATTGAATCATCACAAAGACTAATATCGACTATCAAATTTGACTACGAACAATGTAATCACGGTAATCATTTCCGGCTAGTGTTATTAGCTAAAGATCGTGGACCAGTGGAACCACTTTGGTCATTAATGACAATCATCGTTAAAATTCGAAATATTGATGATGAATCACCACGATTATATCCGAAGAAATATTATTCATTCATACCATTACATGCGATCAGTGCCTTGAATTATTCAGTCATCATCAATAAACTGCAGATACTTAATAATGATTTTCAAATTCCCGTCAATTACCGAATAATTCACGATAATAATGACGAGGATGGTAATCTTGTTCGGCAATTTTTTCATGTTAATAATAATGGAGAAATGCGTTTCAAAAACGCTAATACAAATATTCGTTTATTACGAAATCGACAACATTTCTTTTTCAACATTGAATGTTTAGGTTGTGCACGTGATTATAATCAAGTTCAAATGCATGTGTTTCTCATTAACGATAGTAACAATCGCACTGAATTCAACAACAATCACCAACGACAATCATATCATTTTCAAATATTGGAAAATCTTCCAATCGATACAGTGGTTGGACAACTTGACGATGTCGATATCGATCGTTATCAGCTTTACATAATTAAAGGTGATCCTGATGAACATTTTCGATTGGAATCCAATCTATTAAAAACAAATCATATTCTTGATCGTGAACAAAATCCTCATTACAAACTTCAAACAATTGCCATTTGTTTGGATCATTTTTTCTATATTGATATTGAAATCCACGTAATCGATCAAGATGATTGTCAACCATATTTCCCCGTGCCATTTGATTTGATTCAAATAGATGAAAATGTCCCCATTATGTATACTGTACGACATTTGAATGCAATCGATTTGGATAACAGCGAAAATTCATCGATTATTTATAGATTTATTAATGAGAATCCATTCGATATGTTTATCATTGATAATAACGAATTAAAATTGGCTAAAGCAATCAACAACAATGATGATGATGATAATAATGTTATGAATCTTTTGATGAAAAAATCAACAACAACCACCACCACATCATCGTCAAATATTTATCCATTGATAAAAGTAATGGTCAAAGCAATTGATAAGAATCGAAAACAGAAAATTGATGATGACCATCAACAACAATCAACATTGAATGGTAATGGTCAACAATCAACTTTAACATCAACAGCTTGTGGTCATCATCATCATGATCAAGATGATGATTCAATGGCCATTATCAGGCTATTTATCGAGGTCAAACCAGTTCTTCATTCGCCAAGATGGAAACCTCGTTTCCAAAGGAAATTTATTGAAATTTTTCTCATTGAATCAATTGCTGTGAATGAAATATTTTATGAAATTAATATCGAAAATCTACGTAATGATTCATTTGTTTATTCATTAGTTCCTTCACGACAAGATGATTCAAATTCTGATTCATTCGTTAATCATTTTGCTATATTACCAAGTGGTCATCTTTATGTTCGCAAATCATTAGATCGTGAGAAATCTGATCTATACATTTTTAATATTAGCATGTCCAATGCAGAATTGTTTGCCAGCAACAACCATACCACATCTGTAGATACGATGCAAATGTTGATTCACATTAAAGATGTTAATGATAACAAACCAAAATTTGATCGTGATATCTATGAATTTCAAATTCCAGAGAATTATTCACAAATTTTCTATATTGGCCAAGTACATGCTACGGATGATGATTTGGGTCCCAATGCCCAGATTGTATATAGTATTGTCAATTCATATTATAGTTCATATGCAGAAATTGATCCTACTAACGGTTTTATTTGGACCAATGTTAATTTTGACCGTGAACAATTATCACGTTTCGAGATCATAGTGCAAGCTACAGATCAACCAATTGATGAAGAAAGTTTCACATCGCAAACAATGGTTCGAATTGAAATTCTGGATATTAATGATAATCGACCACAATTTGAAATGCCTTCGAATGTCACACTAATACATCGAAATGATGAAGATGATTATGCTATAATGTATGGTCAGATGATTGTTATTGAAACAGTGGAAATTGGCACCGTTTTAACTAGATTTGAAGCTATCGATTTAGATGTCGATTCTATTATCAGCTATCGATTATTATTCGAATCAAATGATATGATGATTGCCACGATTAACGAAACATCAGGTGTATTAATTCTTGCGAAACAATTGGATCGTGAAATACGTGATAATTATGCATTGATCATTGAAGCAACGGATGGTCGATATTCAAGCAGATTTCATTTAAAAATTATTGTTGAAGATTTTAATGATTGCCAACCAGAATGGATAAATTTCACGGGAAATATCGTCGAATTATTTGTTGCAGAAAATATTTCCATTGGTAGTGAAATCTTTACATTCCAAGCCGTTGACCGTGATTTAGGTTCGAATGCATTATTTCATTTTGCTATTGAAAATCAATCAGGAACCAATCATCACCAGAAATATTTTGATATTCTTAACGAAAAACTTGTTGTTATAAATCGATTAGATTATGAAAAAAATCGTCAACATCTACTTAACATTTCGTTGATTGAAACAGCAGTGAATCGTGTTGCTAGCACAAAATCGATTCGTATCAATGTTTTGGATATCAATGATTGTCAACCAACTTTTGTACGGCGAACTGAAACTGAAGTAATTCGTGTCACGGAAAATATTGATATCGGTAGTAAATTATTATCATTACAAGCCAATGATTGTGATCAAAATGATCGATTAAGATTTGAAATTATTGCTTGTAATACACATTATCATACACATCGCAATATTTATCAATCGATCAATGGTGATGATGGTCCGAATGATCATGAAACAGCTCAACATAAACATGATTCAAATAATTGTCCATTAAAATTAAATGAAGAAACTGGTGAAATTATCAACATGAATAATTTAGATCGTGAAGTTATTGAATCGATTAATCTAAGGCTTTTAGTTCGAGATAATGTTGGTCATGTGGATCGTATGAAAATCATATTCATCGTCGATGATGTTAATGATGAAAGTCCAATGTTTATAACACCGAACACGATTGTTATCGATACTATCGAACATCAAAGACCAAATACGATTATTGGCGCTGTGAAAGCAATTGATCTTGATCTAGGTGTCAACAGTGCCATCACATATAAACTAGAATATTCATCACATGGTCATCTGTTTGATTTGGACCCGTTTACCGGTGTGTTTAGAATGAAAACAGTGATATCGTCATCGATGGAACCAATCATTGTAAATGTTAGTGCTACCGATGGAGGTGGATTGAAAAATTTTGATCTCATTGAATTTATCGTTATCGATTCGAATCAACCATGGTTGGATATGATTGAAATTCGTTTGGATATTAATGAAAATTTACCGTTAGCAACCGAGATTTATCGATTAGAATGTCATGATCATCAATCATCATCCAATGGTGTTGATGGTTGCCATTTTTATCTAATCAATTCCACTGATCGTAATTTTGAAGTCAACAAAATGACCGGAATAATAACAGCTGTTGATCTGATTGATCGTGAAATGCTTGCAAAACGATTATTGCAAGTATTAGTTATTGGACCTAGATATCTACAACGGCAAATGATTCATATTAATGTACTTGATCAGAATGATAATCCACCATATTTGACAAATACATCGATCATAGTAGAATTGTCCGAGACATTATCACCTGGTACAGATGTATTTGACATTTCTCAAATGATTGCTGATGAAGATTTAAATAATAAATTTGATTTTCAAATTATTAATTGTTCTACTTGTTCAACGAATGGTGTATTCGCATTGAATCGTAAAACTGGTATATTTACATTACAGGTAAGCGTATTGATTGTTTTATTTTTGAATATATTTCAATTCAATCAATCAATTTCATTAAAATTGAATTTGGTTTACAGTCACCATTGGATTGTGAGAAAATTGATAAATATAAAATTCTTTTCGGTGTTTCGGATGGCATCTATCTACTTACATCGTTGATGGAATTTCATATTATTGATGTAAGTATTTTGTTTGCTTCCATCATTAATCTTTAACGATTATTCACATGTCATTGTTTAATTGTGATAGGAAAATGATAACCAACCATTTTTCAATCAATCCGATTATGTATTTGGCATAAGGGAAAATACCGAAAGAGGAACAATTGTAAGTACTAATCATTGACCTAATTATATCGATAGTAATCGATCATTGTTTGTTTTCTATCAGATCGGTCAAATACAAGCCTTTGATGCCGATGTAAGCAACAAGAATCTCATCTATTCAATTGTCAATGATCATGATGATGAACAAATGAATGATGTACAATCATCAATATTTTCATTAGATTCACGTAGTGGACAATTTACTTTATCAAAAAGGCTTGATTATGAAACAGATCCAAATGAATATCAATTAAAAGTTATTGCTAGTGATGGAAAATTCAATTCGAACCCTGTAAGAATTACATTCAAATTGATCAATCTTTCAGATAATCCACCTGTATTTGAATCATCAATATATCGGATTGATATTTTTGAAAACAAAATTGCCAATAATATTATTTGTTTACAAGCATTTGATGCCGATTTGGTTAACCACAACATCGAACCACCACCGTCACAAGCCATTGATGATATTATGAATATAACATATCATTTGATCGATAATAATGATGGTCAACAAATACAAATCGATCATAAAACCGGTTGTATATCGATTGTTCGTCCATTAGATCGTGAAACGCAATCATCAATCAATCTAACAGCCATTGCAACGGATGGCTATTCAAATACAACTGCTATTGTATCTGTTCATATTCTCGATGAGAATGATAATTATCCACGTTTTGATTTGAAGAAAACAGCACGAAACATTCGTATTATGGAAAATACAGCTATCGATACGGTTATCTATACATTTGAAGCAATCGATTTAGATTCACCACCAAATAGCTATGTTCATTATGAATTGATTGCCATCGACAACAATGACACTGCTACGTTGCCATTTATAATTGGTCCAATCGATGGTCAATTGAAAATAACCAGTCTGATTGATCGTGAACAAATGGATCATTATGATTTAATTGTCCGTGCAACTGATTATGGTGGACGTTTTAATGATCATCATTGTCGTATAGATATTGATGATCTCAATGATAATTCACCCGTATTTCCACAACATTCATATGAATTACGTGTATATGAAAATGTGACGATTGGTCATACCGTATTCCAACTTGATGCACAAGATGCTGATCCAACTGATGATATTAATTATAAAATAATTTCCGGTGATCCATTTGGTCATTTTCAAATTGATGATGATCAAATCATTGTTGACACTTGGCTTGAATTATGAAGAAATCAATGAATATCAGCTGAAAGTGAATGCAATCGATCGTGCAGGCAATATTGATACGGCAAACATTAGAATAAACATAATGAACGTATTAGATGAGAAACCTTGGTTTGCTGAATCACGTTATGAAGTAAATTGGTTTGAAAATCAAACAGGCGTTATTGGGCAATTTACAGCCATTGTTCGAAAGATTCGTGCCAATGATATGAAACGACCACATTTACGATCATTGTCATCAATGAATCATATTAATTACTTGTTAATGAACAATTATAATGACTGTTTTCATCTAAATTCATCAAATGCCACTTTATCGATCCAAAGACCAATCGATCGTGAACATTTACAGCAACAACAACGATCCAACGTTATTGAATTGAAAGTGATGGCCATTGATTCATTATCAAGGCTTTCAAATATGGCTAAAATTGCCATAAAAATTATCGATATCAATGATAATGTTCCCGAATTTATTCGTGGCCCAAGGGTTTTTCATTTACAAGAAAATCATCAATATGATTCAAATACTTCAATTGGCTGGATACAAGCTAAAGATCCGGATGAAGCAGATATTATTGAATATCAGTTATTACAACCAATTAATGATAGATTCACTATCGATTCAAATGGTATGATACGATTACAATCATCGTGGAGATTTGATCGTGAACAACAATCTGAATATCCAATACAAGTAATCGTTTCGGATTCAAAACATTCGATCAGTACAAATGTATCGATTATTATTGATGATCAAAATGATTGTTCACCACAAATCATTAGAATAAATGGCATTCCAGTCACCAATACAATGTTGAAATTACAAATTCCAGTGAAAAAATTACAATCAATTTTCCAACATAAATTCCCTTTGATTGGTATCGAAGTTTTCGATTGTGATGAAGGCGTCAATGGTCTTGTACAGATACGAATCGATGATGATAGTCTTTACAATGTACTACAAGTAGATGATCAAACTGGTGTAATTAAAACAGATGGCCGTAATCTTAATGAAGAAATGTTAATGCAAATCAATCAAATGGATTTAATAATAACCGATCAATCGGATATGAATAAATTATCTACCGAATATTCTATTGAATTTGATTGGGTCGACAATGATCGATATCGTGAAACAGAATTAATAATTGGAAAAAATTTTATTGAATTATTTATATCGGAAACTAACGTTGTGAATGAAAGTCTTTATCGATTTGAATCCAACATTGATTCATTATCAATTGAAATCTATGCTGGTGATTTATACAATCATTTCACTATTGTAAATAAATCATTGATTAACATCAGACCATTGGATTATGAATCGATCAAATCATATGATCTCTATATACAAGCCACTACCACCACCGACAACAACGATCAATATCAATTCATATTCATACGTTTGAATGTTAAAAACGAAAATGATAATCCACCTTCATTCATTCAACCAATGTATAATGTTTCAATACCAGAAGAAGAATCGGAAATATTTGTACAACAAGTTTGGGCAAATGATTGTGATTCATTGGATACTCACGTTCATTATTCAATCATTGAAGATAATTTACCATTTAAAATTGATTCGAATACTGGCAATATATTCACTACAGATAAAATTGATCGTGAATTGAATGATCATTTCAAATTGACAATTCGAGCTACTGATAATGATGGTTTACAAAGTATAGCTACAGTAATGGTAAACATTGAAGATAAAAATGATAATCCACCACGTTTTACACATTTATTACGGACAAATATTAGTGAACAAACACCAATCGGTAGTTTTATTATTCAAGTACAAAGTATTGATAAAGATTTGGGTAATAATTCATTGGTAACATATAATCTATTGACTGATACGCGAACATTTCGAATCGATTCGTCCGATGGAAAAATCTATTTAATCGATAGATTAGATCGTGAAACAAAAGAACAATATTTTCTAACCGTTACTGCTGATGATGGTAGTTGGAAATCACAAACAACGGTTACCATTTATGTTTTGGATGAAAATGATTGTCGTCCAGAATTTGACCAATCGATTTATGAATTCAATGTGGCTTTTGATCGGTTAGCTGTAAATCATACGATCGGTAAAGTTCAAGCGATTGATAATGATAAATCCTACAATGGTTTAGTAACATATCGTCTGAAAGAACGGTCCAAACATTTTGCAATCGATGCAAAAACCGGGGAAATTGTTGTAAGACAAATACCGAAATTATATGAAACCGAAATGTCATTTTTAAATCGTCATACATTGACTGTAATCGCTACCGATTCAGGACAACGACCAAATTCGAATCAAGCAACTATTTTGATTCGTTATTATTCGAATGTCGATAAAAATAATGATCATCGTGTGATTCAGATTCCTATTGATCTAAGAAACGGAACTTTATTGTATACATCGAATGCAATGATTCGATTAGCTGATGATCATCGAAGTTCTCGAATTTTTCGTACCCACTATAATCAACTTTTATTCAATGGTGAATCAATTGTCGAAATCAACACTGTTTATCCGATTCTTATCGATAATTCCATACGAACAATTTACATTCAATCTATCAACAATTGGCTCAAATCAATTTGCACCCATTTTCACCGCCATCAACAATAATAATTCAACAACCATTTCTGAACGAATTGTTCAAGCAGATCATCTTATTTATCGCTTCAAAGCTAATGATGCGGATATGCCTAATGATTCGGTTAATAGCCAGATTCATTATACATTCAATGTGAGCAAATTGTATTGGAATAAAAATCTCGATGATTATTTAACCATCAACTATAAGGATTCATATGGCAATCTATTCAAAAAGAATCTAAGTTCATTTGAAATTATTGATCAAATTGAGGAATTAGCCGATATTAAGATGCCATTCATAATGAATGAAACAACCGGGGAATTAAAACTTCATCATTATGTGGATTATGAAATTATTACCGGTTATTCATTGATGATTACAGCAAAGGATCGAGCATGGTATCCGAAACAAACATCAATACCATTTAATGTATGGATCGATGATATTGATGATTTTATTGGTTACAGTAAGTTGCGCTTATATCTTTTTTTATCTCATCTGATTTTTAATTTTTTTCTATAGATCTGATAGATTCGGACAAATTATATCATGCATCATCACCGAAACCCGATCCAATGTCAATCGGTGTCATGGTTGTTATATTCTTTTTTGTCATCCTAATCTTGGTTATATCGACCAGTTTTCTTGTCTATCATAATCAACGTAAAAGACTTTTATCGGAAACACGAAAAATTTCCGGAACAAGTGTCTGCAGTTCTACTTTACGTCCTTATGATGTTCATTGTCAATTCTCTAATGATATGGTACAACGATTGCAACAACAACAACAACAACAAACGCAACAACAACAGGAAATAATCAATAGTATTGCTGCGGCAGCAGCTGTAAATCATCGATCACAACCTCCTCAGCAGCACATTCGTTTGAATTCGAATTTATCTCAGTCATCACAATCTCAAGTAACACCACCTCTTGTCGGCATTCAACACTGCCTTTCTTCATCACAACAAATGCCACCCGTTTCTGTCGGTGTCAATAATCCACGAAATTCAATTCGTAAAACTGCTCAACAACAGCATCGTTCAATACCACCTGTTGGTCAACAACACGTATCATCAACATCACTTATGCAAATGGCTATGACTACTAAACCGGATATTGTAACAGCACCAATGCCTGCCGCTCCTTCTCTTCCTCCTCCACCACCACCACTGCCACCGGTAATAAATTCGAATCCAAATGTTCATCTTATGAATTCTCAGCCACCGACCGTAGTATCTTCGATTTATACACATTCAAATTCGGAAAATTATACGGATAATTACAGTAATATTTTAGCTAGTGCCGAACATTATGATCTGGAAAATGCATCATCAATAGCACCATCAGATATCGATATTGTTTATCATTATAAAGGATATCGTAATCGTGATCGTATTGGTAACATACATCACATAAATAGTGGTGGTAGTCAAACATCGAAAGGACATCATCATGCACCATTATCACGATTAAGTCCCAGCGTTAGTGAATTATCTTCAGCCCATCCTCATATCCTCACTCTGCACGATTTACGTGAATCTCAAGCTACTGGATCGGTAGCTATACCACCACCACAACCGCCCATAATGAATCACCGGATACAACAACAACAACCACTACCACCACAATCATCAAATAATAATAAATCCAGAATGATTGACGATGAAATTGAAAATAATTCTTATGGTGCCTATTCTGTTTATACAGGTGTTGGCGGTGATTCTACCAACGGTGGATGGTGAAATGTGTGTTTGTATATGGATAATCTAGTCAACAATTTTTGTAAATTTTTTTGTCCACATCTTAAATGTAAATAATCTGATAAAAAAATTGACCATTATATTATTTAGAAAATTCCAAGAGCTTCAAACTACTACTATTACTGCTAATTAGGTTTTGTTTCCTGTACACCTACATTGTCTATATGTGCCAATTATCATTATCCACATTTATTTATGTCTTTTTTTTTTTTTTTCTGTGAATTTGTTTTTCTCCCATCATTTGTTCATTCTGTACGTACACACACACACATATTGTATTTTGTCAATTTTTTTAAAATTTGATTTTGATTCAATTAAAAATGATGACTATAATTCAAAATCCTCTTTTCATGCAATAAGGATGTAATACAAAGAGTCATTAGCTAGGTGTTAGATTCTAAGATTGGAAAATAAATTTCAAAATAATCGTAATTTTGATTACCCGCTAGATGGCAGGTTGTTTGTTGTTTTTTTTAATTTGTGGCATGTGTTGATGTTTGAAAATTCTTGTTTGTTTTTCTTTGATCAAAACCATGGATCTAATAACCGATAACAAATCATCGATAGCTCATAATCTTGATGCTAAAATATGGCGATCCCAGGATGTCGATCTATCGACATACAGTGAACAGACTTTGAATATGATCGAAATTCGTACACCATCAAATAATACGAATTTTGTATTGAAAAATTCCACCAAGAATACGACGTTTTCATTGATGAAAATTCATAACAGTATTGTTAATGATCTCAAACGATGTGGTTTTGTATGGCCTTCACCGATTCAATCAACTTGCATACCGATTGCAAGACTTGGTATTGATTTGATTGCTCAATCTAAATCTGGTACCGGCAAAACAATCGTCTTTGTTGTATGTGCATTAGAAATGGTTCGTCAAGATCTTCAGAACGAAATTCCATGCCCAAAAGTATTGATTTTAGCTCCCACACGCGAAATTGCCGTTCAAATCGGTGATCTAATTAATTCGATAACAATGAAATGGAAAAATTTTTCCTGTTACAAAGCAATCGGCGGAACAAAAGTTAGTGATGATGTTGAACAATTATATCATTCACAAATTGTTGTCGGCACACCTGGTAGAATTGTATGTCTACTTGAAATGAATTTTCTCAAGCCACATTCGATACGATTGTTTGTTCTAGATGAATGTGATAAATTAATGGAAGAAAATTTTAAAATTCAAATTGATAAAATTTATAATCGTTTACCAATTAACAAACAAATGATTGTCACATCGGCAACTTTGTCTACTGAAATGACTGAATATTTATCCAAATATATGCGCGATCCAGCATCTATACGAATGAATGCCGATAAACCTTCATTGATTGGTGTTGCACAGTACACATTAATGATTGATGGCCATTGTTTGGATTATATGAATTTTGAATCCAAAATCAATCCATTACTTGAACTATTGAATACCATTCGATTCAATCAATGTTTTGTATTTCTTAATTATCAAACACGTGTCAAATATCTTTATGAACGTTTAAATAATGAAGGCTTGTCAGTCATCCACATTACTGGTGATATGTCCCAAAAAGAACGACTACAAACAATCGAAATGTTTCGATCACAAGCGTTTTAAGATATTCATTTCAACGGATCTAACATCACGTGGTATCGATATTGAATCAGTCAATCTTGTTATCAATGTTGATTTACCTATCAATTGTGAAACATATTTACATCGAATTGGACGTGCCGGAAGATATGGTTCATCCGGTTTAGCCATCACTATTGTTGGTCGGGATAGTAATGAATATGGAAAATTTGCCACAATATTATCTCAATATAATTTAGAAACAAAACGACTACATTTACCTCTATCAATTGATCTTTGGGATAATTTCCGCCGCGATAATGTCCATTCTTCTAATGGCCTTCATTGCTCATCAACAACAACATTAAAAGTGAGTCCATTATTCAAACAATTGCAATGTACGTATGAAAAACTTTTAAAAGAGCCAGAATTAATTGTCCATTGTGAGTTCAAATCTTCAAATAACCATATCGAGAAGAAATCTCGAAAACCTTTGTCTCAGATTTTAGAACAACTCAATATTCAAAAAGAAAAACATTTATTATCTAAAGAAATTAATTCAACAACCATTAACAAAATGAACAATCCCAAATCAATTGGAAGCGATAAATCTGAATCGACAATGATTAAATCATCATCAAGGACATCATTATCAAACAAACACGATCAAACTACACCTGAATCATTTGCAAATCAAAACATTAGCAATGACGAAAATATCTCCATCGAAGAAAAAAATGTCAATCATTTAAATCGCAAATGTTCAACAAGTAGCGACGATGATAAACATTCATTCAAGATCACTTCATCAGCTGATGAACAGCAACATGGACAGCAACAAGAACTTCGAAAAATTTTCCATCAAACTTTTCTTAATCCAACGACGATAATCAATCCGCTTAATTCAACAAATCATTATTATGAAAATCAAAGCCATCATTATCAAATGAATTATATCTGTCATTATTTATTGAATGGAGGAAGATTTAACTGATTCGTTTTGATTCATGATTTCAGATAAAATCCATCTAATTTATTTGATCATCATCCTATTAATAAAAATGTTTATTATTCATTTGAACAATTCATCTTTGGCTCTTTTTTATTTTTTTGCAAGTCAATTACACAGACAAACACAATTGTAAATGATTGAAAAATCAAAATCAAAAATCACTATTGTTCAATTGCATCATTCGATTCCTCTCCCCTCTACTCATGGTTTGTATTGATCGAGTAAAAAATATCTTGTCACAATTTTCGTAAATCATTGTTGTTTTTCGTTTTTTCAGCATTTCAGCAACATCAAGATCCTGAATGATGGCAATGGAGCACCATTCAATATAATGTGGATGATGATTATATTGGATACACATACAACCAACCTGTTCCACTAGTTTTTTTCAACTTTATTTCTGATCTTTTTCTCTATTCTTCTGACAATGTGCCTGCACAACAACATATATTCATTCATTTATAATGCCCATTTCGATGTCAAAAAAAATCATCATCAAAAGCGGATTTATCATTTACTTTCCTGTAGCGCTGTGTTCTTGCTGTGATTGCCATCCATTGAAAGAATTCAAAAAGATTGTTGGATTTTTCTTTTACTCTTTTTTATGAAAATTTACTTATCCAAAACATTCAATGGTGGTTTTGGATCGCTGAATGAGAAAAAAAATGTTGAGCATAGTCACCTAGTTTTTGTTTCTACTTCTGTGATGTGTATGTTCGAATGTGTTCTGTTGTCCGTTCAAATTAACATCAATCGAAGATTACAACTGAGGCCATTATAATGATGGCGATAATCATCATCAGCATTCTCTTTGGTTACTATTCGTTAATCTCACGAAATTGCTTCATGTTGGAACAACATGATGATGATCATCATTGTCGTTGTTGATGATAATGGGGCTGATGACGATGATGATGATGATGACAAAAATGATCCAGCAACAAAAACAAAAGATTCTCGTTATTATCTTCAATTTTATCAATTATTTTTTACTTTTTAAATTCTTATCTTTATCAACATCATCATTTAGGGCCAAAATTTGATTGCCGTTGTATGATTAAGTTAATTTGTTTCTTTAATAATAATTGTGTTTGAAATCAACAAATCCACTGTGCCAGCTTCACAAACATTTTGAATCTTGAAATCTTACACCCTGCATTTTGAAACACAACGATTTGATGAAGCCTTTTTTGGTACACACTTCATCATTGACATTGCCGCTGTGTTAATAATTCAATTAATTTCATTTAAAAAATGGAAATACTTAATTTGGTCGTAAAGATAATTTACTAGCTTCTGATGTTGTTGTTATTACTACAGCACATTTAATCATTATCATCATCATTAAGAGGTAGGTTGATAGAAATTTCTTTTTTTTTCGATAGCTTTAAAGTGAATAAATTTTCTTGTCTATTTTTTAAATTTGTTTAGCTTAAATTTATTTGTCAAATATGGATCTACAATACAATACCGTACAGGATCTATTCACTGGATATGATTCGGAAATATTCAATAAATTTCGTCACCTGTTGCATGCAGAGAAAATCATGTTGAATATGATGCAACCGATTAATCGAAGAAGTTTCAGTAATCCTGAGCTTTGTAATGATAATAACAACATAATTAACAATAATTTCCACCAATTTCGTCAATTTTTGATTAGAAAAAATTTTCAACAAATTACGAACAATGAAAATATTGCATCCGGTCCTAGTGAACTGCTGCCAAAATTGGCTAATAATAATTGTGATAATTTCAATGCTTGTGATGTAGAAACAAGACCAACTCCTATTCCACGTAAAAGTCGAAATAAAAAATTACGAAATCAAAATGATCGATTCTTGATCGATTCGATTCGAGATCAAGAAAGTCAACAAAACCAGAATGATAACTATAATGATGATTCTGATCATTTATCAATAAAAACATCGAAAAGTTTACCATCTGAAATTCTCAACAACAACAACAGAAATGTTTTTATTCAAAAATCATTTGAACAATTAGCCAAATTACCAAGCCGATTAGAGATACCGACAATAAAGACGCCCATCAAAATCAAAACAAGTAAAAATTCATTTCGATCATTTTTAATGATCAACAAAATTAAAACGCATAAATTTCTATCATTACGTGGTAGAAATTCGAATCGAAAATCTGTAGCCGAATTAAATGATTATCATCATCACCGAGAACCAAGTGGATATAGACGACCAACTCGAATGCCACCTCCACCACCTGATGTACGTTTCAGACCGCCCGCACCATTACCTGAAGAAAGGATCGATGATGATGATGAAAAACTATCATCGATACGGAAAACAACGACAAATGATACAATTAGCGAATTATATCATGATTCGGCTAATATTTATGAATTCGATGATGACATTTATTGCAGTGTTGAAGAAGATGAAAGTATCATTAAAAGTAATGAAGAAATCGGTACCAGTTCAACAACATGTAGAAATGATTATAAGAAAAACAATTCAAGAAAAAACACAAATGCTAATTCTTTATCGGACAATGATGATGACGATGATGAAGAAGAAGACGATGATTATTATGATGATGGTCTTTGTATTTATGAAGAATTGTCATCAGGAGAGGGAACAATTTACGAACCTTATGGCCAAGATGATGATGATGATGGCGACGATGATGATTTCATCTATGATAATGTTGATGTTGATAATTTTGATGATGAAATCAACAATGAAAATAATGATGAACAAGATAATAAAAAATGTATTAAACAGATGAAAAAAATTGAAAAAGTTATGAAACGTTTCAATTTGACTGGTAAAGAAATCCCAGTAAATGCTGGAATTGTGAAAGAATCCTATAAAAGTCGCTCAAAATATGATCTATTAGTCAATCAAGGTGAAACTATTCTTATATTACGTATGGAAAACAATCCACCAGGTAAATGGCTAGCGAAAAATGAACGTTCCAAAATTGGCTATATTGATCTCAACAATGTATATCTCGAAACCGATGCAATTAAAGCGGCATTTGAAACTTTAAATTGAATCATCATTGCGAAATAATAATTTCATTTTCATCGCCACAGACGAAATGGAAAAAAATGATCATAAAAATTTTTATCGTGTATGAGAATGAATAAATGAACGAAAAAATGAAAAAAAAAAAAAAAATAAAATCTGATTTACAAAATCAAATATGGAAAAAACAAAAATCATGTGACTTGATATTGTTTCAGAATACAAAAAATTGTTTGATTTTCATTGTTTTTGTTTTTTAATATTTGTGTTATTACTTTTTTTTACTTTTGTTTCAAATAAATTATTATTATTATTATTTAACACATTGAAAGTCACAATGGGCTAGCACAATGGATGAAAAATATGTGGTTTTTTGTAAAATCGATTCTTTTCAGTTGCTGTTGTTTGTTTGCTTGATAGTTGAAATAAATGATGATCACAATGAATAATTGGTTTTATTTTGTTTGTTGAGACGATGTTTTTTTTTGTTGAGAATAGGAAAGAAATGAAAAATTGAGAAATTTGCATTTAATTTGATTTGATCAATGCAGCAAAAACGGCCCACATTAATTCATTGGTGTTCGGCTTTTGACTTTCGGCTTCCATATCCAATTCAAGAAGCTCACGTGTACGTTTCATTGCAACTTCATAATCATCATCCGATAATGACATGAATGCATTGTCCAATACATCCGATGAATGGCTTAATAATATCAATGATAACATTCGTTTATCCATCCTATGTGGATCATTTACCCATTTAGATAAAAGTGAATCTTGTACTTTTTTTAAAATCTTATTCTTTATAGTCATATTGATTATTGGATGTGTTGTCATATCAAATAGGAAAAAATTGTGCTTTTCAGTTGTTAACACGCCTTTTTCAACTAAATTTTTGGCTAAACGTTCACGAACATTTTTCAATTGATATCGCAATTTTAATAGATTCCACGTCTCTCCTGTATATAAATAAGAGTTGATGTATCTGTGTGAAAAGTTTCAAAGATTAACCATTAAAATGACTTACCGCTAAGATAATCGATCCAGCATTGTAGAGTTTCAGGAATTTCTGTTTCACGAATATGTTTCAATGCTTCATCAAGTAAAGCATCACCCGTTGGTTCAGAATTTTTAATAACAACTTTACGTAATAAAAGTCGCCGTTTTCTACCGGGACATTTTTCCAATTCAATTTTATCACGTAAAGCTAATTCGACTAATATACATCCTCTAAGGCCGGTCGATATGCAATCATTCCAGAATGAAGTATACCCCTAACACCACAAAGTGAAAAAATCGATAATTTTTTCTGGCAAAAATCATCTAATTAAATAATGAAACTTACCTCTTTATCTTTTAAACCTAATAATAACACCTCTTCCATCAATGATAATCGTGTTTCTTTTGAAGATGAATCATAATCACCATTATAACAATTATTATCTTCATTTTCTTTATTGATATTATTTGCGCTTGTTGAACTGGCTACACGCCTTTGTACTAATCCATCTGTTCGATGCATTCTATTCACTTTTTATGTTTGTTTGTGGATGAAGAAATTGTAGAAAAATTTTTAACGGCGAAAATTTAATTTCGAAAACAAAATTCTAGAAAAAACAACTTCAAATTAAAATAACTAACAAAAGAATTACAAAAAAATTACCTTTTTCCTATATCGAACAAAACAATCAATGGAAGGAAAACATTTCGTATATTTCAATTTGTAAAAAATGAAATTGATCCAGTTGTTTTTGTTGTGGAACGATAATATGAATTATGGAATTGGAAAATTTTTTCGCCTAAACAATTCCTTTACTGTTTATTCGCCAGATAATTGAAAGACTTTTTTGTTTGTTTGTTTGTTTGTGTATATGGATAAAGATTTGCTATAAATAAATGGCTTGTTTGTTGTGTATACTGTTGGTTCACTACAGATTTATGGAATTGATGATTCAATAAACAGAAACAAAATCGAAGGATGGATGTGTGGATGTGTTTGGTGATTGTTATAAATGTTATCAAAAGATTAATGGCACTAGTCCTCAATGGTGGTGGCTGATTGTTGTTACAAATATGATGAAGACGAAAATGTTTATAATAATGATGGTGATGATTATCAAGTTGCACTATTAAAATTGAAAAAAGTTGAAAAAAGATGAAAAAAAAATTATCAAATACTTTTCATCGCTTGTTATTGGTCAAATTATGTTTCTTTCTTCTTCATATAGATAGATTCTAACATTCATTCGGATATGATTATGGTTTGTTCAAATGAAGTGACGATGAATCCGAAAAAACGCCATAACAATAGCGTTAACGAGGATAATAATAAGATGGTTATATGATGACTGATAAAGAGCGATAAGAAACAATTGCAGACATAGTAAAATGACACACACACACAAAAACTTTTGGCTAATATCCTTGGATTACGATAATGATGATGTGTACCATAAATGAGATGATCTATTATTTGAAAATGAAAATTCACCATAAAAAATTCGAATTAGTCACACAAACACAAATTTAAATTTAAAGATACAATTCGAATCTCAAATTGATGGAAAAATATAAGAAAATATTTTGTGGATAGATAGATTCCATAAAAATCGAAACAGCAATTGGATGATGTGCCTTAAAAAAATTATTATGATAAATGCTCAGTTGCTAGTCCAATATCATATTTTTCAATAAAACTTGTACTGATCGTCGTCATCATCGCCGTCTTTTGGTTAGTTGGTCTGTATTTGTGATGTTTAAATTGCAACAACAGATCGTATTCGTTGATCATCATCAAAAATGATTAAATTGTTGTAGCTCAAATTCAAAATGAGCATGCGTGTATTTTATTTATTATTTTTTTCATGAAAAAAACTAGATGGCGATTTCATGCATTTTTTAAAATTTTTTTCTTAATAATTTGTAATTTGTTCCAGAATTCAAGAACCACATCCCCACCAAAAAAATGATTTGTAATAAGTAATTAATACATGATTGTTTTGTTCAAGATGTATGTATGAATGTCGTGATGATTCAGTGAAAATACAGATTTGAAATCAAAATATAAAAATTGATATAAAAAAACGTAAAAATTTACATACAAATTATAATTGAAAATTATTATTGTGAATTTTTCACCACTTGGAATTTGAAAAAAATGTCAAAATAATTACAATGAATCCGTGGATGATGTGATGATGAAATTGATGAAAAATAATTCATTTTTGTAATCCTATTATTCTTCTATGTACAAAAATCATCGATTAAAACGAATAATAATTATTATTTATGTTCATTTAAGACAGCCAAACATTGGGCAATTGTTCGTGATTCATCTCGGCCTTCAGCAGCTGATATTTCACAAAGCTGTGATTCAAACAATTCAAGTGATCTATTCAAACAAAATGGAAAAACAATTTTCTTATTAATTAAGATGAAATATGAGAAACACAACTTACTTTTTAATGAAATGAGATCGTTTGGCCAAATTTCTCAATATTAATGCTGTTGTCAAACGGATACTAACTGTTAATGGTGTTAGTGGAGTGATTGGTTCCGATGCTTCTTGCTATATATATAATAATTATAATGTGTTAGTAAGTATTAAATAAATAAAATTGATTTTATCATCTATCATCATCTACTAACCAGTGTTTTATTTGTATAACGACGAATGGCTAACATAGCTGCATTTTGTGCATAACCAGGGTGGGCTGGTGGAGCTGGTATTATAATGTTGGTTGTACCAGTCGATGCTAATTGTTTTTTTCGTTCTAATTCTTGTTTCAATGCATTCGGGTTGCAATGATAATCCTTTCAACAAAAAAAACATTTGAAACCGATTACAAAAATAAAGAAAAATTATCATACAAATATACCTGCAAATGTGTGAGTAAAGATAATTTAGGCCGTTTCGATAGACATCCTGGTCCTCGTCCTTCTGCACCACCCCAAAGACAATTCATAAAATTTGGACACGAAGGCGTCATTATGTGTTGAGAATGTACATGATAGAAAACATCCGATGCCCTTGAGAATTTCCTGCAAAATGATTTGGATGAGAATTTATTAATGAATATGTTATAGATTTTACATACATTTGACAATTATTCCATTGACATTCGAATTCGATGCATGGATTATTTGGATGAACTTGTTTCGGTTCAGCGATTTTAATCTGTACATTCGATGTTGGTATCTTGGCCATCTCTTGTTGTGTTGCCAATGGGTTGATACCATTAGTTTTCTTTTGAACAACTGATGATGGTTCATTAGGTTTCAATCTTTTGTTTAGTTCGGTGGTTGTTTGATTTTCTAATGGATGTTTTGTATGGGTTATTGGAATTTCGGCGTTAGTCGATGTCAGAATGTTCATTTTTCCAGGTGTTTTCATGTCACCATTTACAATGGTCACCGGTGTTGTTGTTGACGTTGTAGTGGTTAATCGAATATTGTTCCCAAGTGCTTGTTGTATTGCTAAATTTGATGCAGGTTTGACATCAGGAACAATTACTTTCGTAGGTAATTCAGGTTTCGATGCTGGTGTTGGATTATTCGGTGCAAGAATTATCATTTTAGGTTGTGTTATATTAGAATTTGGTGCTGATGTAAGTGGATGATTTTGTATAATCGTAGTATTTATCGGTTGGGCAATTGTTGTTGGCACAGTTGTAACCGTGGGAATTATCTGAGGCTGAGGCGTTGTGGTTGTTGTATTCAAAGTTATGGCTGCAATCGTAGGAGTGGCCGAAGAATTATTCTGTTGATTAGGAAAATCCGGCAGCTTTCCTTTGTCCAACAATACATTCAACAATGGTGATGAATTAGCAATGGATGAATTTTTCATGACAGGTGTTGTTGCTACTATTGGAGCTGATTTAGATTGTGAAGGTATTGTCATATTAGTCGAAACAATTACTGGAACAGTATGTCCAGCGGTTGTAGTTGTTGCTGGTGATATTAAAAATTGTTGCTGAGGTACAGATGATTGTTGTGAAATCAGATTAGCTGTTTGTATGGAATTATTAATTGCAGTTTGAACAACTGTCGGTGTTGCTGCTGTTATACCATTGATATTGATTGTATTCGTTCCAGAACATGGTGGAACTGGGAATCGTTGTTGAATCATTGAAGCTGGTAACAATAATCGAACAGGAGTATTCGAATTTTGTTGACCTGTTATAAAGGTACGAACTAGGAAGATTTGTTGTGAACCTTGAAGTGGATTGGAAACTTGTGGTGATGATTGATGAATTGAAGTCGGAACAATAATGTTGTTACCGATAACGGTTGGTGTGGTCAATGCAAACGATGTAGCCGGCGAATTCTGTGCTATTATAATGTTTTTCTGTTGTTGTTGTTGTTGTTGCTGCTGATGTTGAGGTTGTGATTCAGTCATCAGAGGTTTTGATACATCTTGAGTGGTTTGTGTCGCAAGAGTTGCAGCTATATGTGTTGTTGGTTGTTGAATGGTGGCAACAATATTCGTTTGCTGTTGTTGTTGTTGTTGTTGTTGTTGATTACTTCGAAGTTTATTAGCCAACAAACTTTTTATCAATGTTGATGCGTTTGTTGGTGTCTGAGATGTAACAGATGATGCCGCCGGTGTTGTCACCACATTTGTTATTGTACCATCTGGTAATTGAGTTTTTGGTGGTGTACTTAAATGTGCTTTCAATATCGGAGACATCTGATTGTTGACAACATTGGTCATCAATGGTTTTTTCTGATCTTCAATCATTGTCATAGTCATTTTAAGATTTAAACCTTCCACCGATTGCTGTTGTTGATTAATCTGACACTGTGGAAAACATCGTTTGAGAAGAAAATTAAATGATTGAGCAGCAATAACATTACGACGAGAATTTCGACAACAATATTTGACATATTCAGCATAGATATCATTGATTTTAAGTGAACATTTTACATTCACTTCTTCATAGGTCATTCGTAACCAATTTATAGCAAATGATTCATTATCTAAAATGTTAAGATTTAATGTAGTGTTCGGTATCGATGTAATTAGTGGCTTCTGTATTAATTGTTGTTGTTGCTGCTGCTGTTGTTGTTGTTGTTGTTGGATTTGATGATTAGCGATATTAATGATTGGAGCATTCGAATTCGATTGTATTGTGAATTGAGATTGTTGTTGTTGTTGTTGTTTTGGAAGTAGTGTAGCTTGAGGATGCGATATAATTGTTGTTGTGTTGTTGGTTGTGGTCACAGAAATATTCTGATTATTGAGAATTATTTGAGTTGGACGATGAACAATTTCTTCATTGGGTCTTGTGTCGATAATTTTGATTTTTTGTAATGCACCTGTAGTGAAATATTGTGCAGCTTGACAATTCAATAGATTGACTAAAATTTTCAAAAATGTTCTGCTATCATTATTGATTAGTACATTCGGACGAGATTCAGAAAGTACGAGACAAAATTCCAACAATGCCAATACTAATGCAATATCATAATGACAAGTAAGAAGTTGTGTTATCCTTTCATATATTTGATCATTTTTAAAGTGCATTTCCAGCAACATATTAGCTTCATTATTTGTAGCTGAAATATAACGGGCCATAATTTCAAATGATTTTGTTGTATCATGTATGTTATTGCTATTCAATGATGTTTCAACAATACGTTTGAATAAAATATGCAGCAATGTTAGAAATTTTTGTTCATAAGGTCTTGCAAAAGAAAATGACAAAGCTGGTGCAATATTTGATAAAATGTCCAAAGAAATGTTGATAAATTTAACATTATCTGAACAAAATAAAAGTGTGAGTAGTTTTAATAAAGGTGTCATAGCCACATGATTCGATTCATCATTTTGATCATATGTAAATGAAACATTTCTTATCATATCAGCGATCAAAGTTATTCTTTGTTCAATCTTTCGATATAAATGTGGTGGAAAATCTTTATAATAAAATAATCCAATCGAATCAAAGTCTATATCATCGGATGATTCATAAAACATTAAATTTAACAATTCTTCATTCGAACATGTTTGAAGCCAAAATTTCAGAAAACAACTACATTTATGTTCAATGATTTCGATAGAATTTTTCTTCAATTTTGGTATTTCATATTCATCCATTTTGGACATTCCACCATTCAATTTATTCGTCGATTTCTTCATATCAAAGTTTTCATTGGATTCGATTTTCGTTTGAAAATTTGATTTAATCACTGATTCTAATTTGAGAATTTCATCTTCATCAGTAAAATCTTCACGACCAAATTGTTGTTCTTCGTCATAATGATCACAAACACAACAATAGGATTTAATTGATTCAACTAAAATATTAATAAATTTGAAATCATTATGCCAATTGAATCGATGACTATTGGTTAATATGGTGGCAACATTATAGGCAAATTGTAGTTCATTTGGAAGGCCACTTAATAGTGAACAATATAATTTACTATCATTATGTATCTGACCATTGGATTCAGTAATATTGTTTAAATAATCACAAATTGGTGCTTGATTCAATGAATTTTGATGATTGTTTTGATGGTGGTGATAAGAGTTGGAAAAAATTGCACTATTTTCAAACAAAAAATAAAGAAAAAAGAAATGAAAATTACGTAATAATTGTGGAAACTTACTTTTCATCATCATCATCATTTTCATTCCATTGTTCGCTACTAAAATTTCCATTACAAGATTTTTCATATTGCAATAGATAACGATTGTAAATCTGTCGTAATGCAACAGCAAAATTGGCTCCAACGTAATTTGTATTGAATAATTTGAAATAAACATCATCCCAAAGATTGAATTGATTCACTTTATAGCTACCACCGAATTCTAAAACACGTGCATACAATTCAGAAAGATCGACATTTTTTCCATTCAATCTTGCTATAAATTTTGATGGATGGGCCGCGGAAAATCCACGATTACGATAAAATTGTACAAGATCATTGATGAATTGTTCTTGTTTTGTTGTCGTTTTCGTTGTTGTTGCCATTATATGTGTGAATTTTTCAAAGGACTCAGTGCCACTGATGATGATTAATTAATACTGTTTTAAGGTTTAGGTAAATATCTTTTTGAAAAAAATTTCTAATAATAATGATGCCGGTATATTATTGATGATACTGATAAGGCCAAAGATAATGATCATGATTGACAAGTTCCAATGATGATGATTACTTAATACTCTGTGTAATAATTACAACAAAAAAATGACATTTAGAAAGAGAAAAACAAAACAAATTCAAACAACAAAGATTTACATGATTTTTCAATAATAAAAAACGTTCGCGCGCATCAACACTAAAAAAAAGAAAAGGAATTTCAGGTTTTGAAACCAACGGTAATGTTTTATTTTCTCGGCGCCAACATAATACAAAGTTTCAGTTTTTTCTGTTGTTTTACACATACCAGAAAAAAATGAAAGAAAATGGCACATACAAACATATATAGCAAAAAAAAAAAAAAAAATGTTTTCAATGAGATTCTCTCACAAATGAAAGTGTTATATATCTTGTTATTGTTATCTGTGTATATGTGTGTATCTAACTAATAAGAAAGTCTGATTTAATGTTGCTTGTATTTTATATATTTTGGTGGTAGTACAGACACATAAACACACACACACACACACACAAGATGTTAATGTACTATAGAAGATTGATTTATTCTTGATTCTTTTCTTTTTAATACTACTACTACTACTAATTACTATATTCTTACACACACACAGACACCAAAAATCTGGTCATAGGTCATGGACCATCTCCATGATTCTCAATTACAATTCATTCATTCATAGAATTTGTGAGCAAATAAATGCGTATCTGAAGAACAAAAAAAAACCGGCAAGATATAATGAATTTAATTTATACAAAACAAAATAAGTTATAAACAAATCGTTGACATTATTTCATCATTGAATAAAACGATCCAAAATTTTAGTTATTTTGCAAGCATTGGCAAACATTAAAAAAAGGAGACACCCAATTTTCATCGCAATCGAAAAGGATATTCGAATTACTTTCAGACGGATTTATAAAATGAAATAAGATAAGATGACAATTTAAAATTGAAAAAATAATTTTCTAATACTTACGATTTATGATGAATGATACTATGAAATTTATTACACTATTAATCAGAATCGGTAATTGAATCCTAATGATGATGACAATGGTGATGATGAATGATGCAATGAACAAATAAATTGACCTGGATTATGATGAATATTTATTGTTGATATCGAAAATCTCACGCGCGCTTTTTTTTAATCAACCAGATAACACACACATACACACACAAAATAAAAAATCCGCGCGCGCGAGTTATTTCTCGTTTTTACTTTCTTTAGCGGAGATCGATTTTTATTCTCGTTGATACACAACTTCTGTTCGGATATTCATACAACAATGACGACGACCACGATGATTCTGGATCTAGATCTAAAAAAACACAGCGGACAATTGTGGTCGATCCAATTGGAATCCAGTTGAAGTCAAATATATACAGGACCAATGAGCAATGTGAATAGTTCGTGCGTGCGTGCATACAATTGAAACAAGAACGAAGCTCAAATTACCACCACCAGCAAAATTGAACAATGCATGCAGAACACACACACACACAATAAATAAAAAAGAAGAGAGAGAAAAAAATGGATATTATTCATAAATGACGTAAGTGCAATTCTTAGGTGATAATCAACACACATACTGTCCAGTTCCGTTTTATTTTCATTTTTATGATTGAATGAGATTATCATTACAATCTTGATTCTTTTAATTGTTTCTAATTTTTTCGCCGTTAAAAAATAATTCGATCATGTGAAAAGAATAATCAATTTGTGATGATTAAACTAAATCTTATCATAATGAGTGTTTTTTGGTCATTTAAAATTCAATCACAAAAACAATATTCATTGTGCATGTAGAACATTGTTTCAATTGTCGTTGATTATCATACATTCGTTTCATCATCGATTATAGATATTTAATCTTGACATCATCAAATTCATTTTCATTTTAAACCTGAAAGCTGATTATGCCATCTATTGTTTGAAAATTACAAAAAAAATGAATAAAATTTTTCACTATCAACGAACAGATTGATGAAGCCATTTTCAAACAAGATGTCCATTGTACATAATGATCATTTCACGAATAGCGACATTTTTCAATAGGTTAATTTCAAAAACAATAACAATGATGATGATGATAATGATGTTATTCAAAAGATAAAAAAAAACTTTTTGAAAACAAAAGATGCATCCTAAGCAAATTCGTTATACATTACGGATAACGGACATAATTATGACCTGTTGTTGTAGTCATCATTATCATATATCTGACAAAAAAAATTTTGATAAATTTTAATTATCATATGATTTCGAATGAAAATTGTTCATCAAGTAAGAAAAAATGAATTTGAAATGTGTGTGTGTACGCGCTTGTTTTTTGCTTATTCTAAAAACTGACCACAACATCGTATCAAAAAAATACGTGTAATGGAATTGGTTTTTTTTCTTTCTTCTTTTTGCAATTGCCCAAATGGACAAAGGTATATAAAGGTGAAGGAGTGGCCTTTGTTCGTGGCCAGCATCGTAATCATCATCATCATTATCATCATCAAACCAACAACAACATCAACAAAAAAAAATGAATCAAAGTTGAGAACAAGAGAGAGAAAGAAAGTCTCTTGTTATTTAAAAAAAAATGATAGAGAGAAAGCTACTTGTTAGCTGGTCTTGTCTTTCTCTCTCTTTCTCTGACAGTGACTATCTCTATCTATCTTTGTAGATTGGGATACATGAATGAATGAGATGTATGTATGGTAAAATGGTCGGTTTTACCACCATTATTCGTAGCCATAGTAGCCATCAAGTCGTCGTCATCATCATCATCATCATCTACTATTCTATCCAACCATCCATTTGTCTATCTATCCATAATCAAACAACAACAACAACAACAGCAACATCGTTTGTTTATTGTGTCTCATGACATACCTGTGTGTTTATGCGTTGCCATCACGATTATTTCAAATATAAAATTTGTGGCCGTTTTTTTTTTTTTTCGTTTCTCATTCACATATTTTGTTTGATTATGATGTTTATTGTATATGTATGAATGATAATGATTAGTTGATTTATATATTATTTTGTTGTTTATGTGTTTTGGTTGTTTATTTCTGGTGATGTCGACATTTATTTTTTCACTGGTTTAGTTTTTTTTTTCTTTCTTTGGAATGTTTCAGCATTTATATTCAAACAAGACAAGATTTATTGTTCAACAACTCGTTGTGTGTGTGTGTGTGCATGTTTGTGTTTGAATCATGAAGCATAACAATCATAATTTTACACCTTAATATCGGTATTTTTTTTTGGTGATTAAACTGTGAAAAAAAACTTCCGAAAATTCTGCTAATTTGTGGCATTCAATTTCTCACCTGCCACTGGTAAATTTGAATTAACTTGAAAGTAGAAAAAAAAAGAAATCAACTTTTCTGAATGGAAACATTGAGAGGAATCATACCAACAATATCTACAGAAACTGTTGAATTTATTAAAACCGTGCCACAAAAATGGAAATGTGATAAATGTGGTGTTATAATAGGAACATTATGGCGTTCCAGCCCGGTGGTAACCACCAATGGTAATCATCATCATCGATTAACCAACGGTGTCATCAATGGTGGCGGCAATAATGGTTTACCACCACCATCATCATCATTACATTGTGTTCATCGTTTTTGTGGCCAATGTTTGGACACTGTATTCATTGGTGTTCAAACAGTTGGAAAATGTCCATTAGATTCAATGACAATCTATAAGAAACAGGTAAACATTCCATTTCAAATACCATTTTCAATTATCAATCGAAAATGGTGAAATCTATTTTTAAAGATTCGTTATCATCAGGTGAATTAGAGAAAAAAGAGAAAAAAACCAACCAACAAAAAGACCGTAAATCATTTCCATTAAAGAAGAGGAAACAAAACACAAAACGAATACGAAAAACAATCAACAGATTGTAAGCAAGCAAAAAAATGCACATCAATCATTCATTTCTTTGTAGAACACAAATAAATAAGCCTTGACCTAGATTTATTATAATTTTTGTTGTTGTTCTAGTTTTGTTCTTGGTTAATTTAACCGAGTATTAATGAATGAATGAATGCCATGGTTACAATTTTTGGAATCTAGACAGGATTTAATCGAAAATCAATTTTTTACTTGGAAATTGAAACTGTCAATCAATGAAAAATATTTAATGAGAAAAAATTATTAACCGCAATCATTTATTTCATTTTTTCGTCAATAGATGATTGAAAGTGTCACAAATATTGACAGTATTCTCACACAAGAAGTATATTGTACACATAAAGCAAGAGGATGTCGAAAAACATTACTTTTATCGGAATTAGAGGTAAGAAAATCGATCAATCAATTGATAATGTGTGTGTGTGTGTGTGTGTGATTGAAAATGACACAAATTTTTTTCATCAATTAGAACCATCTTAAATCCTGTCTTTATGGTCTTGTACATTGTCCATTGAAATGTGGCCAAGGTGTAACGATAAAATCTCTCCCTATTCATATGGCAACCGAATGTCCAAGACGTGCCGTATCATGTATTTATTGTGAAGAAGATATTGTGCTGGAATCAAAAAATGAACATGAAAATCAATGTCCTAAAAAACCAGTAATTTGTAATTATTGTAAAAATAAATCATTATTACGTGCTGATTTGAAAGATCATCTGGAAAAATGTGAATTGAAACCACGTAATTGTCGCCTGATTCCATTAGGATGTAAATTTTCGGTTAGTTTTCGGCAATTAATCAATGAATTTTCATTTAAAATTTGAATCTAATTGAATTTTCCAATAGGGAACACAAACCGAAGTTGAACGTCATGAAAAAGATTGGACAGCGCATATGGACATTTTTGTTAAACATATACTTCAAACCGGTACAATAACGCAGGATAAACCGCCAAGAAATCGTTTAGCGGATGTTGTAAATATTGTTAAAAATCTTAATGCTGAAAATGCCGAATTAATGGATCGTGTTAATGAACTTTCGTTGAAAGTGGAACATTTAGAAGAAACAAATCGGCGATTAAATGATCGATTGATAAAATTTGAAACTATACAAAAAGCAGATATGGCTTCTATTCGAACTGTGATTGAATTGATGAGAAAAGAACTTGAGGTATATGAAACAAAAAAAAATGAAAATTTAAATTCTAAACAAATTTTTTCTTCTCACTACCTAAATAGAATTTCAAAATTGATTTCACCAGAACACGTGACGACGATGAAGAATCAGAAGTTTGATATATTTTACGGCTTGAAAATAATCAATCAATTTATATATTGACCATTTGGGCATCTCTAGTCATTTGAATTATACATGACGCCCTTTTTCAAAATTTTTTTTATTAATTTTCCTGATTTTTTTACACATTGAAAAAAGTCAAAAAAATTATACACAATTGATATTTTTGTTTCGTCAATTTTTTTTCTTTATTCACACAGTGTACATATAATAATAAAATATTGATTTTGAATCAAAATGAAATGTAATCAAATTGGTCTTTTTTGTTCATTGGAATTGAATTGAATCAATCAAGACTACTTCATGCTTTTGTTTTCAATGCCATTTTCAATGATGATTTGACCAAATGTGTTTGTGTTTGTGTCTGTCTTTTTGGAACATTTACCATATAATCAACATCATGATGATGAAATTGGCGCCTTGTTGTTTGATGGATCATTTTCAACATCTGTCATTTTTCAAGCAAATTTTTTTTTCTTCTCTCTTTCCTTTTCAAACATGTTTTGTTGATTTTTATTTTTTTTTAATTGAAACACAATGCACATCTGCCGCCGGGCCTTTATTTGTATAAAAAAAAACAAATTCAAGTTCAAATGAAAAACCTGTAGGTCATCATAATATTATCAAATTCATTTATTTGTAGGCAAAAAAAACGATAAAACTTGGAAAGTTATTTTTACGAATACACTTCCGCGGATCAAAGTAATCGATCGATTTGTTTCTTTTTAATGTTCTAATGAAACTTGCATTTTAATCGCGATTAATCATCATAATCAATCAATTTTGTCGATAATTTAAAATTAAACGATTTTCGTAAAGTAACGTCATTTGTGAATTTTGCCTTTTAAATGGGATTTTTTTCAATGAATTTTTTTTTCTCAGGTGACAAGCTAGCGGCAAACTGACGTGGCTAATCGACTAATAATAATATTGATTTTAAATTCAACTTTTCTTCGTTTTTCTTTCGCTACACCATAATCATCATCATCATGGTATTTATTTATTATCAATGATTTAATAAACAAAAATTTAATTTGACAAAAATTCCAGGTCCTTTTAGCCAGTGCCGTCATTTCTAAACAGAATGGAAAAATTTTACTTTCACGACAATTCGTCGAGATGTCTCGGTCTCGTATTGAAGGTGTTTTGACCGCTTTCTCTAAGCTCATCACTAAAGATAAACAGCATACGTTTATTGAAACCGATACGGTAAGAATTGATGAGGAATCTGTTTGAAATACTGATCGTTTCTTGAATAGGTTCGCTATGTTTATCAAGCTTTGATGGATAAACTCTATTGTGTTCTGATTACAACAAAAACTTCCAACATTCTTGAGGATTTAGAAACGCTTAGATTATTTGTTCGGGTTATTAACGAATATACAATAACTAGCAAGAATCATTCGGACGAACAAGCCATTTCGGACAATGCTTTCACGTTAATCTTTGCTTTTGATGAGATCGTTGCACTTGGATATCGTGAAAATGTGAACATGTCACAAGTTCGAACATTCATAGAAATGGATTCAAATGAAGAACGTGTATTTGAAGCTGTACGTAAAACACAAGAACGTGAAGCTAAACAAAAAATGCGTGAAAAAGCAAAAGAATTAAGTCGATTGCAACGTACACAGCAAAATGAACGAATAAGTAAAATGCCCGGTATTGGAAGTGGTGGTATGTCATCGAATACTTCATCTTACACCGGAATCAATTCATCATCAAATGCATTCGACAATAGTTATGATAGCCATAAAAATATTAGCTCTCCTATTTTGTCGAATAAACCACAGAAACCTAGAGTAAGATTATTATATATTTGTTTATTTTGATAAATTTATGGATGTTTTTGTGTTTTATCTTCGTTAGGGGCCTTCGAAAGCATTGAAATTAGGATCGAAAAATGCTAATTTATTTTCAACAGAAGAACAATTGTCCACTGAACTCAAAGAAGAAGTTAAACCAGTGGTCAAGAATACGGCCCAGGAACAGGTGCATATTAACATTGAAGAAAAGTTGAATATTGAAGTATCCCGCGATGGTGCTGTACATTCATCTGAATTGACCGGTGTGTTGCATGTTCTTATTCGTGATGAACAATTTTGTCGTGTCAAATTTTTGGTCGATTGTGAAGATTCGGAAAATGTTCAAATTCAGGTTAGTATAATTAACTAAAATAATTTAAATGTTTACTTTTAAATTATTTTTCCAAAAAAACAATACAGAGTCATCCAAATGTAGACAAAGAATTGTTCCGCCAACATGGTCTAATCACATTGAAACAGAAAGCATTTCCATTGAATTCAAGTGTTGGCGTATTGAAATATCGTCGTACAAGTCAATCAGGAAAAGATTGGCCACCACTTGTATTGAATTGTTGGCCAAATGGAAATAATTGTAATTTGGAACTAATTGTCAACAAATCATTGACTGAGCTATCTATATCAATTCCGTGAGTGACATTGATGGATTACTTTTTTTTTATTCATATCATTATCATTATCATAATGATGATTATTACAATGAATAATAATCAACTCTAAATAACACGTTTTTTTTCTCAATTTCTAAATTCATTTGATACAGATGTCCTTCACAGCCAACCGTAAATGAATGTACTGAAGGTGATTATTCATATAAACGTGGCTTTCTTGTATGGGATATTTCAATGATTTCACCTGAAAGTAAAACGGCAACCATTGATTTTGATCTTTCATCATCAACAACAACAGCATCGGCCGAAGATTTTTTTCCAATCAATTGTACATTCAATTCTACACAAAATCTAGCAGGACTAATTGTAAGTTGTTTATTGTTATTGTTACTGTTGCTGATGATGTTTAGTCAAAATATCAGTAGCATTCATCAGCGAAAAATTTTACATAATTATTGCACCTGCTGTCAATATATATATTGTCTTTTATTGTCGTTTTTTCCTTTAACAATCAATGTAATTTAAATTTTATTTTAATCTCATTTTTTTGTTTTAAAATTTAAAATTCAGATCAAAGAAGTTCTTGATGATGAAGTCGAAGATATCAAATGGAGTTTTGAATCTAAATTGAATGTGGAAAAATATGAAATCGTATAGTGTCGTTGGTGGTGATGCATGATACCTATTGGGAATTGCAGAATATCAGAAGAAGAAAAAAATTCTTCATTTAAAAAAAATGAGAGTGCTGGAAACGCACACAAAGAATCGAAAACAAATCTAAACACACTAGAGAATAACAACAACAACAACAACAAAAAATTTGCAATCAGATTTTTACATTTCATTTTTAAACATTCTCTTTGTGTATCTGTGTGCGTGTGTGTGTGTGTGCCTTTCTTCTTATCTCTTTTTCTATATTAAATTCATTTTTTTCACACAATGAAATTTTCAAGTTTAATTTTTTTTCAATGAATAAAATGAAAGAACAAATAGAAAAGAATTCTTGAATACGGAAAAATTGATGATTTTTAATTTTCATAAATTTTCATTCGCTTGAACTGTTTCGCCGACACACAACACACAAAGCAATGAAAATTCATTCGATTTGCTTTGTGAAAGAGAATCGCATTTTCATTTTCATACAATCAACAATGATGAATTCGTTTGTGATGGCACTATATATATGATGATGATGATAATTTTGATAAAACATAGTGGCATTGTATGGTTTACAACATATCGGTATTCGAATAACCGACGACGATGACGATAAAAGTGGAATATTATTAGGCCAATACTGATATGTGAAATATTATCTATACAACACACGAGCATTACCATCGATTCTATGAGATGATTATTGTTCATGATGATTGAAGGGGGAATAGTAATACGGCTACGCCAGCCGAATGATTAGAGAATTTTTCGTCTCTCGTCTATATCTCTATCCTGCTACCAATGCAAAGATAGAATGGATGATGCTGTAGAAGACAATTCAATCAAATAACAGCAGCCACAGCTAACTGTCTGTAGTAGTAGTATTAGTAATGATAAAATGCTCTGGTTTTTATCGGGTTATTGTGGTGGTGGCAACGATGCATTTTTTGTTCCTATTCTCTATATTGGCCCAGACGCCATTCGTTTAGATTCTTTTTTCATTTAACATCAAAGAATTTCTCTCTCACACACAAACAAGACACAGACAAGTAAACATTGTCCAAAGAACTTTTAGAATATGATTCTGATTCTGGTTTTCTGGCCCATGCTTCGGTCATTATTATAACCGGAGAGAGTGAGACCTAGTTCAATGTTTTTGTGTGCGTGTGTGTGTTTTGTTGCTAATACTTGATTCGGCATTTGGTTCTATACACAATTGTATTATATGGAGAATAATAAAACATTCTGTAATAATAACACTTACAACAGCATCATCATCAACAATAACCTACTTCTTAACAGTGTTCATCATCAGTGTTCCAGAAAAAAAATTCGGATTTGGACCAAATCGATCACGACTTGAAATGAAATGAATGGATGAGTATACTGCTAGGGTCTCAATACGGCTGTGTTTTTCTCATATATCTGTGTGTGATGTGATGTCCATCGAAAGATCATCATATCTTGTTTGATTGGATTTTTATTTTCGTTCTGTTTACTGTCATCTTTTTTTTATATTTTCGAAAACACACAAATATTTTTTTTTACATAAAATTTTCCAACGTTTCTTTTTTCAATTTTCATTACAAAGTTGATTCTTCGTTAGAATTTTGCATCCCCATTGTTCATTACAATGGAAAACAAGATTTTCATTTTCATTCAATAAAAAAAAGCAGCTGGAATTAATTTCTACTTGACTTGTAATTAACGTTATGATGATAACGAAGATGAACGCGTGAGCTACATACACACACGTACAGTAGCTTTCAAAATGAAGATAAATTTCTGACATCGATTTCTAATTCGTTTCATCGTTTCGAAAAATTTTCATCTTGTTTTCAATTTCATTTTATTATCCATCATTCATGTATTGATTGTCTGGCAATGGTGAAAGGGTATTGTGATCTGTTTTTGTGTGTCTGATGTTTAAGCGTGTCAATCATCATCATCATCATTGAAAATTAAAAATCACTTTCTTTTCATATACATCATATAATATTTGATTGATCAACCTACCAAATTCATTTTTGTCTTTATATAATCCACATCAATGGAAATCTATATGGTTCAGTTATATAATTAAAATTAAAAAATTGAAATTTTAAACTCAAAAGTTCAAAAGATTTTTGCTCAATCTTCCATCAAAAAAAAAATTCTCTCTTGATATATTTATATTATTTATTTTTTTTTGGAACTTTTATTTGTGTTGAAATCACATCACTCTCAATGACTATCGAAAATACTAAAGTTGGGTAAGTTGATTCAATATTGGAATTTCTGGTTCATTGGAATTTTTTCCATTTTAGCGAAACGCCAATCTTTACGACCAAAGCACACGTATTTCATATTGATCCGCAAACAAAACGATCTTGGATTCCAGCTAGTTCAGCGGCAGTAAATGTTAATTTTTATTATGATTCCACACGATCTTTATATCGGATAATCAGTGTCGAAGGTCAAAAGGTACCATCCTAGTTAGTCATGCGAATCTATTGTATACAAATCTGAATTGATTTAATTTAATTACAATAAACTGTCAATTAGCCTGTCATCAACAGTACGATTATTCCGAATATGACTTTTACAAAAACATCACAAAAATTTGGACAATGGTCCGATATTCGTGCCAATACCGTTTATGGTCTAGGATTTTCATCGGAACCAGAATTGAATCGAGTAAGTTTAATGATGATATAAAGTTTTTATTTATTTCAACTGAGAGAATAATAAAAAACCTCTTTTACTACAAAATTTAGTTTATTGAAAAATTTCAAGAAGTTAAAGAAGCCACAAGGATCGCTCAACAGAAAGCCCTACAACCAAATGGCAATATCAGTAACACTGGTGCTACGGCCGCTGTTGCTGTTAATCATTCAATGTCGGCACGAGATTCACCACGATTATCTTCGCAATATCAAAATGATATCCTAATGAGCAGTAATCTTTTCTACATAACTATTCATTACGAACCCAATACTAACAAGCTGTTTTCTCTTCTCTTTATTTTTTTTCTCTTACTGGTATTTGGTTTTCAATTACCGAAAAAATTTTCAAATTATTTTTAGAATCATTACTGCCTCATCAACGAAGCCAAAGTTTATCGGGTCTTCAAGCCAAAGTAAGTGTTTACTTAATAATGTACATTTTTTCCATACATCTAATTGATTGATTTATTGATGATTTAGAATTTAACCGATAGTCCAAAATATCGAAACCGTGACAAACAGGTTTCATCTGTTACACTTCCACAATCATCTATCGAAGCGCAATTGCGTTATGAAAACGAAAGGCTTAAATTAGCCTTAGCTCAGAGGTTTGTTTCTATTAATTTTATACAAAAGTTTTTTGCCAATAATTTTTATTTTCATTAGTTCAACCAATGCAAAGAAATGGGAAATTGAATTACAAACATTGAAAAGTAACAATACTCGATTAACGAATGCGTTACAAGAATCAACGGCAAACGTTGAAGAATGGAAAAGACAGTTGCAATCACTGAAAGATGAAAATACTAAAATGAAACATAAAGTGAGCCATGAATTTAGTTTCGATTACCACTAGTATTATGATTTTTTTTTTTAAAATCTTTTCACTTAGATACTTGAGCTAGAAGCTAGCCATGGAAATCCGGAAGCCATAGCAGATCTACGTAAAGAGATTAATCAATACCGTGTACATTGTGAAAATCTTGAAGTGGAAATCAAACAAAAAGATTGTGAAATCGAATTATTAAAAAAACGTCTAGAAGAACAATGTCAACTTTATGGTACATCAAATCAAAAAGTTGATGATAAAATAAAGGTAATGAAGATGATGATGATGATGAATCCACCACAATCGACAACAGCAATGGCTTCAGCAGGCAAACAGCAGCAGCTTAATAAAAAACGATAACCAATATAATTTAAAACTAACATATCAAATAATTCAATTATAACAATAATATCTAATATCAACTCACATCTTCTTATTACAATCATTGCATCAATCTCTCTATCCTTTCTCTTGTATTTTGTTCTATATTGTAGATTCTTTTAAATGATAACGAAAGTTTACGTCAACAATTGAATCGTCTTTCATCGATGGATAATAATAGTGATTCTTGTATCAAACTAAGCGATAAACAATATCGGTCATTATTGGAACAATTGAACATTCGTTTTGCCCAAAATATTCAAGAGCTGCGTTCAATACAACAAGAATTTTCTTCATTGCTCAATGCATCTTGATGATTCAAATGATCAAAAGAATTGAATGATTATTAATTTTCCATTGATTTATTGATTGATTTATTGATAGATCAAAATATTGTAGATGAATTTCATAATGTTCAACAGTTTAACTGTGTTGTTTTACGACCATGATGGCAATGATGATGAGACGGCAATATTTTTTTTTGTTTTGTTTATAAAAAAAAACTGTGACGATTATATTTCATCAATAATAAACGGCATTCTTCCTCAATTTATACAATCAATCAATTTTTGGCCATGAATTCAACAACAACCAAAAAAAACAGATATTCATCACCTATATTTCAAACATTTCTTCATCGATAGAATAATCATTGAATGTCATTCTGTTTCTCACATATTTTCAGTCAGAGCATCACATTATGGACGAATGAACGAAAAAAAGAGACAAAGATTAATTGTTATATTTGTCATCCATCAACACATAATCTTCATGTTTGCCAATCAATGTTCTTTCTGGTTGTTGTTGATATTGAACGTTTTCCAAATAAGTCAACAAAATGAACAAAAAAATATTTCTGTGTGCAACCGCGAATCACAATATTCGATGAAGTTGATGTTTGTGTTTGTGCGTTGTCTATATCATTCACCATCAACACAGCCAAGGAAAAAAAATTCTTGTCTCTTTTCATCATATTCTTTACATTTTATTCTAATTATTATTATTATTATTATGATTATGATTAATTATTGTTGTTGTTGTTTTTAAAAATGTTAAATTCTAGATCACCTAAAATAATATATGCCCACTTTATATATTCTCTTATACATACAAGACAAATCGAAGATTCATCGATTTCTGAAAAAAAAAAAAAATATTTGTTTTCAGATCAAATACACAGACACACACACACATACCCCTGTATAATTCATACATTACTCGAGCCTATACACAATTATGAAATATTTTCATTTTGCCGATCTAAAAAGTCAACATTCCTATTCTACGACGACACACACACACACACTTATTTACATCACCAGAATGAAAAAAAAACAAAAATTTCATTTTTTTTCTGTTGTTGCTGTCGTTTTAAACGTTAATGTTAATTTTAAACAATAAAAAAAAATTCTCGCAATCATAATCGTCTGTCAGTCAATGATTATTTTGAGTTGATCTGAAAAAAATCATTCCTTGCTCGATTGATTTTATTTTATTATTATCATCATCATCCAAAAAGAAATTAAAAACAAGAAATGTAATAAAAGTGATTTGTCCCAGTGTTTCTTCATATTCCCGAAAATAGAATAATTTTTTTTTTCATGTAATAATATTATCAAATTTGTATTCATGTGTGTTTGTGTGTGCGTGTTTGTTTGTTATGTATGTACAAGATAATGGGATTCCATTCTATTTTGTTTCACAGAAATCATCATCACCCAAAATGCCCGTGGGAGTAGAATGATGTAATATGTAAATTATCATTTTTTTCTGTTGTTGAGTTTGAATTTTTTCCCCCCATACAATACACATCATGATTACAGTATAATTTTTCAGTGAATTTCATTTTCTATTTTTTCTTCCATTTTCCAATGAAAATTCTTTTAATAGTTTCATTTATACTTGAACCGGATGACGATTTCCAACATTTACAGCTACCATTCACTAGAAACCAATCATAATAGACTCGTACAACGTAGCAACCAATTTTATCATAGCCATCACAATGTTTCGATTTGTCACTATTATTGCTTGTAGTAGATGAATTTTCCATCAAATCTCCATTATTATTGTTATTGTTATTATTGTTATCTTCATCATTATTATTTAGCTCATTTTCATTCATATCTTGTTGTAATCGAGCTTTTCGTGCCAATAATTCTAGATTGTGTAAGCCAGGATGATGATGATGATGTGAATGAATATTATTCTGATGATGTTGATTATTATTGGCGCTTCCCAAATGATTAATCAATATTGATGGATCGTTGTTAATTCGTTTCGTTAATAGATTGGTTAAAGCATTCAAATCTAGGCCATTTAATTGATTTGCGTTCATCGCTGAAGCAGTGGAAATGATTGAATTTGAACCAGTTGTAAATAATGGCCTTTTACCATTATTGTTCAAAGTTTGTTGTTGCTGGGCGTTTTGGCTCAATGGTTTACTGAATGTTGTTGATCCTTGTTGTTGTTGAATCATTTGCTGCTGCTGTTGTTGTTGTTGTTGCTGCTGTTTATATAACATTGGCATTATTTGATTGACCGGAAAATAGATATCCGGGTAAAATATTTCGGCTACCAATAAGCTGACCCACCTATTGACGTCAATCAATTAGTATGTATGTTATATGACGATGGACAATTAAAATACAGAATTAGAAACATGTAATACACTATTAAATGGTTTTTTCTACCTCGGTGATTCTCGACACGACCCTTCAATTAGATCACATTTATTTTTTCTATTGTAAATTTATAATTAAAAAAAACCGAAATCATAATGTTAATGATTGTTGGGTTTTCCCACTCAGAATGATTCTGGTAACTTACAAGCAAGTCGTTTGTTGAATTGTTTGCGTAAAATACCTGCATGATGTAAGCAAAAAAGGATGTGAGTCGAAAAAAAACAGTTTACTATTCTTACCCTTCATTTGGAATTTGTACAACATATTTCCATACGCCCTGATAATTACGGGCATACGTGGGTGAAACATATTCCTCCGTCGACATACATGGTGTTTGAGGTTTTTCATTACCATCTACGTTGATGAAATCCTCTACATCGGATGATGTTTTTCGTTTTGTTGCAAATTTTGGTGTTTGTAAACTTTGTAAATAATCAATTAAAGATAATAATGGACTGTAAGTGCTACCAATTCCGGCATTGTTGTTGTTATTATTATTATTGCTGCTGCTGCTACTGCTACTGCTATCTGAACCAATGGATGATAGTAGTTGTGATAGAGCAAATCTTTGACTACTAGTATTCGGTGATGAATTCGGATTCGTTTGATTCGTGGATTGTCCATATTGATCGATCAATGATACGACATTATTAATGCTTGCCACATTTCCAACAGCTGAAACAATGTTGCTTAAAAATGATTTAGAAAATGGACCTTCCTCTTTCAATGATTCAATGGCTTGACAAATACTGTTTGTAGATTGAAATAAAATTCTAAAGTTAATTCTGATTTGACAATTTAATTCAATTGTAATTTTTTACTTACACATTACCATCGCATACATTTTGGCGATTCTGTTTAGTAACGTTGTTGTTGTTGTTGTTGGTATTCACATTCGATTCATTGATTGTCGATTGTGGAGCAGTAGTTGCATTTTCTACAATTGTATTCAATTCTTGTGTATTTGCTTGTCGTTTATGTCTTTTGGAATGGCTATAGGAAGACAAATAATTATTAAACACAAAATCCTCATCAATAATAAGATACTGAACTTTTCAAAAAATTCCGATGGCTTTACAAAACGCGCAACTTTTGGTACATTATCAATTTCTTCCTGTAAATACGGCAACGTCTTTGATAGATATTGAAGAGTTTTGTTTTTGATCAATTCACTATTTTAAAGATTCACAAATTTATTTTTGCGCAAGAAAAAAAAACTATCATCAACACTTACAATGGATATGGTTCGCCATGTAAATATTGGCCCATTGGATTACGAGGAACCAGGCCACGATTTAAATCACCACACATGTTGTGTTTGGAAAGTAATGAATTGGCATCTTGAATTCCTGAAACAAAAACAAAAAAAAATAATAAAATGATGAAAACCGTGAATAGAATGTTTTTTAAAAATATAATTTACCTGGACATTCAGCTGATATTGGCAGATATGGTGGTTTACGAACTTTGGGTGGTCTAGCATTTGGCGTAGCTTTACCAAATGCATAATATCCTTTCGGTAGTGTTTGTTCTAATTGAACATTTTGCGATGCTGCTGCTAATGTTGCTGGTTGTTGTTGTTGTTGTTGAAATGCGAATATATCGTGGACAATTGTTGAAATCAAAAACACCTAAAAAAAGAAATAAAAAAGAAAATGGAAACAGATTAAACACACACACACACACACACATCCAAAACACATCATTATCCGTATGTGTCTAGATCAATTACAATCAATTTAATGATGGTGGTGGTGATATTCATGATGATGATGATGATGATGATGATGGGTTTTTTATAAAATTATTTTTTCACGATTGTCACACTCGTTGTTTTGTGTGTGTGTTTGGAATTTATTATTATTCAAACGGTATATTATTCAACACAATCGTTATATGTTGTTTTCAACCAAAACATTGTGTTCAAATGATCTAGCGTTCATCGGATGTTGGATATAGAGAATTATTCGAATATAATGTAGTCGAATTTTCTTCGAAATCTCTACTTCCTCGGTTGTTCTTTGCGTATATCTAAAGAATGAAAAACAGAAAAAAAAGAAAAGAAATTCACGATGAGATGAGAACCAGTTCTTTATAATAATAATAATAAAAAAGTCAGTTAGTCAGTCAATGGACGAATAAGAAACAGGAAGAATAAATGGTAAAAGAAGAAAAATTCACCATATAACGGGCTTGAACGAATAACCTGTTTGTGTCGACGAACCAAGTTGACCTTCACCTGAAAGGTATTTCATTTTCTTGCTGTAACTTCATCATCATCGTCATCATCATTCTTGACAGAAAAAAGGAAAGAAAATCAAGCTCTAAGAAGCCGCGAGATACAAATCAGTTCAAACCATGCTTAATTGATGATGATGATGTAGAATGAGAAGAAGAAAAAGTACCGTTTTCAAGCTTGATGATTACAGAAGATTTTTTTTTATTTGCTTCTTTTTTTTGACTTGATTACCATTATCATTAATCATCCATTTGATTCTTATGTCTGTGTGTTGGAAAAGTTGATGGTTGTCCATTTGGTTGGTCATTTAAATCTGATGATATGGATGATGATATTGCAATACAAATAACAACAACAACAACAACAGGGAGAAGATTTTCCATTTCCTCAATCATATCAATCTCAATTGTTGTGTTTGAATGCGAAATGTGCAACCACAAACACACACACACAGATCATTTGGCCCAATAATCTTTTAAATACAGTGATGGATAATATCATCATCATCATCATCATCATCAGATGTTGATCATTATCCATGATTCTCCATTCAATTAACCAATAAAGAGAGACCATGATAATAATGATGATGACCGTGGATGATGATCATTATCATTTGAAAATATAATGATGATGATATATCAAAAAAATTAAAAAAAAATTCGGAAACTTTTCCCTGTGGCAAATAAACAAAAAACAGAAAATTTTTTTCAAAAAAAAAATCAAACCATTTATTTTATGCTTTATTAAAAAAATATTTCTATGATACAAAAGTTGAATGAAAAAAAGGGATAAAATAAAGATTGATAATTAATAATAAAAAGAATCAAATAATTTATCAGATTAAAAAGTTCCAAAATAATTTTCAAGCACAAAACTGGCACGTACATCGTTTTTGGTTTTGGAACAAATGTGTGTGTGTGTGTGTGTGTGTTATTGAGCTTCAAATAAAAAAAAACGAGGGAAAAAACATACACAAAATTTGTTTTTTAAAAAATGATGATGATGATGATTAATTGATTGGAACAAATTGGCTGTGATGAATACACACAAAGTATACAGAGATCCAATTTGTATATGTGCAGGTATGCGTGTGTGTGTGTGTGTGTGTGAGTAAAATGGTATGTCCATTCTTTTCTTTTCGGGTAATCTTTTAATTGTGACCGATTTATTTATTTATTTCGGAAATGATAATACGCCATATTTACCGTATTGTCGATTTGTATTTCTGAAATTATCGGATTAATTTTTTTCTTTATGGCAATTATTTTTTCGAGTAAAAAACGATTCAAGGTTTATGCGGAATTTGAATTTTGTTTTTCTGTGGGTTTTTTTTGAATTGGCAACACAAGCGAAAATGATATTGTTGATGATGATAATGAATGAGACAAAAAAAATCGCTTTCAATTGATTTCGATACGGTTCATTTATCTTTAGTATGGCCCGTGATGGACAAAAGGTATTTTTAAAGTATTTTCAACGACAAGCCGTTATAAATCATCATCCTATGAATGAATTTCTTCCAAAATTTGATCAATATGCATATGGTCCCATTCCATATTGAGATCCATGATAAGTGTATGGGCCAGGATATGCATATGCATAATTCAAACCATATGGGCTACGTTTGTCCGGATAAACAGGCATTAAATATTGCATATTTTTTGTTTGTTCCAAACGTTTTTCACTACGAATACATCTAGCGGCAGATAAAAACATGATTGATGCAACCAATAATTGACTAATGCCAATCCATGCAATTATATATGACCATCCATAATAGAATTCGGTAACGCCCGGTTGTTTAAGGACCTATCGAATATAAAAAATAAAAATAAAAATAAAAATGACAAAATTTGACACCCACATATAAATCATATGTAATAGTTAATGGAAACACCAAAAAGACAATTGGCCAATTAGCCAACAACAAAAAAAAACATGAAACTTACATCAGGCCATGCTGCATACGAATATTCATCTTTCAATTTATGGTGATCATAAAATTGAACCGCATGCCATAATCCCATTGCTCCAGCATCCATCAATGCTATATGTGTGTTCAATATAGACAATGGGAGAATAGAAAAAAAAATCAATGATCAATGAAAAATGTTTATAATTGGAAGTAAATAAATATATCATCACCAACACTAACATAAACACAATCATAATTTTTCGATCAAACAACAACAAAAAAAAAAATAAATAAAGACAATAATCACAGCATGTGAAATTAAACTTACAAGAAAATAATTGTAACAATCCAGTGGAAACAAGATTTGCATGTGATCGTTTCCAACATCCTTGAAACAAAACGAAAAAAAATGTATTGGAAACAAATGATAAATTCATTCAGTTAATAATCAATGAAATAAAAAAAAACAATAAGAAAATCGATGATTAATAAAAAAAACAATAACAAGACTGCATTCGATTGAATCGTGATTGATAATTCAATTGATTTGAAAATCAAGTCAAACTTACCTGCAACACCGGTGAAAAATGAAAGGATTATAAAAAAAAATGCCATTATGTATAAAGCCACTACTGATCGTGCCATATCTGGATATGTTGGAAAAATGGATGAAAACAAAAATAGAAATTATAAACTCACGAGAATTGAGAAAAAAGCGAGAAATGAAAATCAAGAAATTTTTTTTATTATTTGAATTTAAGATGAAAATTGTGATAAATTTGTTGTTTATTGTGTGGTGTGTTATGTTATGTACACATTTAGCATCAATCAATCACACACACACACACACAATAATATTGGTGTAAATGCGAAAAAATTTTTTTTTTTGTTTTACAAAAATGGCGCCTACATTGCTGATTATGATGATGATTGACCATTACACACACACAAACACACGAGTAAACATAAAAAACCGCCAACACACACACACAATCAATGGACATCGTGATCATTCATGAACCGTTCACGAATCGAATCATTTTGAAAAAGCAAGGTTTTTCGTTGTTGTAAAAAAAAAAAACTACATTGATTTACCATTACTATGTGGCAATTAATTTTGTATTTTTTTTTTTTGCTTGAGAAAAAAAATTGGACAAGATTATCAAAAAAAAAAAAAAAAATTTTCCTTTTAAAATAAATAAAAAAAATGAAAATTAAATTCTTAACTTGTTGCTTGTCATGTCAATGACAAATCATCATTATAAACAACTCTGGTATATAAGCAAATCAAATCAGCATGTCCACTTTTTTTTTCATTATTGTTTGATCTTTTTCAATTGTCACATTCACAGCAGAGAAGAAGAAATGACCGCATTTCCAAATTTTTTTTCCTCTTACCACCTTACTATCTATCTCGTTCCATCATCATGAACATGATGATGATGATGATGATAATGATCCGATTGCACAATCACACAGACACGAAACACAAAAATGTTGCATGTAGAAATGAAGAAAAAAAAATTGATTGTTTATTGAGAAGAAAGGAAAAAAAAAAAAAAAAACGAAATTGGACTGTCGAACTCAATAGAAATCGATCGAATTTCAATACATCACCAATAATTGATCAATCAATCAATCAATCATCCATTGTCTATCTATAATAAGAAATGGTGTGCATTATTATGATTTGAATTTTGTTATTTTTTTATCATGAAAATAAAAATAGAATATAAACATATCATCATTAAATGAAAGAATAAAAAAGTGATCCAAAATTACAAGCATCATCATCATCATCATCGTTGTTGTTGTCCATTATGAAATATATTGAAAAACAAAAAAAAACTTACGTAAGCGTTCCCATCGTGTATCCGTAAAGCTGTCCGATTCTTTATTTTCTGGTATATAATAATCAATATTGAAACATTCGGTTTGTGTTGGCGACAAATATGTTGACACTAAAGTTGTAAATAGAGAAAAAATTAGAAAATTGAAATTATAGTCAATGCAAAAAATAAACACAAATCAAGATAATGCATGCGCAAGATTTGGAAAAAAATTAAATTTAAAAAATTCATATTTTATTGTCTACAAATATCAACATCAACGAAACAATGACATCCATCTACCATTATTATCATCATCATCATTAAAATCATCAAAAAAAAAACAAATTCATTTTGCTTTCAGTGTTCATATCGTTGTTGTTGTTGATGTTTTATAAATCAATCATCAAATAGAAACAGAGACATCATCATGATGAGGCTAAATTTAGCCAAACTATGGTGATGGTACTATTCTTTCCGAAAAAAGGGAAAAAATCATCCAGTTTTTCTATTTTTCAATTAAGTGATTATGTAAAATGTTTTCGTGAGGTAAAAATGGAATTGTTCATCCACATACGGATGAATGAATGATGCACATCATATCAGAAAATGAATTTAATGTCAACTACTCCCCATGGATGTCATTTTTTTTTCTTAAATTCAAGTTTCGCCTTTACATTGTTTTATGAATGAAAAAATAAATAAATCCACACACCCGAAAGAAGAAGATGCCTTGAAGAAAAAAAATAGCAAATTATCAATGGAAATGACAAAAACAAAACAAATAAAAAAAAATGTGACTAGACAGACTATGAAAACTGCAAATGTCCACACCATTTGCAAGTTTTGACCATCAATTATTCATTCAAAATTTTAAAAAAAACAAATTCAACTAGCCAGAAAAAAAAAATAGAGATTTGGATAAAATATTATTTATGCCAACCGGTCATCATCATCATCATCCAGAGTATGTTAGTAGGCTACAACAACAACATAAAAATATCCGACACACGGGAAATATTACCAGTGTGAATGTTATTTTAAATACCACGCGAGAAAATCTTTACATGTTTGCCAAAATATAAAAAAAACAAAACAAAACAAATGCATTCTTAATGTTTTTTTTCGAAATCCTATATATGTGTGTGTGTATGTATTGATGCTGGAAATAACAACAATGTATAATGTAACAATGATATTTTCATTCAAAAAAAACAACAACCAGCATCATCATCATCAACAACAACAACAAATGGAAATAAAAAAAAAAAACCTGTAGCAGCAGCTATCCGTTGATTCATAAAACATCTTCAACATCATCCGGTTATTTATTCCGACATTTTTTTTTGTTGAAATTAACATATCTTCCTCATATGATGAGATGAATATGTCATTTGGAAACAAAAAAAACAAAAAAATGAAAATGTGAATTTTGTCTTAAAATGGAAAGGAAAAAAAATAAATCGTTATTGATCTGAAATTATAATAGATCAATTTTGTTTGGAAAAAATTTTTTTTTCTATGTTTGATTACAAAAAACAACAAAATATTCAACAATAATCGTACACAACGGTAATAATAACAATTGATCAATGAATGTTATGATTGTGGTCGATATGATGAAATGAAAATGAAAAAAAATTTTGTTTTTTTTTCGAATCTATTTTTAGTTCAAACAACAAAATGTCAGAAAAACGAGTAAAAGTTTTGTTTTTCAAAAAATTATTGTCCACAATGATTTATTGATCGATCTGAATCAAAATGATGGTGTCATCGATTATCATCATTGTTTTGAGATAAATAAATCTAAAAGTCCAATTCAAATGAAATGTGAAAAGAAAAAATCCGAAAATATCAACATTACACACAGATGTATTAAAATCTTGATTATGATGATGTTGATATTTATCCATCGTTTTATTTTTTGGTAGAAAAAAACATGTTTGTTAACGCCATTGTTATCACCATCATTTTTTTTTTGACTGAAGATGAAAATTTAAATTTTTTTTTTTCTCTTCTTTCTTCATAACGGTTATCCATGTTTCCATTTTCATCATCATTCAGGATCGTTTATAAAAGATAAATGTACTTTCATCATGGGAGAATTTGTATATGGACAATAAAGACTTATCCAATCTAATCAACATATTGCCACTCGGTTTCTTCAAGTGCAAATGAAAAAAACAAACGCTTGATGATGATACTCACGAATCTTCATTCTTTTTTGTTTTCCAAGATGATATGAATCTTGGAAAACAAAAAAAACGTTTTTTTTGTTGTTGAAAAAAAATAAATCCATCTTTCTCTGTGTACAAAAAAACATTGAAATTTACGGTAATTAATTGTCATCATGGAAAACAAAAGAATAAAAAAAAACACCTAAAAAAGATGGATAGCCTATTTGTTGTTTACGTTTAGTTTCATTACATTCTCTTATTTAGACTTTTAACATTAGACATTCAATCCTAATTATGTTACACTGTGCAAAAGTCATCAATATCAACAACATCAAGGCCCGATTCAATTTCTATGATCTATACACACACACACACACACACACACACACACACACACACGTCATCATCGTTTTTAAATGTTGCACTCTTTTTTGGATCTTTTAATTTTTTTGGTTTCATGTTTTATGTTTGAGGAATAGTTTCAAACAACAAATGATGAGAAGAAACCTGTTCTTGTTATACTTCATAAGCATCACCATCAAACTTGTCAAATTGGCCATAATAACTGAATTTTATTCATTCAATTTTGTTTGAATGAATGAATGAATAGAAATTGTCTCTAAAAAGTTTCAGGAACGATACATATTATATACTACACACACTACCAAACAAAATTATGACAACCATATTTGTGTGTGTGTGTGCGAACGCGTGTTTGTGTTCAGATAAAACGGATACACAAGACTAAATGAGATCAAATGAGGAAAAAAGCAAGAAGAAAAAATTCGCATATTAAATCGTAATATGTGTTTTGAATAAAACGAAATGAAATGAATCAACAACATCAACAAATGTTATGCATATTTATTGAATATAAAAAAATTTCAAGCGAAAAAGAAAGCGAATTTTTTTTTGAATGAAAATGCCGATCGTGTTCAAGAAAAAAAAACCTGTTCATTCATTCAATATGGCAAAATCAAATTTATATTTCTTTCCTTTTCATTTCAAAAGTGTTGGCAACGAAACGCAGAAAAAAATAAAATAAAATAAAATCATCAAAACTTTGGGGCCAGAAAACAAAGTTGTTGATGATGAAAAAAAAAATTTTTTCTCGGGACTGCGGTTATTTTGAATAATAAAAAAAAGTGTTACGTCAACCGAATTTTTTTTTCGTTTGTTTGTTTGTTTCTATTTCTCGAAAAATCATAACGGTGGACAAAACGGTGTGTGTGTGTGTGTGTTTGCAGAAGAAAAAAATACAGACATTTTCATTTGCCTCAAGCTTGGTTGTTGTTGTTGTTTTTTTCATTTTGAACATCGAGTTCTCAATTTCTAATTCAATGATGATGATCTTGACTTGTGCATTTTTTTTCCTTCTTACTATATGAACAGGATATCCAGACTGTTTTGCGAGAAAAAAAAATGGGGAGAGTTAATCAAGTAGATCTGTATGCAAGTATGTCGGTCAACTAAAAAACTACGAATGTGACGATGAAACTAAATGACCGAAAAAATAATGATTTTGAAAATTCTCAACGACCATGGCTACGGTATAATCATCAATTATTTAAAAAAAAAAAATTTTCTACCAAAAAAATTTATTCAGTTTTTTTTGGCTGTTCTTCTTCTTACCATCTGTAACCAATTTGAAAGAGATTTACAATCATAATTCACCAACCATCATCATCCATGATGATGTAATCAATTGGTTATAAATGAAATGAAAAAAAAGAAATGTTGACTGAGCAATCAACCATATATATGTTTCAAGTAACGAATTCTTTCTCTACATTCATTCATTCATTCATTAATTATTTAATTTTCAAATTTCGTTACACACACACACAGACACTTATTATCGAATGACTAATATCACAGTTATTTCTGCAAAACTAAAGTCATAAGATTTAACCAAGGCTAACTAACTAATCAACCAAAACAACCAACCAACCAGCCAACCAAAAGATTTACTCATTCATTCAAAAGCATCCTACAAATATTTCAATTTTTTTCTCTCTCTCTTTAAATGTGTTTTAGCAATGAAATGATGTTTTCTCCCTTGATGATGATGATGATGATCATGGTGGTGGTGGTGGTGGTGATGGCATTTAATGATAGAGGTAAATATAGTTCATTGAGGTATGATATATTTACCAGTAGCATCGTTTTTTTTTTTTTTTTTTGATTATTTCAAATTTAGTTGCACACCTGAATTTTTTTTTTTCGTTTCATTTGTGTTGATTTTGGTTCAGCAAATATGAAAAAAAATCAGGCTACCTGGCAACAATTTTCTTTCCTTCTTTCTTGTTTCATTTTCGAGTTTATCGTATTTGGTCTATGAAATATATAATTTATATAAATATGGAATGATTATGGGATGGTGATGATGATGAGCAACAACAAGAGTTGTTTTAAATATTTGTATTTATTCGGGTGGCTATATTATTTCTTGGTTTTTCTTGATTTCTGGGAGCTCGAAAGAATGATAATCAAAATCAATATTATTATGCAACAAGTGATGATAATGGCCCCTTCTCCCCTCTGCCTGTTCAATGATAATGATGATGATTAACGGGTTTAAACAATAAAAAAAAATAAAATGATAATTTGATTAACCCGTTCGATGATGATAATTATTATAATGATGATAATATGTAGAATTTTTAGCTATTTATTCTTGATATATAAATTTGAATCATCATGGGTTTGTCATGATTGAATCTAAATGAATTGCGTGTGTTGTTGTTGCTGTTATATGCATGTAGATTGGATGGATTGATCATCGATATTCAATTGAATGGAATTAGATCAATTTCAAGCATAATAATGGCCAGAAAAAGAAATCCATTGATATTTTGTTTAATTGAATGTTTTAATCGTCATCATCGATACATATATTCAATGTCTATATATAAATCTAGCAGTATCACAGAAGAAAGATTGATGGTAATCAATCGTTTTTTTCTCTAATAGATCAATCGATCAGATCAATGATGGTATTGAACCACACATATTTTTATTGATTGAATATAGAGCAACAACAATGTTGGATCTGCTCCAGGCAATGGTGATTGTGTTATTTTGTTTTATTTCGAGATCGAAATGAAAAAAATTGTTGATGAAAATGGCTAAATAATCTATAGTTTGATTGATTGATGGCAACAATGAAAGAAAAAATCTTTAAAAAACCAGACAAGAAATGTTCATCATCACCATGGCAACTGGACATATTATCGTTTGAAGAAAAAAAAAACTTTTTTGGATAGAATCTAATCGTATTCGTACATCAGTTTTTTTCCTTCCATAGATAAACACAAAAAAATCCTGTTTCCAAAATGGAGTCATTCATTTAATCATATCCTCACTTCTTGATTCAGGTATCTGTCGATCATAAAATATGTTTGCTAAATACAAATCTTGATGATGACAAGTGTGTGTGTGTGTGTGTGTGTGTGTGTCGGACAGTATTTACCGTCGAATATTATTCAACATTTCATTCGGGTACAGTGATGATCGAGTGTAAAAGACAAGTTCGAGTATTTATACACATGAATGCTATGTCAACAACATTTCTTCAACTATTTAATTTTCTTCTGATTTCAATTTGAACATTTGACATAAAAAACATGTTTATTCAACAAGATGACGATGACCACTGCCGATAACTAACAAAAAACACACACACACACTGGATCAAAATGTGCAAAAAAAAATCGATCAATATTTTACCACGACATACATTTTTTTTCTTCGTGGTTAGATGAGTACACACACATAGGTGATCAAGAACAAGGCAGAAAAAAAATGTGCCAAAAAAAAATTTTCAAATCGACAAAAATAATGAAGAAGAGACACTTGAACCGGAAAAAATCAAAGTTATCAAGTAAAAAAAAAATTCGAGGTTATTTATTTGCTTGATGTAGTGAACTGAAGATTTATTTTCTAAAAAAAAGTACCAAACTTGATGTTCAACTCAACTCGATGATGATGAATTTCTCATTTAGTTTGGATAATAATGTTTTGTGTGTCATGGGTCATTTTCAAAGATGACAACAATGGTAATGATGATGATGATGAAAATGATCAACAAGTAAACAAACAAAAAAAATGAAAATAGAAAGATGAACAATACAATACAAAATGTTTAGGGTTGATTTGGTTAGGTCTCAATTCCATTATATAAAGGGAAAGAAAATTTATTTCATAAATATCATTAATACATACATTCTTTTGGTTTTTTATCAGCAAAACAAACACGAAATAATCCTTCATCACGTGAATAATAAAGATAATTTGAATCATAATCGGATGGTAAACTACCACCACCACCATCATTGTTGATAGCATCCAAATATTGACGAGTTCGATTCGTATCAACTCGTATTTCATACCAATTATCGGTACTAAAACCGATAGCTAAACAAGCAACAGCAATGACCGAAAGCACAGTGGCCACGGACAATGTTACAGCTGAACAGGACATGATGATTATCACTATTATCAACCACACACACACACACACAAACATAAACACTATATAAACGTTGGTTGTTGATTATTTTATAATGGTGATCGTTACAACGACAAAAAGACAAATTTTCAATTTTTTTTCATACAATAGATGAGATGCACATTAAAAAAAAATTCACATTGAAATTTTTGATGAATAGTAAGGTTTAATTAAAAAAAAATTGTGTGTAGATAATGTTGTCGTGTTTGTTTCTTACTTCGATGATGATGATGATGATGATGTTTTTTTTTGTCTTGGACAAAACCATGAACAATGATCACAAATGATAAAGGCCAACAAGATTTTTTTTTTTTGTTGTTGTTGTTGCAATGATAGTTGTTAACGATGATGATGATGATGACAACAAACAAACGAAATTGACCGAAATGATAAAAACTGATAATTTATCCAACAATAAACGATTCACATGTGAAAATTAAACAAAAAAAATGACAATTTTTGCTCAATGATCATTAACAATATAGATGATGATGATGAAAAACAAAATAACAGAAAGGAAAGGAAATTAGCTTGAAGAAAGGAAAAAAAATTGAAATTAATGGTTGATTTTGAAAATAAATAAAAATTTTAGATCAAACAGACGAATTTGAGAAAAAGTTTGAGTTATTGTATCAACAAATCTTTTGTTTGTTTGATCCGGAAAAAGAATTATTAAACATTTGATGGAAGAAGAAGAAAAAGAATAACTTGTCAATGGAACACAATAAAAGAAAAACATGGATGGATTAAACACACAACAACAACAAAAATGTTGGCAACGATTAATGTTGATGCACAATTCACATTCATTCAGTCAGTTTTTACATTAAATGTTTCTTGTGGTCCTGTGTGTCTGAGTGTGTACACAAACATGATAAATAAATATATCGACGAAAAAAATATTCACGTAGAGCAGCAAGTCGAATAGTGATGCTATGTTATGTTATGTGCTGTGAAAAGTATGTGGATGATTGAAGTTTATTTTCTACACAAAAAATATTTGATTGCCCGGTGCCAAAGAAAAGGTCGATATATATAAAAAAAAGAAAGAAAGAAACAACAGGTCGACAGTGTTCTTTTTTTTTCTTTCTTTTTGGCTGAAATTTGGACTCGGCTTCACTTTACTTTTTTGATGTTGATGATGGTTAACAACAGCCACATCGATTGAAAAATATTCGATCTGACAAAAAAAAATCCACTAGCGCGGTATGTTGATTGGTGGTGGCGGTTGTTGTTGTTGTTACCGTAGTCAACCGTGATGGTTTTTGTAGTGGTGGCATCAATGAATTTTTTTGTGTGTGTGTGTGTGTAAACACCTGAATCATAGACACAATGTTTTAGGTAGATTTTTTTTCGTATTGGAACCACTTACCACTTGATGATTTGTACAACAACAACACAACAATGATAGAGTGATTACTATAGAGAATCTGTATAAAAGAGAACACAAAAAATTTTTTTTCAGAAATGAAGCAACAAGTTGAATGTTCCACTATCAGCCATCTTTCTTTCTTTCTCTTTATGGTTTTAAGATATTCGTCTCTCTGTCTCGTTCTCTAGCTCGTTTGTCGAAGTATACCTTGAATAAAGATTATTTGATCTTCTTCTTCTGCTCTATGCCGTTGGCTTCATCATCATAAACATCGACAAAAATGACGTTTGATGGGATATATCCAAAGAAAATAACTGATACAGAACCTGTTCTTGTTATTTCTCTACAACGAGAGAATAATAAACATTGATTATGGTAACGGAAAAAGAAAAAGACACGATTGTAACGGCAAAAGATGATTCTCAATTCATTTGACAAAATGTAACTTTTATATGTTGCCTGCAGCAGCTGTAAATTGCATATTGACTATACAGATTGATATAAGAAGGAAAGACACAGACAGTGAACATAAAATTAAACTGATGACCAAAAATATCAATTGCCATTCGATGATGATGGATCGAATCGAATCGAATAAAAGATCGACAACCACATCATCATCACAATAGAAAATAAAAAAAAACCACTACAACGGTCATGATCAAATAACATACAGAATGCTTGATTTTACAATATTTGGTGGTGTAACCATAATATCTTTGGATTGTAATACAAATCGATCGATATTAATAATGATGATCATCATCATCATCTGTCACAATCGTCATTTATTGTCATTCGATCGATAGATTGATCGATTTTTTCATGAATGAAAAAAAAAAATAAAAATCGCCTCAAAACATGTACCTACCTTTATATATCACATACACACACACATTTGGATTTGATTTTGTTCTTTTTTTTAAAGTATCAAAATTCATTAGGTCAACCACCACCACCATCATCATCATTCATAATCGATTCACAATCGATAGTAGCAACAACAATTACATTATTGCTTAAGAGATGGAAAAAAAGAGCTTCTCAAATTTAGCAATAAATGAAAGAAAAAAAATCATTTATTGAAAAAACAAAACAAAACAAAATATGTTCAATTAACGTTAAATGAAATAGAAATCCTTTGGATGATGAACGATGATCATATGAACACGCAGGGATGGATCAATAATCGATCCAATCAAATCTGTTCGGTTCAATGATCATCATGATCATATAATAGATAATCACAAGATTAAAGATTCATAAGATTTCTCATTCTTTATATTTAGACATCATCATTATTATTATTGGTGGATGAAGAAATTGTTTTTATCGTTAATAAACATATATAACATAATATAGACACACAGACCACAATAATTTGTTTTTTTTCTGATTAATCAATTTATTATTATCAAGATTAAATGACCAGCTTGTTTTTTTTTATCGTTGGATAGTTATTTTTTTTCACAGATAATAATGATGTATTTCGAAATTATGACCAAACCAAAAGAAAGAAAGAAAAAAAAAATTACTGAGGTTCATCATAAATTGAAATTGATGAAAATGAAAACAGAGTAAACAAGTAGACAAATTGTGTTCAATAAAGAAAATGAAATTTAGAAAGGCAAAAAAAAAGCTAAAAGAACAACAACAACAACCATAATAATATAATAATATAATATAACTGAAAAGAGATAAAATTGAAAAATGTAAATGAATGAAATTGAATACAAAGTTCCAGACGAATGGCTTCTTTACTTTGTTTTTTTTCTTGCGTGAGTTTTTTTTCTTTTTTTCTTTCATCGTAGGTTGAAAGATGGATGGTTTGACTTGACCGAAAAAAAAATATATAAAGTTGAAAATTATCACCGAAAATGGTAAAGAAATATAGCTGATGACTTATAGAATTGACTTTTGTTGCATGTGTTGTGGTAGATCCATATCATCATTATCATCATCAAAATTTCAATTGAATTGAATTGAATTTTTTTTTTTTGAATTCAATGAATTTTTCGCTTAAAAATGCTTAGCACTTTTGTTCGTCGTCGATACATGTGTGACATTAAAAAATAGGACGCTGAATTAAATGTAGATTTGTTTATGTCGACAATGACACCATGAAACAAAAAGAAATGAAAAATTTTAATAATTGATTTTCCGAGTAGGAATATATCATCATTAATAAACTTACTGGGAAACAAAACAAAATTCAGATAAAGCTTTAAAAATGTTGGCATGTAGAATGAAAAATTCATTGCATTTGGTAGAAATATGGAAAATTTTTCATTCATCTCTAATAATGGAATACTTAGATAAAGAATGATCCCTGCAAAAAAATGAACAAAATTTAATTTTTTTTTTGCTACTAATTATGACCAAAAAACATCAAACCTTCGAAAATGAAACCCAAGGGATATAGTACCATCCAGGCACTGTAACGAATCCATGTTACGAAACGAATATTCACTTTGAATATATGAAGCATGTAATAGGGATATCTGAAAAAAACAAAGATAATTTCAGCAAATTATAAATAAACTTCAATACTTACCTCACTAATTCAGACATAGTATAGACCAATAATAAATAGAATGTAGCATAATGTGATTGAATTTCAATATGATAATCAATCAATATGAATATGAAAAATGTTCTGCCTAGTAATTGAAAGAATGGCATCATTGCCGAACCATCCGTATAGCCCATCAATGGATGCAATATCTCTAAGATTTGCATTAGATTTAAAAATTTTATAGGATTTCTCAACGATGGATATATGGTTTGAATGGTTTCTAAATTTCAACATAAAAAAGGCAATATTATTTCAAAATTCTGAAAAAAGAAATCAAATATTTTACCTGGACCTTCTTTAAAGTAATGAATGAAGAATATAACGAATATGTAAATGTAGCCCACGAATTGGAATAAATTGTACAGAAATAAATACGCCGTTTTGAAGTCTTGAACTAAAATTCATTATTGTAAAATTTGAGAATCTGAAAAAAAATTTGATCCATTACCTCGATTCTTTCTTCCACGTCCAAAATTTCTATCTTTATACATTCGTGGAAGTCGATTTGTACGGTTATTCAATTCTTCCAATTCACTGTCCTCGGACGTAGTGTCGAAATCCTGTTGTTTGATACGATCAAAATCAACTTTGAGCCACTGTGGTTTAGCCGGTGATTCTAGTAATCTTGGCCATGAAATCATCATCTTTTTTCGTAGTACAAACTCTACATTTCGATCGGATATTTTGTAAAAACTTTTCTACATTTCAAAAAAAAAAAAAAAGAATCAGACAATCATCATTAATCAAATTAAAAAAAAATGCAGCTAACCCTACCTCTGGAACAACATCGGAATGCAGTACAACCGAAATGGAATATTCATTCAGACCTTTGGCACCTATACCGACAGCAAAAAAGTACAAGCTTTTTTCTTTCAAATCAATTACCGGTGACTGGAAAATGGAAAAATTATAGTGTCCATATGATGATAATCAAATTGAAAAACACATACTTTAACATTTTTCAGATCAATAATCAATGTAATTGAATCAGATGTTTGTCCCCAATAAACAAACGGGCTAAGACTACCAGTAATATTCATTGTTGTTGTTGTTGTTGTTGTTATTGCTGTTTTGGTTTCAAATTCTTTTTTTTCTTTTACGTGTATCAATCGATTTTTTTTACTTTTGGTTTTTAATTAAAAAACAAAACCGGCTGAAAATGAAATTAAATCGTCAGTTGTTTTGGCAACCAAAACAAACACACACATGCAACACAATCAAACCAAAACAACCAGATCACACACACACAAACAACACAAGAGAAAAATCCAGAATTTTTTTCAAAGTTTAATTTACGTTCACCAGATGGAATTCTGAATCAACCAGAAACCATATAATGCACATGTGTGTTTGCGATATTTTCAAAATGTTTGTTTTAAAAAAAAATTTATTAGCAACTACTAATCATTGATTTAATCGTTTTTATTCGAAAAACCATCAATAATATTCATCAGAATTTTTTCAAAGTTTAATTTACGTTCACCAGATGGAATTTGAATCAACCAGAAACGAATCCGTGTTTGCGATATTTTCAAAAAAGTTTTAAAAAAAAAAAAATTTATTAGCAACTAGTAATCATTGATTTAATCGTTTTTATTCGAAAAACCATCAATAATATTCATCCACGATAATGTTGATGAACGAATCCGATGCAATTGATCTTTTAGTTCATTTATCCTTGCTGTCATGTCTGATGATTCGATTTTTACAGCATCATTTGGGTCTATTTTTATCGTATTTTCTTTCGATGTTTCCTGAATAGTTTGATAAAGATTGGAAATATTTTTCAAATTCATGTCAAGGGTTTTGGCTATTTCAGTTGATGAATCATTCGACGAAATGCAATGCTGGTGGTGGTGATCTAAATTGAAATTGAATACATTTGTTTCCATTGATTCGATAGCTTCTTGCAATTGTTCAATCAATTTTTCATTGTTTTTCGATTCATTTTGACAATTGAATTTATCTTTCATTGTTTTAACATGATTAGATTTGGCAATATTCGCGTAGAATTGATCGAAACTTTCTACCATATCCGATTGAAACAATGATGGTTCATTCATATTCTCTTGATTGATGATTACATCCTTGAATTGTTGATTGTTATCATCAATCTGTCGTAGCACACGAAACATTGTGGCATGGTTGAAGAATTTTTGAGCATTTCGTTTGTTTTTCACTTTCCAGACGACATAATTCAAAACTTGTTGTAAACATGGTTTTTTTAACATTTCATGAATGAGTGCTTCATTCAGATCTAAATTTAACTCATTTTGAGCCCAATTTTTGATTTGATTTTCATTAATATTTTCGGGTAACATTACTGATGCTTGTGGTCGTAATCAATGACTAATTTTGATTTCCTAATAAAAAATGCTATAATTTGAGCATGGACACATGAAAAAAAAATTCCGTTGGAATTTTTTTGACATTCCATGTCCCATAAATAAACGACGTTCTTTGAAAAATTCAAAAAAAAAATTTTTAATTCAATAAAGATGGATAAAGAAAGCAGATAAAATATAAAATTTATATGAAGCAAAGAAAAACAACAACATATTATAATTGTATAAAAATTTATCGTCGATTTATATAAATAAAATTCCAATCCAATTTTCAAGTTTTTATTTTCCAAATCCATTCTTTCCAGTAAAATCAAAGCGAGCCATTCATCATTGGTTTTTTTTTTTAATTGGTGATTATATTGGTGTCTGTGTGTGCGTTTGCTGAATTTTCCTGAATCTGGTCAGATGCCGTTGAAATTTTTGTTGATTATTAAATATGAAAATGATGCCAAATCCATGTTGCGTGTAAGCAGCATTCGAACCGTAAAAAAACAAATTCAAATTGAGGTTTTGGATTGTTTGTTTGATTGAAAAAAGGCAATATTAAAGTAGTTCCGATTCCAGTTTCATTGTATCCAATCGCTAAAGAAAATTAAATGAAAATTCAAATCAGACTAGACTATATTTTTGTGAATCAAATAAAACTTACCATTGGACTAGTCGATCGTCTTGCTCCAGCTGGTGGTACAAATGAACTAGCTCGTGTTCTTGCTCGTAATTTGGCCAAATTCGTTTGACTATTATCGGCTCTATCTTCGGCTTCTTCTAATTCTTGTGTCAATTTACGATATTTAGCCATATTCAATGCTGCAATCTCTTCAGCTTCTTCAATCTGTCTTTTGTATGCTTTACATTTTTGACTAAGTTTTTCAGCCAAATCTTGCAGATGTTCAGTATTCTTTTTCATTTCATCCAATTCAAATTCCGTTTCTTTTATCTTTCGATCAGCTTTACGTAGATTTTTCGATGATTCGGCATATTTTCTTTGTTCACTTTCTAATTCTTGTGTCAATTCACGAACACGAGCTTCAAGTTTGGCGATGGTCTTACGGCCAGCAATCATGGCAGCTTGTTCAGCTTCATCTAATCGAATTTGAAGTTCTTTAACTTGTTCTTCCAATGATTTACGCATCTTTTCTTCGGCTTGAGCATGATCTTGTTCCTCTTTAAGTTCATCGGCCAATCGTGCAGCATCCATAATGGCTTTTTTGCATTTATCATCCAACAATTTCAATTCATTCAATGTTTCATCCAGATCCGATTTCAAAATCTGATGTTCACCTTCTAATTTACGTTTAGCATTGGATAATGCAGCATTCATTCCATTCAATTCTTGATTCAATTCATTCAAATCGCCCAATTCATTTTCCAGGTTACGGCATTTACGATCGGATAATTCCAACATGGTTCTAGTCTGGTCCAATTCATTATGTAATGCATGACATTTACGTTCAGAAGCGGCATATAATTCTTGTGCTTCCTCTTTTTCACGTCGTTCTCGATCACATTGATGTTGTAGATCTTTAATATTATCTTGTAATTTATGAATAAAGCTCTGTGCTTCAGATAATTGTTTATTGACACCATCCAATGCCATTTCCAATTCAACTACATCATTTTCAAGTTTCTTTTTAGCTCTCAATGCCTCGGCACGACCACGAGCTTCTTGCTCAAGACTGACCTGCATTTGATCCAATGTTTTTTGCATATTCTTACGAACACCTTCGAACTCTTCTTCCTTTTCCCGGATGTGTCTATCGTGTTCAAGTTTTGCTTGTTCCAATGCTTGTTGAGCAGCATAAACTTTGTTCTCTTCCATTTCTAAAGCAGTTTCTGCTTCGGCCAATGCATTTTGTAGTTCTTCTTTTTCCATCTGTAATCGTTTACGATTCATTTCCAAATCATTGATCTGTCTGCTACTTTCACTCAATTGATCCAATAGATCTTTGACTTCGCTTTGTAGATTTTTATTTTCACGCTTAGCAGATTCATGTTGTTCTTGTAGTTCTTCAAATGCAGCTTTCAATTTGAACAATTCGGTAGAATAATTTCGACATTCTTTCTGTGAAGCATCAAGTTCACTAGCCAAATCACTGCATCGTTGTTTCCATTCCATAATTTCTTTCATACAAGCTTTGACTTTCTTATCCAATGTTACAGCCAATGCTCTCGTCTGTTCCAATTCGTTGGCTAATTCTTCAGCTTCTTCAATCAGTTTTTGTTTCGATTTTTCCAAACCAGAAACCTTAATATTCAATTGTTCAATATGATCATCGGCCTCTTGAAGTCGAATGGTCAATTTTTTACGCATTTCTTCCATTTCTTCACGAAGTACATAGCCAGCACTTTCAAATTTAGCTTTCCATTGTTGAACCTCTTCCAAAGCTTTACTAATCTGATGGTGAAGATTTCTTTTGATTGTTTCATCATCTTCAATCGTTTTTCGGGCACCTTCTAATTCGATTTCGAGGTTACGATATTTGCTCAAAATAGCAAGGCGCTCCTATATTGACATTCATTGAATGATTAAACAAATCGAATTTCACACAAACACAATAACATACCTGTGTTTCATGAGCAACTTGATTTTTCGCTTCCTCCAATTCACGTTTCAATTGATCTTTAATTTTTTCAATACTTTCCAATTGTGCTTGTGCTTCTAGACATTGTTTTTCTGCTTCAATTTTTTGATATTCAATTTTCTTTTTCGATGCTTCCGTATCCTGTATTGTACGTTGGGCATCTTCATATTTCTTTTTCTCTTCTTTTAATTGCGATTCCAATTGTTTATTATGACGCTCAAGATTTGCCTACAAAGTTAAAAAACAAAACAAAACATAAAAAAAGAATTTCAAAAACATAAAAAAACAACATCGATTGCCACATTTCGCATGAATGATGATAATCCAGACAGTGAGAAAGATGATGATGATGATGATGACAGCTGGGCAATTAATCTATTTAAACTTGGAATTTTTTTTTCATTTTCTTTCAAAACAACATGCACACACACACACACACACACCCTCAGCATTACCTAAATTACGAAGGGAAAAAATATATCCATTTTTAGCAAAAGAATTTCAATATTCGGTATGCTAAAAAATATTAATTTCAATAATAAAGACAGTGATAATGATTTTTTTTTCACTAGAAAAAAAAACGAAAGACATGACGAAAATTTCCACATCTAGTCGTCATCATAAGCATCATTGGCTTGTTATTTTTTTTTATTTTTTTTTTTGTTTCATTCAATTCAAGTAACAAAATTACCTTCAAATTCTTAGTCAAAGTTTATTTTGACAGACAAACATTTCTTTCACTCATTTACACTTTTCCGATTGAACGAGAATTTGTTGCAGAATATTTTATTCCTTTAAGAATATTAATAATAAGCTCACTTTATTCCCACTAACTATAATTAGCACACATCGATTTATGCGGCCATTGAGAAATAATAAAAAACATGCATATTTACATGATACATTTGTCAATGATGATGGTGATGATGAGAAAATTGCATTTTTTCACTCTTACTACTCTACTCTAGTCTGTGAGTGATATGATGTGATTGCAACCAGCTAAACTAACCTAAACGAAAACGCAAATTGGCTAAAGATATTTTTGTTTTACTTTTCGCGTTTTTAATTATAATAATAAAAATACACAAAACTTTGTTTGTATTACAAACGGGAAAAATTTCATCATCATCAAGAAATAATTTTTTCAAATTATTAATTCATAATGAGAAAAGAAAAAAAATTCTTGGTTAATTTTGCAAAAATAAAAATTTCGGATTTTTGTGTGCTAAAAAAAATTTTGAATGTTTTTTCTCACTTACCTGAATTTTTCGTGCATTTTCCAATTGGGCTTGCAAATCGGATACCTGAACCGTAAGGCCAGCATTATCTTTCTCTACCCTAAACAGAAAAATGATTTACAATCAAGTAAAACAGAAGAAACGACTAACTTTGATTTTGCTCTGTTTGTCAAATCGATCTGTTCCTGTGTTTCATTAAGTATATCGGTATTTCGTTTTCGTAACGATGATGCTTCGGTTTCGTGATTAACATTGGATGTTTCCAATTCTCGTCGTAATTTGCTTGTTTCAGCTTCTAATCGTCGAACAGCTTCGTTTGACAATGCATTTTGATTGTCTAATTCATCGCAACGATTATGCAATTCATCAACTTCTCTTGTTAAATCGGTTCGCTGTTTTTCGGCTTTAATTCTTACTTTTCGTTCTTTGTCTAATTCTTCTTCTAGTTCTTCGATTCTTGCCTAAATAAAAATACACAAAAGAAGCAATTGTTTTGAGAATAATGTGATTTCTTTTGAAAATAAAAAAAAAACATTTCTGGAACTTACCTCATAAAGAAAATGGACAACACGTGAACTGGCTTGTAGGATCGGTGCTTGAGCTTGTCGTACGATGCGTTTGCTTTCGGCACTCAAAGTAACCGTTGGTGACATATATTGTGCTTTCTGTTGTAATGGATAAAATGATGATTTATCTTCCAATGATGGATCACCTTTGAAATTGGTTTTAAGAATTTGTTTAACTTGTTCCAGATCTGATTGTGCTGTGATTCGTTGTTCACGTTCAAGATTGGAACTAATGGTGTTTGAATCGCTTGTCGAATCCATTGTTGTTGTGTGTTCGGGTGTTGGCAATTTAGCGGATAAAGTGGTGTGAATATCAACAGATTGTTCACTATCACTCATTTTTTATTCAAGTTCAAAGGATGATGGTTTTTATTCTGTTTGAAACGAATAAAGAGAAAAAAAAGTTTTTTCACTAAAATCCAACTGTATGATACTCAATGTATCAATTGTGAATGAACAGACGAAATAAACAAACAAACAAACAGAATATAACGAAATGAATGAATTCGATCACATCGACACACTTATGAAATGAATAATGATTCTTCCTTAAGGGTTCTCTCCAACAAAACACACACACAACAGAATTCGGTTGATTTCTATAATTTATGGAATCAAAGAAGGAATAATTTCGTCTTTGTTAATTTGGCACAAAAATCAATGTATAATTCACCAATTATTTTTTCAAAACAGAAAAAAAGAAAATCTACAAGCAAGCATCAAGTTATGATCCTCAACAAAACCAGAATGATGATGATGATCACTATAGTGTGTGTCTGTGTATATGTGTGTGGCAAGGATCGAAGGTTCGAATTTTATTGAAGCATTCGCCAGAGTGATGGTGGTGGTGGTGGTGGTGAATGCGACAAAGTTTTTTTGTATTTCAACATTTTGAATTATTGCAATTTTGGTTTTTTTTTCAAATTCTGGTTAATTCTTTATGCCAATTCTGAAAAGTGTCTCACAACGATGATGACGACATAATTTTTTTTTTGCTTTTTTTATATGAAATCACAAAAAAAAATAAATATTTTAGCCGCCCGACCCATTGATAGATTCTTTTTTTGTGTGTGTGTGTGTGTGTATGTAAGAGTTGCAATTCTGGGAGTCAGAATAACATGTAAGTGCAATAAAAAGTGAATTAAAGCCGTAAACGAACAAAAACCATTTTCTTCCATGTTAAGAAAAGAATTATTTCCATACCATACAGTAGTCAACAAGCCATTTCATTTTAGCCACTGACTGACTGACTGACAGACTTGAATGAATGAATGAATGAATTTTTTGTATGGCAACAAGATATTATGGCATTGCAAATGGCAACGACAATGATGAAATGGAAGCTAGAAAATTGTTTATCCAATTATATACCACCACCATCATTAACATCATGAGAAGCAAAATAAGACTAACATCAACAAACCGATGAATTTTTTTTTCATAGTTTTTGGCTTTGAATAGAGAAATAGGAAAATTTAAGAATATTTTTCCATACCAATTTTTTTTCTAACGATGATGTTGATGATAATGATGATAACGACATGGTTTTTCATATGCCGGATGAATGAATGCATTCATGGATGTCATAGCTTTGACATATAAAGACAAAAAGGGGAATAATTTGAAAATTTCGTGATTTTTTCATCATCATCAATCTAAAAATAGCCAAAAAAAAACGAAAATTACAAATAGATTATACTACAAGACGGTTCAGTTTTTACCAAAAAAAATTCTGAATCAACAAATGATGATTTGGATTGATAGACAGTGATGATGATGAGGATGACAAAAAAAAATCTCAAATGACAATGATTTATATTCATATTGATGGAACAGAAAATTAACAATAAAAATTTGACAAATTTGACAGATCAAGATGATGTTTGAAAAAATTTTTGAGCAAAAAAAAAAAACAGAAAAATTCAAATCAAAATCAAATTCCAACACAAAACGAAGTCAATTGTCAAGATTCCAACACTAGATGTCATTATATGTTGTATCATTGGATTTGTTTGTTTTCCATCTCGCAATTTTGTGGACTCCACGTGGATAAGAATTTTGTATCATGAGTGTTAACTCGAATACTTTGGCCATTATAAATCGGGATTATGTCCTCAAGTATGTATCGTCATTACAAAATAAATTGTCAAATTTAACATTTACAAATTGTATAGCGTTAGTTCCGTATTGAATAAGGATCATAAACAATTTGGAAAATCATTTCTAACCGATGGTGATGAAGAAACATGTTGGAATTCGGATGAAGGCAATTTTCAATGGATCTTTTGTTCATTTCATCATTCATTCATTTTAAATGAATTAAATATTCAATTTCAAGGTGGTTTTTCTTGTAAAAAACTTTTGATCAAACACCTGGACAACAATCAACGAGAACTTGGTGAATTTACCATTTACTGTGAAGATAATAATTTGCTACAGAAATTCAAGGAAATCAATCCTCACCGATTTTATCCCAATTCATTAGAATTATCTTTCTAGACTGTACCGATACATTTGGCCGTGTGATTGTCTATAAATTCGAATTATATGGACAACAATGCAAAAATCATGAATCGCAACAAAACTTTGTTAAACATTGATAAAGTTCTCAACCATTATCAATGGCTAATGGATTCTTATGTTCTTGATTTTTATCTCGATAACCATTGGAATAAATTGCCTGCAAAATGGTCTGAATGTTTAAACAAATTAAATCTATTTGACATACCTTGGTTATTGGGCATTTCAAATAATCAATCCAAATGCACCATTGTGTTGCCATTAACTTATGTTTTGTCTTCGATCATTATCAACGACTATTCGAATGGTCAGGTCAAAGCCATTCCATGAACAATTGTTTTTATCATCTAACTTGAAACAATCTCAAGAGAGACATCAATTTTCAGAAAATCTTTCCACTGATTTAGATCACATTCTTACCAGAGGTATCAAAGCAAAGAAACGTCATGAAATTCAACAATTATGTAAACTTATATCGACTGTGATGAATAAATTTGGCAATAATCTTGATATAATCGACTTTGGATCAGGCAAATGTCATCTTTCCAGAATACTAGGACTTTGTTATGGATTCAAAGTATTCTGCATTGAAGCAAAAAGTGAAAATCTAAATGGTGCTATCAAACGAGAGAACAAAGTTCTTCGAGCGCTAAAAAAATACAAACGTTTCGATGTTGTCGAAGAAGAAAACATGCCCATTAAAGCTAATTGTTTCTTGACCAAAGAAAACAGAATCGATGAACTTTTTGGTGATAAAATAACTAGACCACATCTTTTACTTGGTTTACATGCTTGTGGTTCACTTTCGAATCTGATACTTGAAGAATTTGCAACCAATCCTGATTCCCATTGCCTTGTACTAGCCTGCTGTTGTTATATGAATTCCGAACTTTTTCGTTTCCCAATGAGTCAGCTGTTGAAAGAGAATTCTCAATTTACACTGAGTATCTCGGCCAAAGAATTGGCTTGTCATGCCATTGAAAAATTTCTCAATGATTTCAGTCAAAAAGGTAATATTAGAAATAGAGAGTTGTTTCTTGTTTGATTCTAAATTTATTATTACTCATATAGAATTAGATTCACTCAAAGTTCATGGATATCGAGCTTGTTTAGAAGTGTTGTTGGAACGATATGCACCTCACATGCGATATAAATCAATGAAAAATGTAAAAATTACTGAGCAAATGTCATTTAAAGAATATGTGACTCGAGCTACCAGTGGATTAGATATATCAATTCCTGAATCAATTTTCGAATCAAACGTCGATGGTAAAATAATCGATAATTTCATCAATCAAACAGATCAGGTCATTCTATTCTATTCATTGCGATTACTTTTGGCTCCGTTGATTGAATTGTACATTTTAATGGACTATCGCCATTATCTTTGTGAACAAAATCCAGTCCAAAATACTTATCTGATACCATTGTTTTCACCATCCATTTCGCCTAGAAATTTTATTCTAATAGCACACAAATAAAATAAATGTCAAGTTGATTTTTTTTTCACTTTGCCCTTGTACATGTAACGTATGAATTTCGGATTCGAGAAAAAATTATTTCAAAAACATCTGTTTATCAACAAAAAAAAAGGTGACGCTGAAATAAAAAGTTATGCAATCCAGTCAATACGTTGTTGATGCTGATGATGATGATGATGATGGCTAAATTTGACAAATAAAGAAAAGGAAAAAGATTTTAATACTCTTACACACACACACACACACACAGGCAGTCCTTTAATCTGATAATTGTCTATTTTGACTTTGAATCATAAGCCTTATACCCAACCATACGACACAATGACATGACAATTCAATTTAAAGTCATTTGCACACCGCATCAAACACTACTACTTTAGTTTTTTTTTGTATTTGTATAAACTCTGGTGTCGGAGTGTTTGCCTGTATTTTAAAAAACAAATGTCCATTTTCTCAGGTGTCGAGTGTGTTCGTTCATAAAACAAATTCGAATCAAGTGTACTTTATACCAACACACACGCACACACACACACACACACACATATGATGATGATATATTTGTTGGACCTATAATAATTATGAATGAATTATGGTAGTCGATGTCCCGAACAAAATTGGGACCAAAGATTGTTTATGGCTCCTCCCATATTTCGGTTCACGATCGTGTTCATGACCGTTTTTTGATTGATCAACAAGTTCATTGTTTGGTCAAAAAGCTCTATAGAATATGATGATGATTTGGTTTTTTTCTCCTGGATCAAATTCGAACGTGAAAATATTGTTCAAGAATATAATGTTTGAGCTGATTTTTGATTCATTTGGAATCTGATCATTCTATTGATCGGTCATTTTGATTGATCATTGGGTACAAACAAAGAGAAGATGCTACAATTTCGTGCCAATGTCAATCGATGTTTAGTATGTGGAGATCGGGCTTCCGGTCGTCATTATGGAGTATTGAGCTGTGATGGATGTCGGTATGTTGATGATGAATGAGGTGATTGAATGGTGATGGAAAATTTTTTTTCTTTCATTTCTCATAAGTGGATTTTTCAAACGAAGTGTTCGTCGTAATTTGAATTATCATTGTAAACAGAATAACCAATGCAATATCAATATTAATAATCGTAATCAATGTCAAGCTTGTCGATTTCGTAAATGTCTGGCAGTAAAAATGAAACCTGAAGCTGTCCAAAATGAACGTATAAATTTGGCCACTACTTCATCATCGTCAGGTAGAAAATCTAGTCATTTAAATTTAACCAATGGTAATGGACAACAATCATCAATGAACGCAACAACATCTTCGATGAATGTTCGACGTATACAGGTCGCCAGCAGAATGGTGAATGATTCTGTTCAACCTAATAAAATGACCGCTTCAACAACATTACAATGGAACAGCAATGCAAATCTTTTCAATTTTCAATTGGTTCTTTCGTGTAAGTTTTGTAGCTGTTAATAAATGAACAGAATCTAAACATTTTGATCCGCATAAATAAATAGCTGATGAATCTGCCATAATGAATCATATGCAAAATTATCGTCATGCTAGTTACCTGAATACAGCAACAATATCACCAATAATGTTTATTCATATTTATCATCTGATTGCAAATGTCGGTATGTTTAACTAAAAATGTAAATCAATTACCGGTGGTTGAAATTTTAACATTTTTTTCATTTCCAACAGTGGAATGGTTTTTCAAAAATTTTACATTCGATAATGCAGCTAAAAAGATTACCTACATCTATTGGAAGAATCATTGAATCGATTACTCATTATTGATCTATCGGTTTATCGGAGTTTCTCATCACCATATATTCGCTACATCTATGAATGTTATTTTGTTAATCAACAAGATCAAAACATTGTGAATGAAGTGATTCATTTTATAAGCTCATTACAATTGGATCTAGCTGATTTGGATAAATTGAAATTGTTGATTTTATTACAATCAGGTACAATATTTATTGATCTGCTGAATGATCAATCATTGATTCATTCATTATTATTTTTTTTAAGATCATGTTTCATACATTCCACATTTGGCAACAATTTCATCATTGTATGATCAGGTACAGATGCAATTCTATCAAGATTTGAAACGAAAAATTTCAGGAACGGATACAGCAGCGGCAACAACAACAATAAGTCATCTAATTGAACAAATTATGTTACTACTATCGACAACGAAACGTTTACGGAAATCACATTTTCATCCAATTCATTGTGCATTTTTACGTTGGATTTCATTGAATCATCACCATCATCATCACCAGGCTATTACTAATCACGAAACTATCATGGAAAATGGACTTGACACCAACAACATCCTGTTGGATCAACATTCAAACATATAAATCTTTTCTCTTTATTTGTTAGATCAGTAAATACGTGTGTGTATGTGTGTGTGTGTGTGCGTGAGGGAAAATCAAAAATCATGATAAACTCATTTACACAAGAAAACAAAATTAAAAACCCACAATATACACACACTTTATTTATCATATATTAATTAGTAGATGAAGATATGAGAGAGAGAGAACGAGAAAAAAAGCATGAAAATTTGTATTAATGAAAAATGAGAAAATAAAATTATTTTACAACATACAATTGGTATTTGTATTGATTTGTACTTAATATCTTTTCCAAATGCCACCACCAGCACCGCCACCGATTCCACTGCCATTTTTCCATCGATTGTTTGTATTATTTTGTTGTCGATTATGATTTGAATAATTTTGTCGATTATTTTGGCTATAACGATTATTATTATTAGATGATGATGGTGATTGATTATGATGATGATGATGATGATATGATGATAATGAAGAGGAAGAACTAGCATTGCGATTATGATGATGGTGTTGATGATGATTATGATTAGGACGATTCGATGATGATATACTTTGTATAGAATCACCAATTTGAAAATTATTTACATCACCAATATGACTTGGAATATTTGGTATAATGTTCGAAAGTGATAACGGTGTTATTGACGATGAATGATGTTGTTGAGGTGGTGGTTGTTGCGGTACACGAAATTTATCGAGATCATTGCTGCTGCTGATGTTATCATTAATAGATGAACCAAGAAATTCTTCAAACGAGGGTGGTGGAGGCGGAGGTGGTGGTGGGATGAAACAATATGTTCCACCGATATCCGTTGCTCCAATAAAAGATGATAATTGTGGTGGTAATAAAGAAGATTTCTGTATCGAATCTGAAGCATGGCGATTATCTTCGTCTTCGGAATCACCTAGATCCATATCGGCTGGTTCAAAATTTTCGACAGGATTTTCATTACCAAACGATCGTGTCGTGATGACTGATTCGATTTGGTTGACATCTCTGGATGAATTTTTATTGAAATTTTCATTACTTGGACCGTATAAACCAGGATTCAATGGGAATTGTCCTGTACCCGACATTAGACTTGTTAGACGTTTATCCAGACTACTAACTTGCTGATTATTTGTTTGTTGAAAGAAATTCAACACCGATGATAATTGGGAAGCATTCATTTCTGGAGGTTTATTCAGACTAGAGAAATTAGTGTAGCCACCATAGTTATTTAGCATCGATTGTACCTGCCGTAGTCGTACCTCACAATTGTTGAACGTTTCAGCTATCGCTTTTGATTCTTTCATTTGAATATCATAATAAATCTTACTTTTCTCCAAGGCTGTTAGCAGAGATTTTCTGGTGACAATCTCTTTTTCAATGGCTATTTTGGCCGATTCTAAACATTTGGTTGCATCATCTAATTCTTTACTACATTGTTCTCCATACGATTTATCTTTGAGTTTATTGAGCAAATCAGAATTGGCAAAATCCAATTTACAATTGATCAGATTTTGATATTTTGCACGAGTAAATTGTTCAACTTTTACAGTATTGTTAATCTGATTGATTATATCATTTAGATCAAAATCGTGAATAATTTTGGCAATAACATCGGCTTCGATTTTCTCTCCGCAAAGTAATTCACGTAATTCATTAATAAATTCTTTACTATAAACGGATCGATCTTGCCAAATGCTCAGTACACGGTGAATATTGTTCATGATTTTTTCATCATTTGTCACTTTACATGCTTCACGCAAGGCATTCATAAATTCACTTAGATAATGTGATAGATTTTTCTTTTTTGCATTCTGTACAATATCATTGGCCAGATAGAATAAAACTAATTGATGATCACTTTTATCTGTTTACAAAATAATAACAAGTAAGTTTTTTGTTCGTTTTTTTAATTAAACTCACCTCTAGTATAACATTTAAGCCATTGTTCGACAATTTTTTTATAATGTTTCTGATAATGTATAACCCATAATGATAATGATTGAATACTTTCTTGGCTGCTGGTAACATTTTCCAATTTTTTCACTAAATTCGTTTCACTAAAACTGGACATATTGTGATCACTATAAATAACGACGATGAAGATGAACAGATAAATTACATAATTTTAATGAACCAACGAAAAACAACTTGATCAACAATGGAAATGATTTTTTATTTTTGAAAAAAATTCAAGAATTTCGTGCATGTATTATATGTAAACAAACAACATCAACATTGACATACTCAATCAATGCCGCCACAGAGCGTCATCAAACGTGTTCCACCAATACAAATCTGTATATACAATACAAGCAATAGATGAGAGGGCAGTACTCATTGTGAATGAATTATCCATGAAAAAACAATAAGCCCCCATGTCATTTTAAATTCGATTCCGGATCACAGATGGCACTAGGTAACGGTAATCATCAATTATCTTACCATCGAATTACGAGCGCGAAAAAAAATTGATCATTTTTGATTAAAACAAAATTGATCATCTGGTTTTTCCACTTCGAACGGCTATTTTGAAAATTTTGTTAATTTCAATCAAATAGTTTTTTTTATTTAAGATTTTTTTCTGTTTCATCCACTTTATCATCATTTCTCAAGCAATCAATGAACTATATCAACAACAAACGTTCGATTTCGAAATCAACATTGTAACACCAGATATTTGAAAAAAAGTGTATATAAACTATGTATGTGGATATAAATTATTATTATCAATAACTTTGAAATGATTCCAACCACAATCATGATCATCAATCGACAATGGCAAGACCATGATCCCAACATGTGTGTGTGTTTGTTTTAGTTGTCTAATGATTTTTTTTCTGGATAAAATGTTCGACATTGAATGACTGATTTTAAATAAGATGAACGTTCAAATTGAATAAATGTGAATATGACGAAATTATTATCATCATCATCATCATCAATGGCTATGTAGACTCTTGTCTTTAAAGACCAACAGCTTAATTGTGTGTGTGTGTGTATGTGTGTTGGAATCGTGTACTGTTGTTGTTCTGGATCTACTATAAAAACTCGACATTTCGTTTTTTTGCTTTGAATAATTTTTATTTGTTCACCCGCGTTATGATCTCATTTTTACGAATTTTCTTTTTTTTTCTCACATATTAGACAATTAAACAACCGTCGTCATGGCAAACAATGAACAATGTAAAAATCATGACAATGAAGATTGGTTTGTCGAAACTGGTGTTCTTAATTCTGACCAATGTCGATTAACCATCAAAATCGGTCGTAAATTAATCGAAAAACAGTCCAAATATCAAAATATATTGGCATTTGAAAAGTAAGTTTTAATGAATGTGTGTGTTCATTCACCGATAACAATTATCGTTATCATCATAGTGAAAAATTTGGTCGATGTCTGGTATTAGATGATGCCATTCAATGTACTGAATTGGATGAATGCTCATATCAGGAGATGATTTCTTTTCTACCATTAAATATTCATCCAAATCCAGAACGAGTATTGATCATCGGTGGTGGTGATGGTGGTGTAGCACGTGAAGTGGCCAAACATCCATTGGTCAAACATGTAGTTCAATGTGAAATTGATTCAGAAGTGGTGGAAATATCGAAAAAATACTTGCCATTCATGGGCGTGGGATTTGAAAATGAAAAATTGAAATTATTTTTCCAAGATGGCTATGAATATGTTCGTAATCATAAAAATGAATTCGATGTAATCATTACTGATAGTTCGGATCCAAAAGGTCCAGCAACAACATTGTATCAATCGGAATATTATCAAGCACTTTATGAATGTCTCCGTCATGATGGTATAATTTGTTGTCAAGCAGAATCGTATTGGTTCGATTTGGAATTCATTAAAAATTTATTCCATAAAGTTCAACAAATATTTCCATCATTAGCATATGCATCAACAGCTGTTGCATCATATCCATCTGGTCAAATTGGATTTTTGATTGCTTCAAAATCAAAAACTGTTGATTTCAAACATGCTAAACATCAAGAAAAATTTCAGAAAATTGCTGAAAAATTAAGGTATTATTCACCTGAAATGCATTCATCAGCATTCATTTTGCCAATGTTTGTACAACGGCAATTGGATCAAGTGTTGAATAATCCATGAAATAATAATTTATCGATTCATTCAAATTTGAAATTTTATAAAGAATAAAGCAAAAAATTAAATTCTACGATTTCTTTCTAAGAATTAGGTTTCTTTCAAGAATTCAGAAAAAAATAAAACAAAATTCAAAGTAAATTAAATTCTGTCCAATCATACAAAAGACAGATAAGTATTTTGTTTGGTCGTCTACTCATTATGAAGGGAAAAAATTATTCAAATTATTAGGATTGAAATGAATCATGAAATCATCATCAGGAGATATTTCAGCAAAAGGATAAATTATCAGTTGACTTTTTCTGGTTGAACAGACACACACAGGAACACACCAAATCATCTATTCATTCATTTACTTGCTGGCAACGTATTTGATAAGATCGATTACTCGGTTACTGTAGCCAAATTCATTATCATACCAAGCGATAAGCTTGACGAAGGTTGGTGTCAATGCAATACCAGCTTTAGCATCGAAAATAGAGCTATGTGTGTCTGAAATGAAATCCGATGATACGACCTGAGAATGATTGGCAAAAAAATAAAAATAAATAAGAAAAACAAAAAAGTAATGAATATGTGAATAGATGATGATGGCTATAATTAGGTATATACCTCTTCATCAGTATATTCAAGAATGCCTTTCCAATGATCACTTTCAGCAGCAGCTTTAATAGCGGCTTTAATCTCGTCATAGCTGGCTGGATTTTTCAATGTGACAGTCAAATCAACAACAGAAACGTCCGGAACAGGTACACGTAGTGCCATGCCTGTGAGTTTGCCATTCAATTCGGGAATAACTTTACCAACAGCTTTGGCTGCACCGGTTGAAGCTGGAATAATATTTTGTCCAGCACCACGACCATCACGCCACATTTTGCCACTAGGACCATCGACTGTTTTTTGTGTGGCAGTCACAGCATGGACAGTTGTCATCAAACCATTTTCAATACCAAACTTGTCATTGATGACCTTGGCCAATGGAGCCAAACAATTGGTGGTGCACGAAGCGTTTGAGATGATTTGTTGGCTTGGATCATATTTATCATGATTGACACCCATCACATACATTGGAGCATCAGCAGATGGTGCCGAAATGACAACTTTTTTAGCGCCACCAGCCAAATGGGCCTTGGCTTTTTCGATTGTTGTGAACACACCAGTCGATTCGACAACGTAATCAGCACCAACTTTTCCCCATGGAATATCGGCTGGATTACGTTCTTGGAAAACCTGAATCTTTTGTCCATCGACAACCAAAAGACCACCTTCTTCTTTTACTTCACCTTGATAACGGCCATGGGTTGAATCAAATTTGAACATATAAACCATATATTTGACATCCAAAAATGGATCATTCACGGCTACAACTTCGACACCTTTTTTAACGGCAGCTCGTAAAACGAGACGACCAATACGACCGAAACCATTGATACCGATTTTAACCATTTTTTAGAGATTTTGTATTGTGTTTTTAAAACTATGGTAACAATAGAAAAAATTATCATCAGCAATAAAATTGGAAAAAATTTCGTCAGTAGAAAAAAAAACTTACGCGAGAAGACGAATGCTGCAATGCAAGTGAAATAAAAAAATGATGCGGATTGATCCCAATTGACCGGCTTGGTTAAATATATATAAGCTGACTCGTTAAATACAACTGCCATTTGTACGCAAGCGCTATACAGTAAAATATTCGAGAATTTAGTAAATAAAATAACCTTGAGTTATAATGATAGGACTTTTACGACGCGCATGCGATTTACTTTGAAAAAATAAAAACATTTTTCTGATAACAAAAAAATAGCATCCGATATACAACAACACACCCCTTCACGCGATTTATTTTGGTTGCTAACTGACGTGACATTGTCATCTGCACTCAAAAAAAAAAAAAAAAAATACGATTGATTCATATCAGCCCCATGTTTAAATGTGAGGAATTTAAATTTTTTTGTTTTTGGAATAAACATGCCACCATACGGCGCCATATATGCGCCAATCGAATTTACTTTAATAATCTGAATTGAATGGTCAAATTCCATAACATTCATTCATTTATTACAATTACAAATGATGATGATTACATTTTAGGTTCAGACAAATAAGACATTCCAATCTTTTCACCTGATTGTTTTTTCTTATTGATCAATGCATTAATCTTTTGATATTCACGATCTAATTTAGCTTTTTCATCTTTTATCATTCGTTTTGTTTTGCCTGTTGTATTATTATTTGATGATGAGTGATATTGATATTTCATTTCTTTTCCATTATCATAATCATCATCATCGTTGTGGTCAAAACGTGATGATCGAATTTTACCACCACTAACAACATCTTTACGACCATTGTCATCATCATCATCATCATCGGTATCGATGATTGCATCATCATTTTCAGCATAACCAGGATAACATTCTGCATAGCTTTCCGGTTCTTGTTGTTGTAACTTGGCTTTTTTCACTTTATGAATGTTGGTCGTAGTATTTGAAGCAGCCAAATTTCCAACAATAGTTGCAGCCATTTCCAATGCTGCTTGTTTCGAATTACTACTACTTTCACGATCATCATACTTATTTTTTGTTGATTCAAAATATGATTTACGTTTACCACCATCGTTATTGGATGATGATGATACACGTTTGGATTTAATATCCGGTACATAATCACCAACATCATCATAAATATTATTATCTTGATGTCTTGTTTTTTCTTTGTATAACGATGACGATTTACCGATGCATTCATTCTTAGATGAACTACTTGGCATTGATTCGAATTTTCTTCGTTGTTTTTTACTATTTGCTCCTTGTCTGATATGAGTCCAAATCTGGATTAATTTATTCATGATAATTTCATTAGTACTGATTGAATTGTATGCATCCAAATTAGGACATTCAGCTTTGCTTCGAATTAATGTGGTTGGTATTTCGTTTTCAGGAAAATCATTGGCTAGAATGGAAAAAAATTAAAAATTTAAAAAATTTTACCAGAAAAAAACATTCATTCATACTTAGATCGTATTGATATGCCATTCTTCCTTGTCGAAATAATTCATTTCTTTCGGGTAAATTTTTATTAAACACAATCTTCAACAAGTTATCAATTTTTTTATTCTTAATCACATAACGATCTTGATCATCGAATGTATCGTGCTCTTTTTTCGAATATTTCTTCATTTTTCGCCGCTCTTCTTCCTTTCGTGCTTCTTCTTCTTCCTCTTGTTGTTGTTGTCGTACTTTTAGATATTCTTCCTCTTCTTCTTTTGTTTGTATTTCAGCTTTCACTTTTTGTAATAATGCATAATCTAGCCCTTTGACCAAATGCGTATGTTCCATATCACCACCAAGATATTTGGATTCTTGAATTAGCTGTTTTCGCCGTTCAGCTGCATCCATATCAAAATTATCTGGACCAACTGCATGATAAGCAGTACTGTTGGTCAATATGTCGGAATTTCTTGCTGCATCCATATTCGATCCATCTCTACGTTCTTTAGCTCGATCACGATATTTTTTCGCTAATTCATGTAGAACATCACCATCTTGTTTTCGAATCATTTCGTATATCTTTTTTTTCTTTTTAACATTTTCACTTTGTTCCACTTTCGGTTTGTAACCAGATCTGCCATGCTTGTTTCGAACTGAACCACGAACTGAACCCGGTGTTGCTGATTGGCCTTGCATCACAGATCTTGGTGTCATCATTAATTTACGAAAATCGTCGTTGGTCATAGGTTGTGATCGTTCGATGGCATGATTTTCGGTCTTTGGTAATAACGCCGATGGCGGCGCCAATGGATTTGAAAACGGTTCGTTGTCCATTTTTGATGAAAAATTTCAAAATATAAGGAACGAAATAAAATGTCAGAATATGAAATGATTCTGAATCAGAACAAATCAGAAAAAACAAAAAAATCCAAAAAAGTCACGTGACATTATTGTAAACAAAGTCACTCACCTGAGTGTAAATAGAATGTGAGTTTTTAAGAAAGTCAAGTCGTAAAAAAATGTCAACATGAAAATTTTGGTTCTTAAAATTTGAAAAAAAATGATAATCTCCAATTTCAAACGACAATATTCGGACAGTCGGTTCGTAAGATTTTTGATACGAACCGCATTGAGGCAACCATCAGCTTGGTCGATGCAGCGATTGGTTTCATCGTCCTTCAAAAGGACACGAGCCTTGATTCGATATTTGTTTGGTCGTGGCCCATCACCATTCTTGGCGAAAAAATTCATCCCAAACAAAGATATTGTCCACATTTCGAAGAATTTATATGCACAATCAAGACTTGTGCGCTATGTGTTTCGTCAACGAGAGTATGTCACCCGTTTCTACTTGGGTCATTCTCCATTTAAAACTTTCAACAGACGTGTTTTTAACGGAACCGGACTTACATTCGGTTTAATCGGCATATATTGTCGTGATGGCAATGGTTATCCTGACTTATCCAATACTTTATTCGATAAACCTCAAAGTCTTGATTTCAGCGACTTTTTTCAAACTGTAAAAAAACCGATATTCGAAAGTGATGAACTTAGAGATGATATAACCAAAGCAGATCATATTGAATTTGATGATTTCATTGCGAAAGGATGTTGTGGTGCTGTTCACAAAGGAAAAATCAAAGATTATGATACAGAAAACGTTAAAAATGTGGCAGTGAAGATGTTATTCAATTATGATATGAGTTCAAATTCTGTGGCCATCATGAACGAATCGATTAAAGAATGTACACCGTATCGTGGAACATACGGAACGATCTCAACACGAAAAACTTTATCTGCACATCCAAATGTTGTGAAGATTTTATCAGTGTTTGTTGACGAATTTAAACCCGTAAAAAATAGTGAAAATTTTTATCCACATGCATTGCCACCAGAGTATGGTGGTTTTGGCCATAATCGAACATTGTTTGTTATGCAAAAACTCTACGATATGTCACTGAAAAAATATTTAATTCTGAATCCTTTTCCCACTGAACATTGTTCATTGGCTATACTAACCCAATGTTTTGAGGCTATTGATTTTTTGAATAAAAATCAAATAGCACATCGTGATCTTAAGCTGGATAATTTTCTCGTCCAATTACCTGACAACAATGATGATTATCCGTGGATTGTTATCACCGATTTTGGACTCTGTTCAACTAGTCTGAAAATTCCTTTTGAAACAGATGAAGTATGTAAAGGAGGCAATCATGCATTGATGGCACCTGAAATCAAAACAGCTCGTCCATGTAAACGTGCCATATTGGATTATAGAAAAGCAGATCTTTGGTCAATGGCCACCATTGCATATGAAATATTTGGCGAATTGAATCCTTTCTATCAAAAACAGATCGATCAACAAGCACTGGATGGTGCAAATTATTGTGAAAATCACATACCTGCATTTTCGTCTAAGTTACCATTGTTGGCATCAATGGTGAAACAAATTCTTCGAAGGAATCCAAATGAGGTGAATATTGTTCTTTTCATAAAATTCAAAATTAAATTTTTTTTTCTCATTATAGCGTCCTTCAACATGGTTGGTTTCGGCCTATTGTCATCTCCTGCTACAATATGGATCGAAACAAATGAATCAACTTCTGATGATTGAAAATCACCAATTGCAGGATCAAATTTTGAAGAATTGGTTCAAACAATTATCATATCGTAAATTGTTTGAAATAACCAATGGAAATTTGTCTCAAATTTCCAATTCTTATCGTATGCAAGTAATGTTTCTTGCCAAATATAACAGCAATCAATTGATTAATATTGTTGAACAATCATCAATCATGTTTTGAAGTTTATTTTATTCAATTTTTCCATGTTGTAAGAAAAAAAAAATAATAAAAACATGCACATTTTATAGCCAGTATATTTAGTTATTTTTTCATTATTTTAAAATTTATATATGTACAATGTATAATGATTTTCATTACAAATTCATTGTTCTTCAGTTTCATCGGTATCAGTTTCAGCGTTTTTCTTTTCATGTTTTGCATTGCGAATCTTCTGCTGTTTCCATTCTTTGATTTCTTGTCGAAGCTTATCATCTATAATGAATGTATGTGTTTGAAAAAAAGATTTGCATTGATTTGTTACTACTTACTTGGTACAAGCATATCTTCATTCAATGGTTGACGATTGAATGGATCAGTAGAAGCATTCAACAAGTGACGAATTATCACAGATCGGTCCATTATGTTTCCACTTGGCAATATAACCGGATCATCCATAATTGTATCCATTAATGGATCTTTATAATTTTCTGGTGCATCACTAAAATCAATTTCCATCTGTTTTTTAACCTCGAGAATTTTTTCCACTTCTGATATAATCAATAAAAATGATTCAATTTTATGTTGTGATTTAATATGGATACGTTCCATTTTCGATGCAGCATCTTTGAATAATTCATGACTATATGATCGTTCATCATTGGCAATGGCCTAATTAAATTTCAAAATTATTATTAGTTTGTCGGAAAAAAATTTCAAAACAAAAACCAACTTGATAAAATTTTTTGGACTTTAAATGCAAATAAATATCAGTAATCTTGTCGAGTAAATATTTGGGATCCCAACCATATTTTTCTGGATTTGGAACTTTAAGACTTTTACATTTTTTACCACAAAGCTGTTGTAGATTAAAGTTGAGCATTGCAGCCAATCTATCAATGAGTTCCTGAACAAGAAACAAATTGTAACATGATTTTTGATTATTTTTTTTTCACACAAACAACTTACCACAGCTTCGAAAGGTTTTTGTACCGTTTTTGTCAGATAATGCAACATGTCAACATTCTCGACAGCCAAAATTAAAAATGAACGACATTGCCGTTCATCGAATGCTAGTTGGCGTTCACGAGTTTCTCGTTGTTCTCGTGTTTGTCTATTCCAATTTTCAGGATTTTTCATGTCCTCTTTAATTTCATGAATTCGTTTCAAAGAAACCAATGCTTCATCCAACAAGAAAGTCGTGTCGTTCATCAACATGTTGATGAATTTGACAAAATTTTTTCCATTATCGGCTTCATTAATAATGGCAAATTGTTGTTTTTGATTTGTCCAAAATGATTTGAATATAATACTAATATGATAACGAATGGTAAATTTATCATAAAATTCATTCGAGGTACCAGTGATTTCAACATCAGTGTAGAATTTCATTAGAGCACGAACTAGATATTGATCGGCTAATGGATGATTCATGATTTTTGCGTGAAATGTCGATGAATGAGTGTTGACAATTGGGCTCGATAGAAAAACAATTTCGATGAATTTTGCAGTCAAATAGGGATTGTTTATATAATGTGGTGAACAAATGACCACTATAATGAATAGAATCAAGCATTCAAAATTGGCTGAATCATAATATGGATTTGGTGGTTCCAATATTGTCGAACAATGTTGAATAATGAAGATAAGAAAATCAGCCAAATCCTCTAGATACCAATCTGGATAACTGGCAAAAATTGGTGGTACATTTTGAGGCAATGGTAATTCCAGATCATATTCATTATCACAATTAATTAATTTCAACAAGAAATGAATAAATTGATTATAGAATATCATACAACGACCAAGGAATCGTTCGTCCAATAGGCCAGCTTCAGCACAAAGTTTTGATTTATGATATCGCAACATTTGTTCTTTATAACGACGCAGCCGATTGGATTGATCAGTCTGGTGAGCTTCAATGAAACGATTCAATTCTCGGATGGTTCTCAAACGCCGCATATGTTTTCGGATGCATGGTATGACGCTTATATGATGTGCATATAAAGTTTGAAAAAAACATTGTGTCGAAAATGTTACTTCATTCCAAGCAAAATCTGGTTTTGCCATCTCTTGTTCAAGCCATTTCTCGGCTTCAGCTTGATTGAACTTGATTCGTGAATCATCTTTTTTGATGGCCAATGGATTGTTTTGATTCATAGGAAATAATGGATCAATTTTTTCACGCTTGATTTTCACCGAAAGTAATTGTAAAACACTAGTGAGATTGGTGAAAAAGCCATCGGATGCAACAGATTTTTCATCCAAATGTAAACGTGAACGAGTACTGTTTCTCAGTAATGCTTCAGTGAAAAATTCAACAGTTCTTGCACGACTTTTATGATTCAATAATAAAGAATGAAATATTGGATATAGTAGATCACGACGAATATAATCCAAAGTATTTTGCAGATCTATTGTCGTTTGTTTGACTACATCATGACCATTTTTACTTGGATAGTATTTATCGACAATTTTTGGCTATAAAATAATATAACAAAAAATAATTAAAGCATAGTAAAATAATGATGAAAAACTCACATCATCTTCAGCAAACACTGACAATCGCAAAAATGGTGACATGTATGCAATTTTAGAAAATTCACGACCATTCGATTCTGAAATGGTAGCCGGTAATAACCAATTTATCGTTTGAGAATTTGTTAGCTATTTGTGAAAAGTGAAAAATTACAAATCCACAATCTGATGATCAGCAAACACAGGAACACTTACCAATTCACCAATTGGATAATTGGATTTTCCGACCGAAACATTACAAATCTGATTAAGTATTTGTAATGGTAATTTATGATTATCATAAATGAATGAACAATAGGAATTCATATCTAACCAAAGATTTTGTAAAATTGGTTCAAAAATTGCTGCAAACAATGTAGGTGAATAGTGATTATAGGTGTTGACAATAAAACTATTGATAAAATCTGGATGTAATTTTTGTGAATACAATAATTGCAGGAAATAATTTATAAGATATGAATCCGATTCCGATTGATTCATGATCAATGCAACAAAATTGATGCATTGATTTTTAATCGATGCCAATAAATCGCGAATGATTGGTGTTTCATATTTTTCCAATGTTAATTTTTCTTCTTTGTTGGCTCGATTGAATGAATCCAGCACATATGATAGGGCTAAAATATATTTATTACGATATGACATAAAATTCACGGCTTCAAAATCATTGTTCTTTTTGATTTTGAATGTTGATTGAATGATTGATTCAAAATTTTCTGGTTTGAATTTATTGAAATAAGCGAGACTATCATCAAAACTGACCGGTTGATTAATGAGATTCGTTACAATTTCCATGAGAATGAATTGAATAATATTCTTGTAATCATCGGTTGGTTTGATTTTAGTTTTAAATTCTTGAAGATTTATTGTGACTGGTGAATGAATCAATTGGTCATTGTTGCCATTATTTTCATTGGAAATTTCAACATTAAATGTTTTCGATATTATATTGAAAATTGTCAACGATAATGAATTTGATTCTTCAAATGAATCAAGAACAATATCAGATTTTGACTCGAATGAATTATCTCGTTGTCGTTTAAGATTTTCACGACGTTCTTCAATATTATCTACATCCATCTTCTCGATACGAGCATCTGAACCGCCAATATTTGGATTCATTTTATCATTGTGAGGAGTACAATCAACATCCATTGCTGATGGTGGTTCTGGATATGATGATGATCGTTTATCCGAAACAAAATCTAAATTAACATTATATTTGAGTGATGATTCATTTCCTTGTTCAGTGTTAGCCGGGTTATTCACTCCTTGCTGTTGATGTAGGTGATGATTGAGGGTGTCGTTTCTTTTTTTATTATTATTTGCCGTCGTCTTGGTTGATGAATTACAATTCAATGGCTGTTGCTGTTGAAGAAGACTTGATTCGGCAAGCTGCGGCAACAAATTGGCAGATGTTGTCATTATTGTTGATGATGCCGCTACATTAATAGATGATTGAACTTGATGTCGTTGTTGTTGTTGTTGTTGTTGTCCGGCAGGGTTATTGTTATTATTATGGTATGCTCCAGCACCAGCCAATCTTGAGAGTCGTTTGCGTCGTAACTAATAGAAAGCATATTCCAAGGTCATTATTCGTTTTAATGGCAAGAATTTACAATCGCCAAGAAAAAAAAGACAAACTTACCTCTTCAGGAGTCAATTCTCGAGATGTTTGTGGAACATAAATTTCTGGTATGATGGTATTTGCCAAATGAGATGAAGTGGATGATGATGATATTTCCGAATTGATTATTGGATTATCATTTTCACCCGAAGAATTCCCAGGAACATTTGATGGTGATGGCGACTGATCATTTGATTGATCCATAATTAGACTGATGATGATGTAAAACTGATGAAATGCATTAAATTGTGGATTATTATGATTAAGATTATGAATAATTGAAATACCTTTTTCGAATATATCGAGTATATTTTCGATTGAAATAAAGAAAAAAAATCACATTTGATTATGAATAGCGATGGTTATAAGAAGAATGGATTGATCACTTGGTTAAATATACGATGATAATGATAGCAAATAAAAGAGAAAAAAAAGATGATGATGATGATGAAATCAAGTGAGAAAATTGGTTATAGAATTATAAAACTAGCATTTATTTATTACTACTATAGTGATGATATGGACTAATCGACAAAAAAAAATTGAACTAAAACCAAAATGATGATGCTTTTGTTGTTGTGTACTAAAAGACGAAAATTTTCTATATCAGAAAAAAAGAACGGCAAGGCAACACACACACACACAAAAACGATTTGGTGAAGATGAAATACGATTGAAACTCAACACAATATGAAGCAATGAGTGACCCCTTCCTCTGTTGATTGAATCGAATAACAACTTCCACAGGTAGCTCTGCCATCGCTTGATCGTAATGACCATCCAATAATTTATTTACAAAACCCGCATTGAGAATTGAAACTCGCTGGGTTTGCTTGTCAGTATGATGGTTGATGCGCATCGACCCATTCCCGAAACGGAAGCATTTTGTTTCGGGAAGCGTTTATCCATTCGATACATAGTGTAATTTCTTCTATTTCTCAAACATTCAGTTTTGCATTGAATGGAGTATTTATTAAATTATCGGACTTAATTTTGTTGAAGACATTGTTGAAACAAAACGAATTAAAAATCACTTTGATATAAACCCGATAAACGAATAATTAAAAGAATGAAAAAATATCACTATTCGATGACGGTTGGGGAGAGGACAAGGATAGTTGATCACGGTTCCGATTAATGTAGTTTTGGCACACAACGGAACAAAAGATACCCTTGTTAATAAATGATGAAGTTTTATTTAATGAAATCGAACAACAATAATAAATCAAATCTTGAATTAAATCACAAATAATACAAATTAAATCACACAAGTAAACGGATATGATGATGATGATGATGGAAAATATTAGACATTGATTACCTAACAACAGATTGCGCTAAAAATCGACCGTGATCTGTGTTGGTTGTCGTTAAAATGATAAAGAGGTCACTATGATGACTTGCAGAGTTTCTGTTTAAGATTCTGAAACTAATGTGTGTGTTTGTCCATGTGTCCAGCATTTTTATACTTGTTGGATGGCCAAAACTCGAAACTTTTCCAACTTGTTGCTGTGTGTTAGTTGGTCGTCCTCCAACTGCTTTGGTCCTTTGTAGTCCATGTAATTTTGTCTATGTGCGATGACCAGCCTGATTGCTCAGGGTCAAAGGCAAAAAGCCAGCATGGTGACCACGTGTTTGGACATCCGGCGCAATTTTCCTAGCCTTTTAATATTTAAAATTCATTTTCGTTACCATCTTAATTTTTCTTATTATTAAAATCATCATATCTTGTTTATTTCACTTGTAACATAGATTTATAAATCACATGCAAATATATTTTTATCATATAAATAATAGCTATTAATCATGTATGTTTTTAATTTTATTATTATTACCGTTGTTGCATCATTTTTTCAAATATTTATGTGATGTCCTAGAAAAAATCAACTTCCTTTTTGCAAGGAAAGGAAAATCAACAATGACGAAACTCCAACACAATATGTGGCCATAAGTCATGGACTTATTTTCGTCCGGGAAAATCTTTCCACCACGTTCAAACAGCAGGATTTTACTACCATGCACTAGCTGGGACTGGTACATGAGTAGCAAAACAAACACCTGAACACACGGTCTACGTGACAAGTGGAAGGTTGATAAGCTGGTCACCAACGTGAGTAGCGTATCAACCGACGGCGATTGACTCGTCCAAGAAAATCATATAAAAATCCCGAAGACGCACACAATCATCTTCGTATATCACCATATTTCGATATTGCTGTAAAGGGATTTTGCATGTAGATGAGTGAGTGTTAGAGCGTTTTTCGAACTTCTTTTCGAATTTTATTTACTAAATTTTACTTGGGCTTTAGGATATTTTCGAATAATTCGTCCATTAGCTTGAATTGGATCCATACCATTACGAAGATTTTCAACAGCTTTTTTGTTTGTGTTTTCTTTCAATAATAAATAGACATAATGAATCAATCAATCAAACAATCAAAAAGTAAGTTGAACTTGTGAATTTAAGATAATAATACTGATTTTCTGATTTCTTTTTACATAGAAAATGAAAATTGATGATGGTGATAATATCAACACCGTATGTTCATTTTATTCATTTATCCATGAAATATATTTTCAATATTCTATTTTAATATTCTAGGAATTCATCAATCATTTTTTGACGGAACAAAGAATTTGTTCAATATTACTAACTATACAATGGCAGAATTGCCACAACATACACTGCTTTCTCTGATTGAAAAGGATGATAGGAAAGATTCGAAATATATCTTCGATGGTGATATTAAAACCATAGTTAAAGAAACTATGCGACAACTTGTGGGTTATAATAAACCCTACAAGGTTTATATTCCACAACAAATCTGACGACGACGACGACGACGACGACGATGATGATGATGACTATAGAAAAACTATTACAAGTCGCACATACAAAACATACACATGATTTTTTTTCGATATCTAAATTCGAGAACAAAAAAAAATTTGTAGGCGTTGTATACACAGTGGAAAAACTTGTGATTGTGTGTTGTTTTTTGCAGAATGAAAAATTCTTCCATAGAAATTCAGCAATATAGCATTGTTGTTGTTGTCGCTGTTATTGTAAATGTGGTTATTGAATAATAACAAAAGAATTCTTTATCCAAAAGAATCGTTAAGATTTATTTATGAACCAACCTCATCATCATCATCATGAAGATGGTGATAATGATATTGAAATTGATAAAAGTCAAGTCGTGTTTTTTTTCACTCTGATGATGATGAATAATCAGTTAGCATGATACGATTTAGAATGAATTTTACTACAAACACACGTACACACATTAAAAAAAGGCAAAGACATCATCATCAATTTAAAGAACTTGGCTTTGGCTGAATTCTTGATAATGATGGTGATTATATGACAGGATTATTGAAATATTCGTACTTGTCTTGACAAATTCAAAAGAAGAATATTCAGTTATTCTGGATTAGTAATAATTCTTTAGAATGGCAACAACAAAAACAACAAAAATTGGACAGAATTGTGGTAAACAAACAAATAAAACGATCTAATAGAAAAGCAAATGAACTTTTCAATTCAAAATGGTTGAAAATGAATTTTTTCACTTTCTTTTTATTCTTGTTTGTTGTTTACGAAATATTTGTTCAAAAAACAACAACGACGAAAAAAGGCTTTAACACGCAATTTTTTCTTTCATTGTGAATATCAAAATCTTGCCCCATAGGGCATGACAATAACCAGAAAAATTAAAAAAGGCTGTTACCCTGGATTTCACTTTTTTTTGTGTGTTTAAAAAAACTCATTCATTTGGATTGTATCTGGTGGGTATAGAAAACGACGACGACGCATGCGTTTTCATATGGATTCATTGAATTAATTCAAATCCATATCCGTGATATTAGAATAGAAACTGATGAATTATGGATGTTGATGATGTTTGAACATTGAAAAGGTTATTGTTCGAAAATGGTTGGCGCGCGAATATTTACAAGTTTTTTTTTCATGATCATCATCATTCATCATTGATGAAATTAAAACCAGTTGTCGTTGTTGTCGTGAGAGAAAGATGAAATTCAAGTGCGTCTTATCCGTTTGAATACAACAACAGCAACAACAACAACAACAACGTGATTTCATTAGAAATTGCATTGAAATGAAAGAATCTTGTGATTCATTCTTGGATTTTGTTTTAACATTTCAAATTTTGCAATTCAATGAATTAATTTGAAAAAATGATGAAATTACACGTCAAGTTTTAAATATCGATCGTTTATTTTTTTAATTAAAACTCCCATTAACAGTTGAAAAAAAAGTTTACAGTTATGTTATTTAATAATAAATGGGGTTTGTTTGCTTTTCTTTGTGGTTTATTGTCAATGATGATGTTGATATAAAAGTATGGCATACATACATCCTGGGCTAAATTACAATACCGTCACTTCTCTCTATTCTATGACAATAATTTGTCACATTGCTAACAACTTATTTGACTAAAAATACTCACATGTAGGTGGGTAACAATCGAGATAATACTGTAAAAATATACATAGATAACATTTGACATAGAAAAAAAATCAACGTTTATCAATGTTGTTGTGTTGGTGAAAAAAAACCATTTTTTTGTTAATTTATACCGGAGGTGTTTCCATCATTGATTTGTTAACATTTATCAATGATAATCAACATGAATCAATATCAAAAACAATAGCCCAAAAACAATATAATTTATATGGTTTTCTTTCGGAATTTTCGAGAATTTATTATTAATAATTTGGATATGCAACAAGTCGGATTGATTGATACCGCAAATTACCTGTCCGCAAATTATTTATCGAATGTGAATGATAAACAAAAAACGAATGAATAATAATAATAAAAAACTTTATGTCATTTTTGAACAAATCGCTTGCCGTGTTGTAGATGTTCATGAAGTTGGTGATTGTCGTGGTTGTGATTCGAATACCTGTTCATTCGTGAGTATTTTTTTTTTTTTTTTTGTATTTTGATGAGTGAGAAATATATTTTTTTTCTCGTCATTCGTATTTTGACAAGAAAAAATCTTGCTTACTGCTGCTACACACAATACAGGCTACAGGCTGGCTGCACTGTGTTGTGGCTTCACTTGCTTTGTCCTACATTTTGTTGTTTTTTTTTCCATTTTGTAAATGTACAGTGTGTCTTTATCATCATCATCATCATCATTATATATTTGTGTTATAAACAAACAGGAAAAATAGTTAATTTCAAAAAACCACCAAAAAATCTATAGCATCATCATCATCATCGAATCTTATTGAAGGAATAACCCAGAAAAAAAATTCTAAAAACCCAAATCACTGTCACACAAATACGCGATCGATCCCACCTGTTGAATCTGTGTGTATTGAATCTTTGAAATTGATTGAACCACCTGGAAAAACATTTTCCATTCAGTTCAATCTGTGTTTATCTATTTGTCAATATTCGAAAAACAATCACATCATTTGGGAAAATGGAAATCAAAATTTTTGTCTTATAGAAAATAAACCACCAGAGAAATCTATCTAAAAAATCTGGTTTTTTCTAGAAAATTTAAAGTCATTAAACTGTAATTGAATCCTATTGATTTACGTATCATCAATTAATATCATCATCAAAAAGTAGACTGTGTTAATCATCATTAACCAGAGAAACAAACGAAAATGTCGTTTATCGATGATAAAACATTGTCAGAGTATGTATTTGATACTTTTACATTACATGTGATATTTATTAATCAAAAATGATTTTTATTTTCAATAGTTCAAGTTATAGTTTTGATCAAAATGAAGAACATTTTGAATTTACACCACAGTTTAATGTTGGTGATAATGATGATTCAATCGATGATGATGATTGTGATGAATTTATAACCAATCACCATAATAATAATAACAATAATAATAATTCGATATCAACTAATGGCAACAGTGGTGGTGGTAATTCATCATCATTAAAATTTATTCAACGAAATTCATTATTAAATTCCAGTTTTCGAAAGTATGTGTGTTTTTATTTTTGATTGAAACATCAAAAATTATCAATTTCAATTTTTTTTTTTTGGTCATCATCAATAGATCAACACCGATGAAAAATAAAAATTCTCTCCATTCGTAAGTTGATTTTTTTCCGGCTTTTTTTTAAAAAAATTCAATTCATCGTTCGTTTACCTTTGTGTTCAATAATGATGATTCGACAAAATTTTTTACTTTTTTTACTGTTACAGTAATAATTCATCAATGAATGGCATAAATAATTCACGTGGTTCACTAAGTTATGATTCCGATAATCAATTGATGATCAATGATAATAATTCAATGGAAGAATATATCATTCATCTTACGGACAAGGTAAATGAATCCAAAAATTGATTGATGAAATTTCATAAATTCATCCCATTTCGTATTTGTAGCTGAAAAAACTTCAGGATCAGGTACAATTCCTGCGTGAAGGACAACAAAAAAATGAAGAAAAATATTCTACAATGAAAAGAGAAAATTCTACATTAAATAACAAGTAAGTTTTGCATCAATTCAAAAAAAAAAAAAAATCAGGCCACCATCTTGTTCAAAAAATCTTTTAACCCTTTTTTCCTTATTTCTTACATACTAAAAAAAAAATCCAAACTAAATCTCGTAGTCGTTTTTTCCCTCTATTTTCCCCAATTCGAGGCCACCATCATCATCATCCAATTTAACAATTGTTGTTTAACATAGATATGAATATAGAGAAATTATAATCAAAAAACTTAATCTATTAGCCATCTATATAGTCTGTATATTTTGTTGTTGTCTATCATATCAAATCTCGATGTCGTATGTTTGAATGTCTCTCTGTCTATCTTTCTGTATTTTTGTTTGTATTAGTTTATCTATGTGAAAAAAAACAAATCAAAAAAAGATCACCATCATCATCATCATCAAAATCTTCTACAGAGAAAATTTTTTTTTTCTGCCAATAATGTTTGTATAGGTACCACTTATTGCAATTTTCAGTATATTTCTGCAGTTATACACAGAAAAAAATGATGTTTTAAATAAATGATGATGAATGAATGAATGAATGAATGAATGAGAACCACCACATACATATCACACACAATAGGCCATTTTGTATATTCACCATATATACCTGTTGTTCTGTTCTGGTGGTTAGTTTTTTTTCTGTTGTTTATAAGCTCTAACCACCATTCAACAACGACAATTGCCATTATAATGATGATGATGATGATGATGGTCATGAGAGCAATCGTGTGTGTATGTGTTTTGTATATGTTTGTGTAATATGTGAACAAAAAAAAAACAAAACAAAACGAAATGGTTCGTGTTTTTTTTCTGCTGCTATGAGCTACATTTTGTTGTTTTTCGGTGGTTTTCTTGCTAAATTATCATTATCGTTGTTGTTTTTTTTCTGTTGTATTGATAGTTCGTTTCATTTTCATTTCAAAAGTCGTCAATGATTGTTGTGTTTGTATGTTTTTTTTGCTTCAGGTGTTGTCGTTGTTGTTGTTGTTTTACCAATGTTTGTGCATGAAATTTGTTTATAAAAAAAACCGAGCACATACCTGTGTATAGCAGAAAATTATCATCTGATGATGATTATATCATCGAATTCAAATTCGAATGTTATGCATGCCATTTACATAGGTCTTTTTTCCCATTTCCATGCAATGTTCACATACAATGTGATTATTCCCTTTTCAATTTTATCTTCTCATGATTTTGATTTAATAAAAATGTCAATGTTTTTTTCCGTTTATTTTTCCTCTCTTGTTTGACATTTTATCGTTAACGTTTTCATTGTCGTCATCGTCGTCGTTGGCATGGTCATTATCAACAAAAAAAAATTCTTAGAATCAATTATCTGGAAGAACAAATCAGAGATATTGAGTTACAATCGGAAGATAAACGTAAAGAAGTCGAACAACGCTTTCGTGATTCAATGGCTCGTTTAGAACGTGAAAAAGCACAAGAACTTGAAAATTGTGTTTCGAGAATTTGTTCATTACAAAAAGAATCTATTGAAGCCAAAGAAGAGATAAAACGTCATCAACAAACAATTGAACGTTTACAAGATGTGCGGGAAAAATTAGAAATTGAAATCCACGATAAAAGTGATGAAATACAATCGTTAAAAAATGAGATACGAAAATTGAAAGAAATAATACGGCTAAAAAACGAAGAACGCGATGCCATTGATTCATCATTAATCGAGGCAATTAATCATGAATTGTCTATTGAACGTAATCATCATAATTTATTCGTAAACAATAACAACAACAACAACAATCATGATCATCATAATAATCATCATTCAATTAATCATGATATTGATAACGAAATGTATAGCAGTATTCATTCGGAATTAGAACAACAATTACGAATATTAAAAGATGAAAATAAAACATTGAAAGAGAATAATGAAGAATTAACCGCACAACTACTGAATAATCATTTGATTGAAGGCAAAAGCCTATTGAAAGAAGGTGAAGCCATTTCATCATTAGCTAGTGAAATTAGTGATCTCAATTTGGAACAGGTATAGTGACCAGGAAAGACAAAAAAATATCATTTTCTAATTTCTTTAATTTCTTTTCAGCTAAAAACTGCCCTAAAAGAACAACAAGATGTCAATGCAAAATTACGTGCATACATTGATGGTATATTGCTCAATATTGTTGAAAATTATCCACAATTGTTGGAGGTAAAATCGAATGGTGGTGGTGGTGTTGGTGGAACAACAACAACTGTCGCTGCTAAACATCAATCACCATCAACTAATAATGGCAACCGTAGTAAACGATTGTGATATTAAAACATTTGTTTTTTTTTGTTCATTCATTTCGTCATTATTATCCATTTCTGCAAACTTTCACTGATTTACGAAATCCAAGTTTGTCTGATTGTGATTTTTTTTCCATCCATATCAACTTCATCATATAATCATTCATCTTAGTATTATATAAAACAATCGAAAAAAGGAAAAATTCTAACCACCATCATCATCATCATCATCATAATCATCGCCATTCAATTGTTGGATTATTTTGTTCCTGGGAGTTTTTTTTTGCTGAATTTGTTTTGGTTATATTTTTTTGTGTGTGTAAAAAATTACCTATTATTTAATTTTATTTTGAAAAAAACACTAATTAAAAATTTAAATAAATTACACTTTGATATTTTTTACAAATTCAAATCCATAAATGAACATGATCGAAACGTCCGCTAGATGTCGCCATCTATGCTCGATTTACAATCCATGCTGGATTGTTTTTTATGGCAGATTTTTTTCAATGAAAAATTTTCAATCGAATTTGAATGAAATTAACCATGGAAATTGAGACGACCGACGAATCCAAATCAAATCAGAATGAACGTGATTTCTTCTATGTTCGTGTGCCTAATGATGATAAATCCGATGTATCCGATAATGATGACGAACAATTGAATCAAGAGCTTGATGATGAAGAAAAAGAAATTGATTTCAATGCTCTACTTGAACAATTGAATGGAAAATATTCAAAAATACGTAATGATTTATCCGTATTGGTGGATAAGAAAAATGTTACTAAAGGTGATTGGAATTCAGAAAAACGTGTTGTACAAATCAATGGTAAAGATTATTTGAAACAATATACGCCAAATGCTCGATGTTTAACACCATTCGAAGCATTATTCCTATTTGAATGTCGATCATTGGCCATTTATTATCAGAATATTCTGCTCAGCATAGAAGATGCTTATGAATTATTACTACAGGATAATCGTGATGTTAAGCTTTATAAAATTTTCTCTACATTATCACGAATTGGATTCTTTGTTGTTCAACAAATTGTTTCGAAACCAGAAAATTCTGAAATTGAAAATAAGAAAGAACCAAAATCACAAGGTATCAAAAGATCAATGATCGACGATGATCAAGAAATCGAATCGAAAAAAATCATTACATCAAATAATGGAAATTCGTCCACTAGTAACGATAATTTTGCAATTATCACAAGTATTCAACCATTGCAGATGGAAAATATTTCCAAATTGAATAAAATGGACAAAGAATTGATACAACATTTTAAATCAAAAGATGATCTTGATGATGAATCGTCATCCTCGTCATCGACCAGTTCATATTTATATTGTGTTAAAAAAGCAGCAAGACCAGCACAATTATCACAATTAATTCGACCATTGTATAGTGAGAAACATAAACCATTAATACCGTTGGGTTCTATTTTTGACACTGACAGTCTATTTCGATCGATTCAACAATATGCACCAATCTGTTTTGATAATCATGATTCGAAATCCATGTTGAATATTGATTTCAATATTTACCAATCGCAAGCAAATAAAAAACAAAACCATAAACCACTATTTTCCGTTATTGTTGTCGATGAAGATCAACCACCGCCATCGATTGAAGAGATAGGCAATTTTCGTGCACTCAATATAAGAAATGGTCCTATACTTTTTGCCTTACTTGCACAATTTACATTTAATTTTTATAGTTTTGAAACATTCATAGCACAAAATAAATATCCACGTTTATGGGAACAATTCTATCATCATCATTATCATCATCATCATCATCATCAGAGAGGACGTCGGTAAATTGTCAATTCTTTTTGTTGTTTCAGAATATTTTAAAACATATATGCACATTATACTTTTTTTTACTATCGATTATTTCATTTATTTTCAAATTAAAAATGTGAATCATTATTAACTATTCTGTGTAATAAGATACTGCCATTGTTGTAATTGTTGGTGGTGGTGGTGGTGGTGGTAGTGGTGGAAAGCAATCAAAATCGATTCCATCCACATCATATACATTGTTTGTCATCATCATTGTTGTTGTTCCAGAGAATTCTTGAGGTGGGATTAGATAATCATAATAATTTTGAGTTGTTGAATGTTGTTGTAAATTGTCGAATTGCATTTGATTTGCATCAATACCATAATGATCAATCGATGAGTTTTGAGTTTGTTGTTCGTTGTATGGAAAATCTGAAAATGATGGCACCACAACATTATCATAGTGAGTTTGATTCTGAAATTCGTAATTCATATCATCAAAAACATTGTTATTATGATCAATTTCGAAAGAATTTGTTGCAATACTCGATGTTGGATTATTTTGTTTATCGTAAATTTGATTTAAATAATCCGTTTGTTCGATTGTTGGATATACGTTGTTGTTCTCGTTGATGTTGCTGTGGTGGTAGAGATCGTCAATGTTATTATTAGTGGCTGCAAATTGATAATAATCATTTTCATCATCCTGGTTCTCATCGGAATGATGATTCAAATTGAATAATTTTTTAAAAGGACCTAATCCCATTTCAGGTTTATATCGGCCACTACATTGCCATTTTGAACCAGAATTGGATCGAATTTGTGGATAATTACGATGTGGATTATTATAATGATCAATTGTACATGTGAGAACATTGATATGATTGGATAATTCATTATGAATAGTTTTCGTTTCAATATCGATAATTTCATCGTCTATATAGGTTTCAAACGAGCCCATTTGTCTTTGAATTGATTCAAAATGATCAATTATTCTTGATGTCATTATGCTTTTTCACCAAAAAAAAACGTCAATTGAGATCATCATCATTTTTTTATATCTTTCTCTCATTCATCCTGGATTTTGTTGCCCACTTTTTTTCCATTTCATGTGATAATGATAATGATGATCCTGTAGATCTACACTATAGATCAATTGCATTGATTTTAAAATTAATTGCTACTGTTTATATTAACTATGCAGAAAATAAAAATCTCTAATCCTATTTCTCCTGGGACAAATCGATTGATAAAGTGGATCAATAAAAATTAGACTCCAGTGAAGAAGAAAAAAAAAATTGATTATAATACCGTGATTATGATTATTACTTCGTTTTTAGATATGACTATGACGACAAATAAACAAAATGAACCAAGAATAAAATAATGTATCTCTTCTTCTTCTTCTTTTTATTTTTATTTTTACCTCGGAAACATAAAATTTTTTTTTTGCCAATTCAATCGTGCGCGCATACATAATTTTTGCATTTCTAAATTCAGTTCCTGGTTCTTGGATGTTTATGTGCATGCAAAACAAAACAATGTCATTAACCTAGGCTGTCCAATGAACAATTTGAATGATTGTCGTATGAAAGAAAAAACTACCGTTTTTTTTATTGACTTGTTTTTTTATCCAGATAAATGTCGTCATTCGAAAGAATCATAGAAACAACAAAATGGTTTCCAAGGGAGAACAACACCGCCGCAACTACACACAATAAACAGAAGAATAATTCATTTCAACGAAACCAATAAATATTATATTCTCAAACATTATTATTACCTGCTTAATTTAGTCTATTGTGTACGATTTCAGATGGATAAAATGTCTCGAGTTTGATGTCATTACCGAATGGTAAGTCGAATGGTGATTTTTTTTTTTGTTATCTGGTGACAATTTGTGAATGATATGCCTTTCTCATCGTCAATGGGATTTGTACACGGACACGAACAATCCAATATAATTATCACCACTACCGACTTTGATGGTGATCATGTTGAAAACAATAGACAACAAAATCAACAACAACAAGTTCCTAGGTTAGAAAAAAATGATTAAATTTTTCGTTTTCTAAATCTGATTCATTCGCAGGTGGTTGTTGGATTTTCATCACGACATACATCCATCATTGCGTAATAATAAATCTAGACCATCGACCGATAACAATATTACAACAACAATAAATCGACCAAAGTGGTTCGAAGAATTGTGTCAAAAACGTAGAATGAGTGATATTGCTGATTTAAAATATTCGAAAAATGAATCTTTGTTTGAAGATGTTGCTAAAAATGATGATTCAATCACATTGTCCACTAATCATCATCATGACGCAATGACCAAAGACCATTGTCAACAACAATCAATCAATGCAGAAGACATGAGAAAAACTTTGAATAAATCATTGGCTATCATAGATACGCATGATGATGATGATGATGATAATGATAATTTCTCATTCACATCGGCCACATTTAAATCTATTGAAAATTTAAAATTGGATGAAATGACCAAAAACATTGTTGTTGAAGAGGATTGTATCATTCCGGAAATGCCTACGGGTATTGAATTAAGTCTAATATTAATGGAAAATTGGGGTGATCAAAATTTCATCGGTCTCAATGGAATTGAAATATTGGATCAATTTGGCAATCGTCCACCGATTGAAAATGTCTCTAAATTCAAATTTTTTGGCCACATCATGGCTAATTTTATTTTATTATTTTCTAAATGGATTTATTTAGGTATTTTTGGACAATGATGAAAATCGCAGACAACAGAATAATGATTTATATAAATTAATCGATAATGTTTATCGAACACATGATGATTCACATATATGGCAATGTCGATTTGATAATCATCGCCAATCACATCATAATCAGGGAAACAATGATGGATTACCAGTAACAATTGTGTTTCGTTTCGAGAAACCGACAACAATTGCGTTGATTCGTATATGGAATTATAATAAATCACGTATTCATTCATATCGTGGTGTTAAATACGCCAAAGTCAAACTGGATGAACAAACAATATTCTGTGGTGAGATTGCAAAAGCTTGTGGCGATCTTACTGGTACATTGGAGAATTTCGGTGATGTATGATGATATTATGGGACAGGCAAAACAAAACAAAACAAAATTAATTTGATTTTTCTCTCTCTCTCTCTTTCCCAAAACTTTTAGACAATTTTATTCACCACTAACGATGAAGTTTTGGAACAAATATCTCATTTTGACATTTCATTTCAAGAATTACTCATGGAACAAATGAACTAAAAATTAAAATTTTAATGTCCCTACAAACTAGACCAAAAAAACAAACAAACAAAACCTTGATGCATTGCTTCAAAATTTTTGCAAAACAAGAATAATAAATAAAATAAAAATTATTTTAATCTCAAATTTATTTTTACTTTTTTATTTTCAAATAAATTTTGCAAAACAATCTACAATGATATTCATATCCATAACACATAATGATGGGAGGTGTGTGTGGAATTAGATACGACCAGGAAAGATGCCTTTTGCACGTTGTTCGTCCCATTTTTCAATCTAGATTTGAAAATTGAAATGTTCAGTTTCAGATTAAAAAAACAAAATTGGTTCATAATTTTATACATACCCAAGCTGGTGGGCATAATTCATGAAAGGCAAATTTATACCATGAACATGGTTCATAATCTTCACCTTTCACTTTCTGGCAACGGAAAAAATCCAAATAATTTTGATAGCAGTTTCTATGATGATTGAAAATGAAATGATTTATCGAATGAAATGTGAATCATTATCAAATCAAATACCTTGTTTGATTTGTGTTTGGAAATCGAGGATCATACGGTACGGTTTGTCCTCGTCCTTTTAACATTTCAGGGTTTTTAACCACACCCTCGTTTCCTTTAATTTCAATTTCAACAACATTCATGGTGATGGAATTAATAGCGGTAAGAATAATTGATCAAGAAAATGAACAACAAAACAAAAATTCGATTGAAAATAAATCGTTCTCGATTTAACGTTGAGGTCAATCAAAACACACAAAAAATGATGACTAAATTGAGCTGTTCATATACAATGTATAGAAATTTTGAATTTTTTTTTTTTTCATACAAATTAAATCATCATCATCATCATATTCAATGTTTAGCTTTGAATAATCGTGGCATATCGCATGTAAAACATCTTCGAATATATTGACCACCGACCACTTCGCCTTTCGGAAGATTAAACAAATCATACAAGACAAAATGTGGTGGTGCTTTAGTTCGTGTTCGATATGGTGTCCAAGGTGTTACTAAATCGCCAGAATCAGCGTCAACATTGGCCAATTGATTGATGATAATCGAAAAGATACATGTCTATTTATGGTGAGACTTTTCACTTTGAAAATCATCAAGTTTTTAAACATTCAAAAAAAAACTTACCAATTTGATTACAGATGCAAGAATCTTCATTTTGATTGCAGAATTTTGTGAAAAAAAAGAAAGCCCCGAAACCTGTTGTTCGATACGAATGAAAGATGAGAAAGAAATGAAATGAAAAACAAGGTTTCATTTTAACCGGACTTGGTCACTATTGGTGAATTAGGTCAAACTATCATCTTTTCAAAACAAGTTCTCTTCACAGATATATTAGGCTATTTACAACTATTTTTATTCATTTTTATCATCATCTTCATGACTGATGGATGCTATTGTTGTCATGGATGTTCTCTGTATTTGTGTTTGTCTGTCTGTGTATTATAATAGTTTTGGTGAGAAAAATAATAATAAAACTGGTTCACATATGAATATGGGAAAATTGAAAATTGATGGATGGGAAATGGTGTTTGTTTTGTTTTCAATTCTAAACATGAGCATTATTTGAGTATTTTAACAAATTTGTAAAAAAATATTCTGAATAAATTATATGGCCGGCTACTCATGTCACCATTGACAATGATTGGATATTCCGGTTCGATTTATTCGATTCATTCGTCGTTTATTTAGCCAACTAATCCGATCGGATCAAAACCACCGATATCTCCAAGTCCACCGAGACCACCAATATCACCAAGACCGCCACCCCCACCCCCACCTCCGCCTAGATTTCCTAAGCCAAGATCACCGAGACCAAGTCCATCGCCTCCACCGCCGCCTAGATTTCCTAAGCCAAGATTACCGAGTCCAAGATTTCCAAGATCAAAACCACCACCACCACCTTGTTGACCAAGACCTAATCCTTGACCCAATCCTTGGCCGAATCCACCTTGTTGACCAAGACCACCCAATTGTTGGAGAACATTGCCGCCGCCGCCACCACCACGACCACCATCGAGACCAAATCCAAGGCCACCGGGACCACCACCTTGAAAACCGCCGCCACTAGGTCCACCACCACCAAGGATATTTCCAAGGCCACCTAATCCTGCTGGTCCGCCACCACCACCACCGCCACCTCCACCACCAAAACCATCACCAAGATTTCCAAAATCAAATTCATTTTGAGCATAAATGTTGATGATATTCAATGCAAACACAAACAATAAACAACACAATAGTAAACCACATAGATTTGGCATGATGATGGTGGATTGTGAATATGAGTTTTTCAAAAAAAAAATGTGATGAATGAACCTGAATACACAATATTTTCACAATGAAAAACAATCACTTCACGTCACACACACAAACACAAACACACACACAAACACACTGACTAAATGTTGATCGATGTTCGAAGTTTGATGTATTTTTTTTTTTTTTCTGTATTTGTGTCTGTGTGTGTGTGTGTTGGATGATTCCAAAATGAAAGCTCAAAATCAAATGACAATCTTTCGATTTGAAACGGCTAGATTTAAATGTAGTGACAACATAATGAAAACAGAAAAAATTTATTATCATCGGTGAAATTGAGGAAAAAAAATATTAAAAATTTCGAAGACAATGGCTTGGTGTTTGTGTGTGTGTGTGTGTGTGTAATCCGTTTCCCTTTTCAATACGACAAAAAAAAAATTTAGAAATACAAAATAAACTAAAAACAAATGCAACTCGACCTCTACCTGATTTCCGGTGGTTCAAAAACAGAACTTTTAAGAAGAAAAATTTTAAAAAAAGGCTGCTACAATTGTAATGACAACAACAATCGCTTTCGCCATCATTTTAATTCATTTCTCTCTCTCTCTCTCTCTCTTTTTTCTTCCGAATTTTTTTTTTTTTTGATTTCGATTCGGTCGAGAAAATTTTACTGATCATTACATACATTTGATTAGATCCGGGAGTTGCTTAATTCAACAAACAAAAAAAAATTATTTTTTTTCACACACACAACTGATAATTTAAATTTCAAATCAATTAAATTTAAAATAATTATGATGAATAAACCGGTGGATTGAAAAAAATGATTAATCAAAATCAAATCTCATCATCATCATCATCATCATCAAGATCAGGAAATCACAATCGATTCAATTGTGAAGTTGAAACAAATAAACTGAATGGGTGACACTTGGTATTGATGAAAGTTTTTTTTTTTTTTTTTTGCAAACAACCAATCATTTTTTGTTCGTGTTTCAAGCTTGAATACATTTTTGACACATTACAGCTATGAAAAGCAACACAAACACTTGGATTTGATATGTGTAAAAAAAATCGTGTGACAATGTGGATTTGATGAGAACATTATATTATTATTATTACAATGGACATTTATGAGTCTGTGTGGTTTAATATCCGGTGTCTTTTGTATGAGAAAAAAAATTTTTGGCTTTGAAATTTTGACGAAAAATTACATGTTTTTGTCATTTATTCATTCACTCATTCAATTTCGGAAGTATAATTCGTAGTGAAGAAGAAGGAAGAAATAAAACAAAGACATAATTGAAAATGGTGGACAAATCAAATTAATTTCTTTTTTCGTTCGTTCGTTCGTTCGTTTGTTTGTTGGTCAGCATGGAATTCAAAACAATAGATGGTTTTATTTTTGGGTGATTTTCGTGCGACCTTGATGTGATTTTGTGTGTGTGTGTGTGTGTGTGAAAAAATGAGCCATTTACACACCACCACCACCACCATCGGAAACACTAAAGATAAAGTTCATTTCGTTGAATATTACAAAATAGCAAACAAACAAAAATCATGACAATCATACCTGTATTATAATATACAGTCTAATTATTTGCAACAATTTTCAGGCAATTCAATCCTTGTAATTGAGCCTAACGCTATAGCGTATTACGTAATTATCGATTATGCAAAACAAAATGTTGTTTGGTTTTTTTTGGTGACAAATCGTCAAATCAATTGACGAAAAAAAAACAAAACAAAATCACTGGAAGATGGAGAAAATTTTGAAATTGTAAAAATGAAGCCGGTTTCCGATTTTTTTGTTGAAATTTGTTTTATACACACACGTCGTTTATGAATGGGATTTGCCGATGAAAATGAAAAACATCATGAGCATGCATGTGTGAAATGTATATATATTCAATTCGTTTCTTTTCATGATCGTTTTAACTTTACTTTGAATTCTTCTTTCAGATATCTAATTATTTAAAATTCATTATTTCGTTATAATTGTGATTTATTTAAGCACTTCTGAAAACCAAAAACAAAATGAGCCAATCAATATTATCCAACAACAACAACAACAACAGCAGCAATAATAATAATCAACCAAATGCTGTCTTTACCATAACTGAAATGCCCGATTTGGAACAAGTATATTCTCTAATCAAAGCAATGTATGAACAAGAAGAATGTAAAGAATGGGCATCTAAATGGCTAGAAGCGCTGCAAAGATCCGTGTTTGCATGGAAAATATCTGATCAATTATTGATTAAAAAAATTGATTATCAATCATGTTATTTTGCTGCACAAACATTGAAAACGAAAATATTACAATCATATACTGAATTACCAGTGGAAAGTTATGATTCATTAAAAGATTCGCTTATCAATCATTTGATCAATATGAATGTGAAGCCAATTGAAACACAACTTTGTCTCTCTTTGACGTATATTTGTAAGTTGAAAGTTTTTTTTGTAAAATAAATTGCTATGATAATTTTAATTTTCATATCGTTATATTATAGTTTATATAAATGAAAATTGGAAACATGCATTCGAAGAGCTTTCACAAAAATTAACAAAAGGTACATTTATTGAAATTCTCACATGTATCGCTCAAGAATATGATGAAAGTCGGCCAATATTTAAGCTGCCCAGAGCACGACGTGATCAACTTGAACAGTATATGTCAAATAATTTTTCAATGGTCATTCAATTGTTAATTTCCTGTTTTCAAGAGTTACGTACATGTAATGATACTGCTGTACAGGAATTTATCAGTCAAAAATGTTTATCTTGTTTTGAATCCTGGGTAAATTTTGCCAAAAATGATCACGTGGATTTGGTTCGTCAGATGTTGACGATAATTTTTGAATTTCTAAAAAATCCTGATTGTTCCATAGAAACACATGAGAAAGCATCGGATGCTTTCTGCAAAGTGATTTATCAATGTGAAGCACATAGTAATTTTTCCGATCTACGTGTTCAAGTCATTGAAATGGTTTATGCATTGGAAACGAGCTATGATAATGCATTGGCTGTAGAAGATTCTTCAAAGTTGATGGATTTGGCAAGAATTTTTGTTGAATTGGGCAATTCAATCATTGAATTTTTGATTTATGATCAAATTGATTTGAAAATCATGCAACTGATTCTTAAATGTGTTGGACATTATGAATTTGAAGTGGTGGAAATTACATTCAGTTTTTGGTATAATTTTTCCGAAATTCTTCGTAAACATGATTATGCAAAATTTGCTCCATACTATAATCATCTGTTCACATCTTTATCACGTCTTTGTCGTTTAGAAGTTGATTCAGAAATTATTGTTGATGAAAAATCTGATGTCTACGATTATCGATCACAAATTCATGAACTAATACAAGAAATCGCCATTTGCATTGATTGGGTCAATTATACCATCTCGATGAATGTTATGGAAAATTTCAATTCGACAACAACTTCATGGGAAATTATTGAAGCCCATCTATACATCATGTATTGTATCGCCTATACGGATAATATTGATAATGACAATAATCCACTTAAAAATGATGTTTTATCTGCAATGATTAATTATCTATTGAATTTACCGAATCAATCTGTCGCAGAACAACAACAACAACAACAACAACAAGTACCACATGTACAGATTTATGCTACTGGTTGTGATCTAATTGCTGAATTAAATGAATGGATCAATGACAATACAAATTTCTTACATCCAGTTATAATATTTTTATTGAATATTATTACCACGAACCATGTGAAGCTAACAAAATTATCAATTAGAGCTGCCATTGCTTTGAAACAAGTCCTGAGTACTATGACCAATATTGTTGATTATGATTGGATCTCCAAATTATTTAATGATCTAATACAAATCTATAAACTAATTGAAGATCGTGTTGAATTGGGCGTACCGATTATGGCCTGCTGTACAGCCATATTGTCTAATGAAAATATTGAAAAATGTGAACAACAAGAAACATTTTTTCAACTATTGTTACAAAATTGTCTGGACAAAATTCAAGTTGTATTGAATCAAAAATTATCGATAGAAGAACATAAATTAAAATGGGAAAAAGTCATTGATAATATTTATGCTGCATTCAAAAATTTTCGTCCCAATGACAAGACGAAAACATCGACTGTGATACATGCGCACATTAGTGAGAATATATGGCCATTTTTAAAAGAATCTATTGTACATTTTGCACCAATCGATACTCAAGTGATTGAACATTGTTCACGTTGTGTTCGTCATATTGTACGTTCAATGAAACCATCTTATCTTTTGCAACCGATCGTTGATCATATTGTTCCATTGTATCAAAATTTTCCAAGCAATTCCTCTCTTTTATATATTGGTGCTGTTCTGGTCGATGAATTTGCCGATCCAAATAATCTGATTTTAGCCGATGGCTTAATTCGAATGCTAAATGTAAGGTGGTTTTTTTTGATAAATCGTATTTTTCATTACTTTGTTTTCTTTTTTCAATGGCTTGAAGGCATTTTCAATGACCACATTCCATATTCTAAATGAAAACACATTCAATCTTAATCCTTACATGATTGACGATTATTTCAATTTATGTACACGTACAATGACCAATCTACCGGAAAAATTTTTGACAAATGTTGAAACATTAAACGGGATTGTCAATTTGGCTATCATGTGTCTTTATTTGCCACAAAAAGAAGCAAGTGAATCGATAAATAAATTCCTGATTGAATTTTTCAAGTTGAAACATCCAGTGGTCACCACACAATATGCGGCTACCGATTTTGGTCGAAATATATTTTTTTCATTGATAGATTCAATAATGTTTAAATTGCCTAGCTATTTCATAGCGGATATGGTGGACACAATATGGACATTTAAATGCAACTACGCTCAGGTGAGATTTCTGGACAAATGAACACATGAAAAATGAAAATAATGTTTTGTTTGATTTTTAATACTAAACAGTTGTATGATCAATATCTACAATATACAACGGAAAATTTATATCAAAAAATACAAAAAGAAAAATATAATATTAGCCACGATAAACTGAAAGATTTCTACGAAAGTCTACGAAGGTATTTTTTTTTTCATTGTTATTTTGCTTCAATCAGATTGTCTCAATTTTTCCATTTAAATTTTTCATATATAGTGCCAATAATGCTAAACAAATGGCCAGTGAAATACGACACTTGCAGCGTTTTTTCAATTCACGATGATGATAATCAATTTCGATATGGCAAAAATATGATCATTAACGTAACGTAATGTATGAATCTAATTAATTGGTGTATATATATCAAACACACATGGCAACGATGATTATATATTATAATTTAATTTTCAACAATTTTCTTTTGCTTTTGTCAATTGTTTTTTTGTATCATTTTTTCAACCGATAATGAATGGTCTGAATTTATAAAAAACAACAATAATGTCATTTTTCAAGTTATTTTGTATTTTTCTCTTTTGGAAATTATTTTTTTCACTTCATTTGTGATGTGTAATCAATAAAATTGAATTGAATAGAATCCATGTTCATGAACAAGTTTTGGCAATTTTTTTTTCAATTGAAATAATGATATTTCACAAAAAAACAACGACTAATTGATTGTTTTTGTTTGTGTTTTTATATTCATTAAGGTCAAACTAATGATAATGATGATATTCTATAAAGAAACAATTTGGTTCTAGTTGATGATTTGACATGCAGTGTTATAGAATAGAATGAAACACGAATGATTGGTATTAGTGGCAGCATGAAGACTTTTTCCGCAAAGAATATCATCATCATTGGTGATGTTATAAACGAATGTTTCAAATGTATAAAATATTATCTGTTTCGTTTGGAATATTCCTTATTGGATTATCAACAGCGTCGTATACGATGGACTTGTTATCGAACAATCGAACCAAGTATTTGGATAACGACAAATTCAATGATTTTAATCGCCATAATGTTTACTGCGATTCGACGACCAAAATCCATAGCCGGTTTGCCGTTATCATTTGAAGATTTTGAAGAAATGTTTGATATTCAACGATTAGATATTGCAATCGTACATTTACTTGTTGTTTTTTTGACGTTAGAGTATCTATGGTTTGAATTGGTCAAAAAAATTTTTCGTTATAATTTTCCATTGAATGATCTATTCATCAAATATCGTAATTATGATGACAATCTATTGGAACCACGATTACGTCGCTATTTGACTTTATTTTATCGAATTATTGATTCAATATCGACATTATTTTATCGTTTAACGGTATTGACAATGTTATCTGGTTACGCATTATTCATTATTCATGTTGGCTATTTATATTTGGATGGTAAATTGAATACATTCCAATGGCTTTTGTTTCTTCAACTGTGGACAATGTATTTGTTTCGTTTAGTATATCTGATGGGACAATTATTTTTGGCAATGAAATTTTTATTGTTTATCGTTGAATTTGGCCGAATTCAATTCATGAAAATGCTTCAAACAACCAAAATTGTGTTTTGTTGTAATCGAAACAAAATGAATTTCAACAATTCAATAAATCGCAGATTGTTTTGGCAAAGTTTCCATCGACAATATTTGACACTGTATTTGGACATATGGAAATTTGATGATACAATAAAAATGGTGCTGGCAGCAGTGGAAATGATTGCAAAATCAGCAATTATTGTTGGCACATTATTCGTTAATAGTAACCAATTGAGTATAAATCTTAATAATACCTTGATCATCCTATACCTAGGATCAGCGTTTTTATATCCTAAAATAATCTATTCACACGTGTCATCTTTACCATCTTATAATCGAACTTGTAGCCGATTAATTATGAATTGGAATGCACGAACACATTGGCAACGATTCTGCACTCAACAACAACAGCAACGATTACTACAAGAATCGTCATCATCATCATGGAAAAAATTGAAACGTTTCAATGCATGGATCACATTGAGAGATGTGATTAAATCCAATCTATTCATACAGACAATGACCAATAATCTTTTTGGTTTGAATTGTGGACAATTATTCTTCATCACTAGATATAAATATCTAGAATTACTTCTAATGGATGTTATGCTAATTTTATTGTTTTATAAAAAAATTTGCTTAACTTAAATATTCCCTGTCTAGAAAGAAATAATTAAAGTTCAAAAACATTACCACCACCTCGACAAGTGGTTTGTCTTATGTCTGGCATATAAATTGGTGGTTGTGACAAGACAAGAAAGGAGACAGCAATAATCATCATGATCACATCACTTTTTCTTATGTTTTCTTTAATCAAATCGTTGTTAATCAATATCAATAAACTAATAAACATTCTGAATTATTCAAACCGACCATTGTATGTAGTTTATTTCATATAAGTCTCTCTCTCTCTCTTTTTTTTCATAAAATCAAAACAATTTACATCAGTGTTATTTATTTTTTTTTTTTAGTACTTTTACCCGGTGACTGTTACTCATTATTGAACTTGAGTCATTTTTTATTTGTTAAAATAAATGACTTTTCAAATATCATGGCTTCAATAATTCAAATTTTTTTTAATGTCAGAACCCACTCTTTTCTTGCTTTATGATACAGCTCTTCGAAGAAAATTTTTTGTTGGTTTGTTTGTAGCTTTAATTTTGAATTGAAATTTAAACCCCGATTATAGTTTGTTGATGATGATAATAAATTTTGATATATGATAAGAATATGATCATAAACGTAACATAACTTGTGTATTCAATTATTAATTGGTGTATATAAAGCAAACTCGCATAGCAACGATAATTATAATTATCAAGAAATAAAATTTTTCATTTGTCAATTTTTTTAATTTGTTCCCCCAATAATGACATGAATTTTTTCAATTGAAATAGTGATATTTCAACCAGACAAAAAACAAGAACAGAACTTATCTTAATGATCCTGATTTGTAAGAAAAAATGACATAAAAAGAACACAATTTGGTTACAATTGATGATTTGACATGCAGCGTTATAGAATAAAATGAAACACGAATGATGAATTTTTCAACAGAGAATATCATCATTGGTGATGTTATAAACGAATGTTTCAAGTGTATAAAATATTATCTGTTTCGTTTGGAATATTCCTTATTGGATTATCAACAGCGTCGTATACGATGGACTTGTTATCGAACAATCGAACCAAGTATTTGGATAACGACAAATTCAATGATTTTAATCGCCATAATGTTTACTGCGATTCGACGACCAAAATCCATAGCTGGTTTGCCGTTATCATTTGAAGATTTCGAAGAAATGTTTGATATTCAACGATTAGATATTGCAATCGTACATTTACTTGTTGTTTTTTTGACGTTAGAATATCTATGGTTTGAATTGTTCAAAAAAATTTCTTCTTACAATTTTCCGCTGAATGATTTGTTCATCAAATATCGTAATTATGATGACAATCTATTGGAACCACGTTTACTTCGCTATTTGACTTTATTTTATCGAATTATTGATTCAATATCGACATTACTTTATCGTCTAACGGTATTGACAATGTTATCTGGTTACGCATTATTCATTATTCATGTTGGCTATTTATATTTGGATGGTAAATTGAATACATTCCAATGGCTTTTGTTTCTTCAACTGTGGACAATGTATTTGTTTCGTTTAGTATATCTGATGGGACAATTATTTTTGGCAATGAAATTTTTATTGTTTATCGTTGAATTTGGCCGAATACAATTCATGAAAATGCTTCAAACAACCAAAATTGTGTTTTGTTGTAATCGAAACAAAATGAATTTCAACAATTCAATAAATCGCAGATTGTTTTGGCAAAGTTTCCATCGGCAATATTCGACACTGTATTTGGACACATGGAAATTTGATGATACAATAAAAATGGTACTGGCAGCAGTGGAAATGATTGCGAAATTATCAATTATCGAATGCACCGTATTCATTAGTAAACAATTGCGTATGAATCTTAATAATGCTTTGATCATCCTATGGCTAGGATCAGCGTTTGTATATATGAAAATTGTTTATACACACGTGTCATATTTACCATCTTATAACCGAATTTGCAGCCGATTAATTATGAATTGGAATGCACGAACACATTGGCAACGATTCTGCATTCAACAACAACAGAAACCATTACTGCAAGAATCGTCATCATCACCATGGAAAAAATTGAAACGTTTCAATGCATGGATCACATTAAGGGATGTGATTAAATCCAATCTATTCATACAGACAATGACCAATAATCTTTTTGGTTTGAATTGTGGACAATTATTCTTCATCACTAGATATAAATATCTAGAATTACTTCTAATGGATGTTATGCTAATTTTATTGTTTTATAAAAAAATTTGCTTATATTAAATATTCCCTGTCTAGAAAGAAATAATTAAAGTTCGAAAGCATTACCACCACCTCGACAAGTGGTTTGTCTTATGTCTGGCATATAAATTGGTGGTTGTGACAAGACAAGAAAGGAGACAGCAATAATCATCATGATGATGATGATCACATCACTTTTTCTTATATTTTCTTTAATCAAATCGTTGTTTAATGAATCAATAAACTAATAAACATTCTGAATTATTCAAACCGACCATTGTGTGTGTAGTTTATTTCATTTAAGTCTATCTCTGATACAGCTCTTTGAAGAAAACTTTTTGTTTGTTTGTTTGTAGTTTTAATTTTGAATTGGAATTGAAACCCAGATTATAGTTTGTTGATGATGATAATAAATTTTGATATATGGTAAGAATATGATCATTAACGTAACGTAACTTGTGTATTCAATTATTAATTAGTGTATATAAAACAAACTCGCATAGCAACGATGGTTATAATTGTCAAGAAATAAAATTTTCCATTTGTCAATTTTTTTAATTTGTTCCCCCAATAATGACATGAATTTTTTCAATTGAAATAGTGATATTTCATCAAGGCAAGAAACAAGAACAGAACTGATCTTAATGATCGTGATTTGTAAGAAAAAATGACATAAAAAGAACACAATTTGGTTTTAGTTGATGATTTGACATGTTGTGTTATAGAATGAAATAGTACACGAATGATTGGTATTAGTGGCAGCATGAAGAATTTTTCAACAGAGAATATCATCATTGGTGATGTTATAAACGAGTTTTTCAAATGTGTAAAATATTATCTGTTTCGTTTGGAATATTCCTTACTGGATTATCAACAGCGTCGTATACGATGGACTTGTTATCGAACAATCAAGCCAAGTATTTGGATAACGACAAATTCAATGATTTTAATAGCCATAATGTTTACCATGATTCAACGACCAAAATCCATAGCCGGTTTGCCGTTGTCGTTAGAAGATTTCGAAGAGATGTTTGATATTCAACGATTAGATCTGGCAATCATACATTTAGTTGTTGTTTTTTTGACATTAGAATATCTATGGTTTGAATTGTTCAAAAAAATTTCTTCTTACAATTTTCCATCGAATGATTTGTTCATCAAATATCGTAATTATGATGACAATCTATTGGAACCACGATTACGTCGCTATTTGACTTTATTTTATCGAATTATTGATTCAATATCGACATTACTTTATCGTTTAGCGGTATTGACCATGTTATCTGGCTACGCATTATTCATTATTCATGTTGGCTATTTATATTTGGATGGTAAATTGAATACATTCCAATGGCTTTTGTTTCTTCAACTGTGGACAATGCTTCTGTTTCGTTTAGTATATCTGATGGGACAATTATTTTTGGCCATGAAATTTTTATTGTTTATCGTTGAATTTGGCCGAATTCAATTTATGAAAATGCTTCAAACAACCAAAATTGTGTTTTGTTGTAATCGAAACAAAATGAATTTTAACAATTCAATAAATCGCAGATTGTTTTGGCAAAGTTTCCATCGACAATATTTGACACTGTATTTGGAAACATGGAAATTTGATGATACAATAAAAATGGTGCTGGCAGCAGTGGAAATGATTGCAAAATCAGCAATTATCGATTGCACTGTATTCGTTAGTAAACAATTGCGTATGAATCTTAATAATGCTTTGATCATCCTATGGCTAGGATCAGCGTTTGTATATATGAAAATTGTTTATACACACGTGTCATATTTACCATCTTATAACCGAATTTGCAGCCGATTAATTATGAATTGGAATGCACGAACACATTGGCAACGATTCTGCACTCAACAACAACAGAAACCATTACTGCAAGAATCGTCATCATCATCATGGAAAAAATTGAAACGTTTCAATGCATGGATCACATTGAGAGATGTGATTAAATCCAATCTATTCATACAGACAATGACCAATAATCTTTTTGGTTTGAATTGTGGACAATTATTCTTCATCACTAGATATAAATATCTAGAATTACTTCTAATGGATGTTATGCTAATTTTATTGTTTTATAAAAAAATTTGCTTATATTAAATATTTCCAGTTTCTCTCTCTCTCTCTCTTTTTTCACAAAATCAAAACAATTTGTATCTGGAATTTTTTTGAAACAGATAATCTCTTCTTTTTTTGGCTCTATGATACAGCTCTTTGAAGAAAACTTCTTGTTGGTTTGCTTGAAGCTTTACTAAATTTATGTCCATAATTTGAATTTTGTTTTGATGCTGATGATACACTACCACTGCTACCACCACCACCACCACCACGATTCGATGATAATGATGTCGATGGTTTATTCGAGGAACCACGATTATAGTTTGTTGATGATGATGAGGATGCTGATGATGATTTGCCATGACCAACCCCCCCACCACCGGAACAAACACGTACAGATGAATTTTTTGAATTTCGACTTGCCTGTTGTGATGCTGCTGCTGATGATGCTGCTGCTGAGGATGATGATGATGATGATGGTTGTTGTGATGATGCTCCCGTATACATTACATGACTTGTTACATTTGGACGTGGTGCTAATGCCATTCGTAGATGTGTTGGTTGTGATCCACCACCATGTTTTTTTACTTTATTGTATGCTTTGAATTTTTTATAGGCAATCATACAAATCAATACCAGTATTGAAAAAGCAACCGCTGCACCCAATACGATCAATACGAGTAGTAACCATCGATTCACATTTGGCAGTGCCATACATTTTTCATATGTGATTCCTAAATCCTGACAATCAAGTGTCATATGACATTGGTGAGTGTCCAAAAATTTACAAAATTTTCCACCCTTATAGTTCATATCATTTTCACAATGGCGTTTAAAACATACACACATTAATTCCTGACTACAACATTTCAGAATATCGGCACGACCTTCTTTAACGCCAATAATACTATCACGTTCCTCGAAACATGTTACATTTAACAATGGATAAACAAACTTGTCCGGATTCGGATTTTGATATATCAATCGAGAATAAGTTGGAAAAATTGTTTGATTTGTCATATTATGACCATTTTGGATTGTTGTCATACTATCATTCATGATATTTGTGATATTCAATATCGATGATGATGATGGTGATGAATGATTTTGATTTTGATCAATATTAATATCGGCAGCTTTGATCAGAACAACAATCGATGGTAAAAGTTGTAAAAAAAACATTGTAAACTTCATCATGACCATCCTGGACATCATAATTCACATTCGAACGAAAACTTTTTATTTCATTAATTCGAAAAAAAATTGCAATTTTTATAACCATCAAAAATCATTGTTTCAAACGTTGTTTTCTTTTTGAGATTTCATTCAATTTATATTTATTTTATTGAATTTTGAAATTGAATTTTTTAAATTCATTCAAAATCCCGACAGATGTCAGCATTGGGATCAACAATAGATTTTTTTTTGTTGAAAATCAAAATTTGATCAAAATACTCTTTCAATGATTGTTGATTACTAATTTTTTATTGTTTGTTTTTTTTCATAATACAGCTCTTTGAAGAGAACTTTTGATTGCATCTTTGCTAAATTTTTGGCCATTATTAGGTTGTTGAGATGATTTTGATGATACAAAATCCGATGTCGATGGTTTACTCACTGATGAACAAGTTGATGGTTTGCTCGATGATGATGATGATGATGATGATGACTTGCCAGCACCACCAGAACATTCACGTGCATTAGATGAATTTTTTCGACTTTTTCGATTTGATTTTCGTGTTTGATTGACCTGCGATGGTTGCTGTATGGAAGACACATACATCACTTGACTTGTGACATTCGGACTTGATGCGATTGCCATTTCTAGTTGTGGTTGTGATGTGGTACCACCACCATGTTTTTTTGCTTTATTATATGCTTTGTATTTTTTATAGGCAATTATACAAATCAATATTAGAATGGAAAAAGCAATTAGCGAACCAAATACAATCAATATAATAAGCAACAATCGATTCACTTCTGGCAGAGCCATACATTTCTTGTAGCTGACGTCCAAATTCACACAATAAGGTCTCGGCTGACATGGATGTGATCGTGTGAATTTACAAAATGCTCCATCAACATAAATCGGATCATGTTGACAATGACGATTGATACATTCACATGATAATACTTGTAAACAACAGTCTAGAATATCGGCACGAGCTTGTTTAATGTATAGAATATCACTGCTTTCATCTCTACACGTCTCATTTATCATTGGATGTTTCCGAAGATTTTGATATTGTGATCGCAATCGATTTGGCGTATTATTAATGTGACCATTTTGGATCTCTGTTGACATTGTAGTGTATTCATTTGTCATATTTGACAGTGATGAATGATTTTGATCAATATTGACATCGTCAGCAGTAGCAGCAGCTTTGATCAGTACAACGATTGGTGGCAAAAGTTGTAATAAAAACTTTATCATGATCATCACGAAAATCATAATTCACATTCAATCGAGAATTTTTTTTTTGTTATAGATTTTATTCGAATAAATTTTCAATTTTTATAATTATCGAAAATTATTGTTTCGAGCTTGTTTTTTATTTTGGATTTAATAAAATTTTTAAATTTCTTTAACGGAATTCATTTAAAATGCCGACAGATGTCAGCATCAGAGATTGACATTGAATTTGAATTGATTGAAATTTTATTCTTTCAATTGATATGCGTTAATTGCCAAGTTTATTGTTTTTTATCTAAAAAAAAATTTACAATTTATTTATTTTTGAAGAGAACTTTTTGCCTGTTTGATTGAATTTTTACTAAATTTTTTTCCATTGTTAGGTTGTTTTTTAGATGATTTTGATGATACACCACTTGACGATGACTGGCCACCACCAGCACCGCCACCACCAGAATTTTTCTGCTTTGAACTTTGACTTTTATCGGTCTGTGATGGTTGTTGCTGTACGGAAGACACATATTGACTACTATCGACATTTGAACTTGATGTATTTGCCGCTTTTTTATGTTGTGGTGGTGGTGGTTGTGATTCATCTTGTTTTTTCAGTTGAATATATTTTTTATAGCCAAATATACCAATCACTATTAGAATTAAAAAAACGACAATCACACCAAACACAATCAGCATGGTATGCAATAATCGATTATTACTTTCTGGTAGAGCCACACATTTTTCGTGGATAATTTTCATAGGCAAATGATAACAGTTAGGTTTCGTGTGACATGGATGATTTGGCAACTCCATACAATACTTGCCATTCTTATAGATTGGATCAAATTGACAATGACTTTCAATACATAGACATGTTAATAATTGAACACAACATTCTAGAATATCGGCATGAGCTTGTTTATTCGAAAGAGTTTTACTACTTTCCTCTCTGCACATCACATTTACCAATGGATGTTTCATTTGATCTTGAAATTGCGATTTCGTTCGATTTGGCGCCATAATCGTTTGCGTCGTTGGCGTCATAATCAGAATAACGATTGGTGGTAAAAATTGTAACAACGATAATGAAAAAAACATAAACTTCGTGATGATGATCATCCTGAAAATCATAAAATTCACATTCAATGGTGAATTTTTTTCAGATTTTATTCGAAATTTTTATAATTATCAAAAATCATTGTTTTGAACGTTTTTTAACATATATTCAATTTAATTAAAAAATTTTCATCACAAAATTCGTACAAAATCCGACAGATGTCAGCATTAGATCAACAATAGATTTTTTTTCTTTTTAAAAATTGATGATCGATCGTAGATCGATTATTACATTTTCAACAAACTGAATCACGAAAAAAAAAAAACGAAAAAGTTGAAAAAATTTGTTTTCCCATTGTTCTCGAATTTGTTTAATTGATTGATTTATTTTTTTGCCCTTGAAAAATTCCCTGATTTTCAGTTTCGATGCAGTATCGATGTATCGGATTTACAGACGTACACACGCACATGCAGTCAAAATGAAAAGCAGAATTTCGTTCAAACGATGAAAAGAAATAAAGCAAAAGCAAAGAAAAAAAGGATTGTTTGTATCAACACAAATATAGCTTTAGAAATCAAGTGAAAAGAAAAAGAATTCTAAAAATTATCCGATGTAGGCGTGTTGTTTGTAGAATCTATTTGAAAAGAATGCAAAAAAAGCAGAACGCTATTAAATTCCACATAGATATGAATCTTAAGGATGCCATTTAGTAGGTGGTTGATGTTGTTGTTGATGTATTATTTCCATGATTACCATCATCATCCATCGAATGCTGTTTTTTTGATGATGATGATGATGGTGATCGTTGCAAATCGAAAAATTGCCAAATAGTTATTGCCTTGGATTTTTTGTTGTTTGTTTCGTATGCATGTGCAACAATTATATATTCATCGAATTATCATCTAATAATAATGATGATGATCATCATCATCATCATAATGGTAAACACCACCATCGTCGTCGATATATTATAGTAATGCAATAGTTTTATCGCTTTCGGGTGTGTTTTTTGTAATTGTTTGGGGGAGGTAAAGATGAACTTTATTTTGAAATTTCAATTTTCAACGAAAAAAAAATTCGTTTGATATGCGCATGTGTTGCAAGAACCAAAAAAAAAAATTGGTAGTGGATTCACACACACACACCGAAGAACACCTACCTTTATTTTTTTTTTTTATTTTTTGAATCCATGCCAATGTATTGGATCATGTTCAGTGCACAATACCACTACCACACAAGAAATAGAAAAACAATTTTCAACAACACCGTTTGGAGCGCAAACAATGCACGGTAATAGAATTCTTGCCATTCCAATCTTTTTGTTTATCCTCTTCCTCATTCAAAATATCAATTACACCAACATACAGAGGTAGCAGCATAGAATCGCAACGATATGTCTTTCACATGCCCACACATGAAGCATATATTAATGGTATAACGGCATTCGATTCTCCACATTCTCACCCTCTCTTACTCTTTTTTTGTCTCTGGTTTTTTTTGCTCATTCGCGCGCGCGGGTTTTTCTTTCAGTCTTCATCATCATCATCATCATTCGCATCTTTTGATTCGTTAATATTCGTCGTCATTCGTCGTTTGATTTTGAAATTTTTTTTTTTGTTTCTTTTCTTTCTTTGGTTGGTTTGTATGTTCCAGTTTTTTGTTTTACTTTGAGTTAATCGAGCAAAATTTGGCGCGTTATTCATAAATATATTTTTGTGTTTGTTTTTTAACTAAAGTGTTAATTCAACAACAACAAATACAAACAAATCAAGACAATCTTTCCGGTTCTTGTGTTCAGATTGCTTTATTTTGTGATCCAATGCAGTTCGATTAAATAGAAATGATTTTATTGATCCAAACATCAATAATAAAGGTGAGCGAAATTTTTTTTTGTTTTGTTTTCAATGTCACTTGGCCACGAGCCATACACACTTTTGCACATCATACCGTTATAAGAACACAGATGTTCCAAATCTGACACACGAGCATTAATGCATAATAATAGTGCCACACATGTGTTCGGTAATTTTTTTTTCGTTTTCGCTGCAGCAATAATAAAGGATCGTCAAATGTGTGTTTGTCTACATTCAACAAAAAACTACCGGTCCAAAATCTATTTCATTTTGTTTTTAGTTTTTCTTCTTCAAAATGATGCATTTATCCAACGGTCTTTCTTTCTTTCTGATTTTCTATGTTCGTTTTTTTTCATAACGGACGAATCTTTGATTCTTTTTTTTCCATTTCACAATTTTCACGACCTAGCAGCATTGGCTATAATGACGAGATCGATTTAAGTTACAAAATACACCCACCACCATCATCATACAGATGCAGATGGCTTTTTTTTCCCTAAATGCTCTATGTCTCTATTGACGGTTATTCAAACGACCGATCATCATCATTTTATTAGTATATATTAGCAGAAGCAGCAATTTTTGTTGCTAATCCAAACTATTTCAATTATTTAATTGTTCCGCATGTTTAAAATGTTTTCAATTGTTTTATATTATATTTATAATCATCATCAAAAGTTCTCAAAAACAACAAGTGGTTGTTTTTTTGAATTATAATAAATTCTTTAACATCCTCATGTTCTATGATTCTATTACATGATTTATGTGATGTGATTATTATGATTATATGATTTTATTATTGCCATTGTAATCCACTATCTTGTCTGGTTTTTTTTTGTTGTTGTTGTTATTGGTGTTATTGGTGATCATCATTATCGTCAAAGTCGTCATTGTAATTATCAAATGTTGTATGTTGCCCATAATTTAAATTTTTTTTTTTTCGTTTTGAGATTATTAGATAACAGTTTCTTTTGAAACCTAAAGTGATACTATTTTATCATCATCATCATCATCATTGATGTGATAAGCAGAAATTTTTTTTTCAATCAATTTATTGATTTATTATTATTGAATTGAATCCGGATTTTTGTTGTTGTTGATTATGACGGATCATTGGCTTTTTTCCCTCCATTGATGTGTATGTGATGATTGTATAATTTGATTATTTCTCGAATATAGAAACGATTTATGGAAAAAAAATAGTCTTTATAGATATATTCTTCATATATACCTGTTGATAGGTTTCTCACATTATCGATCGATAAATAGTATGTATGAATGACATTTATATATTATATATTTCCAGTTAACATTGTAATGATCCATTGATTAATCATTGGTTTCTCGTTTTTTGCATTTACATTCATACAACATAAAAAACAGTTTTATACAAAAATTTTTAATCGATCAATCAATCGATGGAATTTTTATTATATAAATGAGCGTGGATAAGATTTGTGATCTTTTTACATTTCTGCTAAATTCGATTTAAATCGTATGTTGTTCACACACACACAAATGATGATGATGATCCTCACGAACCGATTTGATCGCTTCTTGATGCTAAATAAATTGATACGAATAATCTATATATTACCTTTTGACCAAATGATGAAATTATCAATCAAATAAATTACGAATATCGGATATAAAATTTATTTAGGCTAAACGCTGTTGTCACAAAACATTGTCCTATTTTTTTACTTCTATTTGATAATCTTTGCCCTTTAAGGTCTATTTTTTCTCTCTCTCTCTCTTCAATTAATAATATTCAAATGTCTGTTGCATGTGTTGTGGTGCTCATCATCATATTATCATTATTGAATAAAATTGGTAGACAACATTCTTGTGAAATGGAAAAATTGCATTATCGACATTTATTGAAATGGAAAAAATGAAAAAGCAAAAATTTTTGTTTCAATCAAAAATTTTTGAATTTTTTTTAATGATAACGATGATCAGTGTGTTGAACATATGCTGTTTAGCGACAATTACACCATTGACATTTTAGTTTTAATATAGTTCATCTCTCAATTTGTTTTTCTTTTTTTGTTGCCATTTTGTTGTTTCATTTACATATTCATCATCATTAGATATTTGCATTTTTACTAAATGATTAATCCAAAATCATCATAGGATGATGATCAGATCTCATCATGTATAATGAATTAATGAATGCTGATGAAGATCATCATCATCAACATTGTATAATTGGCTCATTATCCTTGATATTTAAAATGATATGATTATGATATAATATATAGATGGATAGATGATGGAAATTTTTTTTTCAATTTTTTACATTTCATTGTGTTTCTGTATCTGTGCTGTTGTTGTTGTTGTTGTTATGTCAATTCCGTTATAATTTTATAGACTATAGAAATTTTTTTTTTAGTAAAAGTCGTTATTTTTCACTTTTTCCTTTGTTGATGTTTCAAGGTATTTGATTAATCATTTTTTTCTGGATCATCGTATTTATGTTTTGTTTGTTTGTTTGTTTATCATGGCTACCATTTGGGATCCATTAGAGCTAAAATGTTATAAAGTTTGTCGTTGTTGTTGTTGTTTTCGTCGTGTTTATTCGTAGTGGTAGATGATTTGAAATTCATATTTATAGTTTGATCAATTTATAGTTTTCCGGATCGTTTTTTCTTTGATTCACAATTGTATGTTAAAATGTGTGTGTGTGTGTGTGTGTGTGTGTTGGTTTTTATTATGACTATGACACACACACACAGGTATAAGATATGAGACACGCAAATTTTTTTTTATTCGTTTAATCGGATAACAAATACAGACATAGACATTACAAGGTTGAATTGGACAAAATTGAAATTCATTTTCGATGAATCGTTGATCACGAATCAATCAATATATGTGAATAAATGCAGAAAAATTGGGAATAAATAAAATGTCAACCATTTTGACATTTTATAATCGATAAATTTTTTTTTGTTCTTTTCACCATTCGGCCCTCTGTTTGATTGATTGATTGAATTGTCATCTAAACGAATTGGCCATAGAACAACAACAACAATAAAACATCATTCCAACATTGTCATCGTTATCGAAAATTTCCAAAAAAAAAATTATTAATATTTTTTAACCTTGAATTTATGACATTTACCCTCTCCCATTCGTATGTATTTGCCATTTGGTGGACACATGGCTGCTAAACATCAATGACATCTCTTAAAAAAAAATTTCAAGTTG